TTCATGTTTGTTATTTTATCTTATGGCGGAGTTAAGAAATACCTTAAGGTTTCGATTCTTTAATTTGAAATTTTTAAATTTTTGTAAATAACTGTTATCATGTACAATATAAGCTGTAACCCAACATTATAAATTTGAACAAACGGTTCTTTGATGTTTTTTATTTGCAGTTAGTGGACAGTCTGTTACGCACTGAACCTGAGAACGGGTTACGTCAGGCAGCGACTAGGCAGTTGGAGGTGTTTCGTAGCGAAGGTCCCGCAGGCACCGTGCACGTGATGCGCAGTACCACCAGGACACAGTTGCACCAAGCCACCACTACAGGCACCTGTACTTGGACATCGAAGTCGAGCACTGGCAACTCCGCTGCCGCCACCAGCAACCGCGCCGGTACTGCAACTGCCAATCGTAACGTAATCACGGCGGACTCCACTTCAGATAAGTTCTCGCAGGACTTCGAAAACTTGCAGGTGGGATTCCTAATCACATTTTTATGTCTCTTGCACACTTTGTGTACTGGGGTTATTTTTAGCAAGAAACTCAATCTTCGAAGATATGTCCAATGTGCTTTTTATTGAAAAAATCTGTTAATTTTTTGTCGTAAAATAACTAAGATACATGCGCAAAAAATGTAAGATCCAAGAAACGTGACGTACTTTCCAAAATGCCACAGTAACAAAAATTAACAGCGCTGTATGAAAAGACTTATTGAAATCTAACCAACATCAGCTCTACTTAAAACCAGTAATTCTCAGACATTACTTAAATCAAGTCAAGTTGTTTTAAGGTATTTGATGAAAATAATTTCTATGAATATTTTGAACACATTGTACTTTGTTTTTTCTGTTTTACTTAAAGTCAAATATGAATTCATTCCTAGAATAGTTCGGATAGATTCTATACGTCTAATGAGGTTGAGACTCCAACCAAGAGGTTAGTAATTTATACTCTATCACTAAATGGGCTTCTAATATTCTTTATGGACTGAATTCCATCCAATACTTCGCACCTAAGATTTCGCACTTGTCCACAAAGATAATTTTTGTTTTGCTTGAAAGGATCTATCCAACAGTCAATCAGTTATTGATGTTAGTCCAAGATGTGCACCTTTGTGTTTTTGGAACCTCGAAACGGGCAATATTTGTAGATCGACATTATAACTCTGATATATCAGCTGAATAGCCACTATATAGTGGCAATATTCTCTGCAGTGTGTAGACACATACCTGATGATCAGAAGGAGTACAAAATCAGACAGGAATCACTGACAAAATTGAACGCATGGCATCAGCTTACATTATATTACATAAGCATGATTCCGATAATTTGCTATCACAGCACTACATAAAAATAGTTCGGCTGAGGTATTATGTAAAAAACCTAAAAGATGCCATCTTTCAGACCAGCTTTAGTGTGCATTCCACGTTTGCTGTCTACTAATACTCGTTGTTGCATCTCAAGGCGGTCTGGAGGACTTTAGCCTTTAGGTCATAGTCACTGTAATGTCAGTGTCTGTCGTCAGTCTATCAGGTCTGGTGGCCCAGAAACCAGACAAGTTGTAGGGGAAAGGGGAGAGGGAGAATGAAAGGAAGGAAGAAGGAGCGAGAAGAGAAAGAAAAGGAATTGTTTTATATAAATATTTGAGGTGTGATAGATCTAAGAACTGTTACATTGTACTATATAAATTTTTGACTTGTCCTGAACTGAATTGGGTCTTTGGTTTTTAAAAACTATAATTTTTAAAGGTCTAAACATGAATTTAATTTTGTTCACAGTGCAAGTCGCGGCCTGGAATGTTTGCGTATCTCATCGACTGTGTAATCCACTGCTTCATGCAACGCAGGGTTGCTGTACGATCCCGCTTGCTGGTAGCGCCATTGTGCCATACCTATCATGAAATCCCTAAGGTCGCCAGCTCTGCTTGTTGAGAGTTCAAAGCAGGAGCTGCGGCTGCAGTGGCAGGAGCTGAAGGGTTGGCTGTCATTTCATCATAAGATTTATTGCGCCATTCGGCTATAACCTGTAGGTTCCTCTTAGGAGTGAACCAGCACGTTGAACTGTTGGCAGGATGCCCGTCCCCGCAGTTTGCGCATTTGCGTACCTCCTGCCTTGTTTGGGGGCACGAATGTATTAAGTGGTTCTGTGCACATTTTGCACATTTGGGTGGCGCTGTCCAGTAATACTGGGCGTGCCCATGCCTTAATTGAGAGGCCTAATAGTTCTTTTTCATTGAATAGTCCATGTGATTTTTCGATTTAAGGCAGTATCATCACTACCAACGGCATGAGAGTGTCCCCACTGCGTTTTAATCTGATCAGATGGAAAGGGGTATATCCTTTTTGGTTCAACTGCTGCTTTATCTCTTCCCCGTTGAGTGATGCAGGGATACCGCGTAGGACAGCATATATGTTTCTTTCCGATGGCAGAAGAAAGGTACGATGAAATGAAATTTTTGACGTTGACAATCAAAACCCTGTACAGGGCGATTCCACGTTTGCTGTCTATGATCGCTGTTCGTTGACATCTAAGCAACACCTACATCTACAAAACGAGCTCGCAAGTCTACAACAGCTTGCGCTAAGTTAGTATCTTGCAGAAAAACCTACGTTATGTCACAAAAATCTAAGATATATCAAAAAACCGACCAAATGTCACTTTTCAAGATGCGTAATACCTGTCCGGAAATGTAACAAAAAGTATGCACTAAGATGTCCTTGGCAAAGTAATAAATTGCATCAAAATTCAAGCAGTACTTTCCAACTTATAGACAAGCCAAGGGCTTGTAGACACACAGACTGAAAGAAATGAGTGGTATGTTTTTTTGTGATGTACATGTCATGCAACATCAAAAAATAGAATATCTCATTTTCGAAATATTTCGCGATTACACTACTTGCCCGCCAGTGGCGTAGGAAGTAACAACAATCACAATTAGATAAAAACAGTATTCTCCACATAAAAGAAATATGTCGAAGCTTCTTATTTCGTGCTGATATCTCAAAAAATAAATAACGATGGTACTACTTACGTGTATTTTACATAGGAATAGGTAGGTGTACCAGAGAGCCTTAGCCCCTTGAGCGGGATTTCTGAGCTGCTGTATACCTGCAGTATGCTAATGCCACACATGCTGTCAGTACTTGTCGTTTTTTTCAAGGCCGTTACAACGTCACGTCGTAACCATATGTAGTAACCGGATTCGGAGTCTAGGAAAACGAGTATACTTACTTCTGTGTAACCATCAGTCAGTGTCGAAACCCATAGCCGATTTATATAGCATTACTCAGCTTCTATAAAGTACCATTTTTAATCCTTTTCAATTAATTATTATTTTCAGTTATCGGTGAATCAGTTGGACGTGACATCTCAGAAATCGAAAGCAGTAGTGAGCAGGAGTGCGTCTCGGCGTCCACCGACGCGGCAGCGCTCTTACCGCAGCGCAGCCGGTAGCGCCACAACGCCCTTAGACTCTGCCCAAGCCGTTGCAGCCACCAATCTGCACCGAGTGTCCAGACTGTGCCACCAAATCCACGCAACAGCTGTCAAGCAGGCGTTCACGCGCTCATCAGTGACGTCGGCGACGCACGTCAAACCACCAAGTGACGATGATGCCAACACTGTTGAGATTGTCGAACTGGAAAGCACGTCTAGTGATAACACGAATGCAGCAGCCACTGCCCATGGCAATGGTTCGACTGTAACACATACGAATTTAGGTTTGTCTGCATTAATGTGTACAACAAAATCTTTGTTTAATTTTTATGAGCCCAGATTCGACAACACTATTAACACTTAGCATACTATCACCGGTCAAAAGGACCGCACTGACGAAAAGATTTAATTAAATAAAATTATCATATAGAATAATTTTAATTTTAAATTCCAATTTCGAAAATAGCTTACTTGAAATTAGTTAAATTGAATGAAAACGCAGTCGTTTAATTAAACTGATTAACACGTTTATTTGGATTAAGTACACCAATTTATTTAGAATTATTGAACAATGATTTAAACCTTCAAATCATACTAACTACTTCCGAATTTCGTAATCCTAACTGAATTCGATACTTTTATCATCACTGATTGGGAACTAATTATATAAGGCATCAAGTTTTACCAATTATTTGTCTGTTTGTCCAGAGACAGGCTATAATACATACATGTATTCGTCCATTATGAATGACGATATTATAACTGTGCTGCGACATATCTAAGCTGTCAAAAAAATTTGAAAGATTTGATATTGCTAATTAACATTTTAGAATCAATATAAAAACTCACACAGGTTATAAGAAATCAGCATTCACTGGGAGCAGTTTTTTTTAATTCAGAATGTAGGGGAAATGATACCTGAAACTAAATAAGACCTGATTATGTATACAACAATTGTACCTTTATTTTTATCGGTTATGAAGTTTTGCATTGAAAATGATCAGATCAACTTATCGCTTTTGCACTTCATGTTTTTTTATTAATTATATAAAGGTATTATCCTGTTTGTACTCTTTTAATTTTGAGCAATACTTGTTACGACAGGTATACTTACCGTTACCTTCCACAGCCGTCCATTTTAGTGCCTATGGTATTATTAAGTGTTGGTATGCTTTATCGTTAATATATGAATATCGCTGACGGTGACTACTGAACCTCAGACAACCACGTTTGTTTGTTTAAGTTTTATTTAGGAAGACTGCTACAACTACATTCTTTGAAAAAGACTAGAACAATTGAATGACATACAAATATTAAAAAAAAACTTGCATCTCTGAGAATTTTCACTGTTCGCGGAATGTTCCTTTAATTTTCTCTTAAATATCTTTAAATTACAATTAGACTTTATTCATATCACTATTTTGTTTATTAAATTCAAGTAATGCCTTCTGAGATATTGATTTGCTAGTTATAGCGCTATTGCAATTTTGTAAATAGAAATCTATACTTCATCTTGTAGGTATAATAATTGTGGTAATGATTATACAATTCTATGTAATGTTCTAAATGTTGTGGCAGAACATTTTTTATTTTCAATATAAAAATTACAATCAAATATATGAATTATTTTATATTCAATATCTGCAATTCTTGAAGCATAGATTCATTTAATATTACTCTCATAGCTTTATTTTGTACTTTCGAGAAGGCAGTTTCATTGGCAGTCAATAAAATAGTTGAACAAAATAGTAAATGCGGTAGAATAATTGTAAGTATTATAAACAATGTTTTGGAATATGATGCCCTATGCGTTTACAACGCTTGGTGCCAAGAGATGGTGCAGCAGCAATCCATTTATTCCTTGTGCTGTGAGGGGGAGTAGCGGTCAGCGAGGCACCTGTGCTAGCAGTGGCTTTGTTTATATTGTGTGAGAAGGCGCATGGGTAAATACCTAGTGTCATGCTGACTCATCTCTTGGCAAATATTAGTCAAAAACATGGAATAACACGATTGTCGGATGCTCTGTGGCTAGCGCAGTACGTTGTGAACATGACCATTGGACATTGAATTAGGGTTTCTTTCTTTATCTACAGCCTTATGGATAAACTGGCTTCTGGAGGAGGATTTTTTCGTGGAAACGTAGGCAATTAGAATTTGGCTATAATACACATTTTCATCATCAACAAGCATTTCTCGGTCAAAGCGTGAGACAAAAACCCCTATAATCTAATTTGCTGTAGACTGGAAGCAATTAACGCTATTTTAACGCCCCTCGGTCTTCAGAAATTAATTTTTACACAAACTGCTTTAATTTTTTTTCAAGAGCTTACATCTTAACATATGGAACAATAAAAAGGTATTTGCAGTAGTAATTTTCGAGATATAGGTATGTATGTGAAACTGCTTGCGTCCATTCGATACATCAACACCAAGATACCATCTATACAAGCTTCACAAAATATCGCAACTTCGATAACTATCCCAAGTATTTATGGATTGATTTCTCGAGGGATAGATATGATAAATCCAAAAAGTCTTAAAAAAGTTGTATAGAAGCAAGCATGAACGTACGCAGTCCATCACCCTTCAACTGGCCTCTATCGATGGTGATCTTTGGATACACTTGTGGATATTAACACATGATATACCTCATCTACCTTTGCAAAGACCTTGGCTCCGTTAACCAATTGTTTCACGTGTTGAGATCAGCACAGTTGCATTAAGAAAAAATCAGTCATTTCAGTTCCCAACATATGAAAAGGATAAACATTTTTGAGCATTTTAGAAACTCCTGCTTATAATCAGACATTTTTCGGAAAGGTTGAACAACGGGGTTTTGGAGTTGTAGAAGGCATAGAGAGTCGTAAGTGTTGCATCAATGATATCAGTGAAATACTTTCTATTATTGACATGTTTCTTATCCCCATAATGTTGGGCAATGTTGCAATATGATTTATTTTCTTATTTACAAATAAGTACCTAGTACATGTTAGTTCTTTTTTTTGCAGTGCGAACGAAAAGTAGTAGTAGCGAAGACATTCATATACTATCAGAGAAATCAAACTCGGCGAACAAAAGTATAGAGGACCTGGACGATTTAGAGCAATTGCAAACATGGCGCAGGACGTCTAAACTACGAAGATCGTTGCAGTTCCCCAAACAAAATAAAGAATCGTCTTCCATTAATAGCACCAGTAAGCCGATAGATATTCCAAAAAACTCTGTCAGTGTAAAAAAGATGAAAGAGGATCTCGAAAAAGGTATTAATACATTTTCGTAGTGATCTGTTTTAGGTCACAGTTTTTTACCTGGTGTTACTTTTTTAAATTAACTACAGTTTTACAAATCGATACAATATACATACAAATGATCGTAAGCTTTACAGTAATGAAATAAAATGAAACGTTATTTTTGAAGGTAGAAGACTGAACACCGTACTCAGGAATAACAGTGTCGACTTAGAAGCACTCGATCAGATACTACAGTCAGTCTCAGGTTCCGTGATAAGTGATAAGAATTCAGAAGATTCGGAATGTGAAGCGAATAAAAAACAAAAAAGGAATTCGTTTGTGACTGTAGAGTCTATTCAGGAGGTCAAAGGGAGATTGAGAAGAACCAGTTCGCATTCAAGTGATATTTATAAGGTGCGTAGATACACTTGCGACTGTAGTATACTCATCTTATATATATCTTAGGAATCAATAATCTGTCCATCACTATTTATTTTGTACTACTTTATACATCGTACCTATGTTACCGGTAATCTGTATGATTCAGGTATTCTATACAATACCTAGGCAACGTATAGAATACCTGGGTAGCCCAGGCATTATATGAAATATTATGTATATTATTATCCATTGCATACTTTACTTAGATAATGAATACAATTCCTAGGGATTGTATAGACTACCTGCTGTTCCACCGGAAACGTGTAAAATAAATACTTCCTGGTTTTAATTTATCAATGTAAACCAACATACCTATAAAATGACGGGCAAATGAAACAAGATAGATATATAAAGATATATTATTTAAAATCAACATCATTAAAATTAACAATCAGAGTGCTTCTTAAAAATAAGCTTTATGAAAGGGGTGCAAAAAGCACCTTTCTTTATTTTTACATGAGGAACTATTCGGACATTTTGAAGTGCACCAAATCTTACTTTTGAGTCAAGAACACTTTTTAATATCGCAGTATTCTTTGCAACTGCGTCTTTTACATACATCACCGGCTGCGCATTCGGTATTGTATAGAATACCTAGGCAAAGTATAAAACAAATAATATTTCATACATTACCTACACGATTTAGGTATTCTATACATTACCTAGGTATTGTATAGAATACCGGACTATACAGATTGCCGGTAACACCCACAAAAGAAAAAAATCAACATGGACTTAATCTATAATCTGTATGCTAAGTGACTATTATTTGTTTATGAATTCAAATAAGTCTTCCCTCCACTTATTTGGATTTCGTTCAGTCAGAGAAACATTGAAAAATAGCTCTAATTAATCCAGTAAAATGCACTGATAAAATGCGCAAAGCTTAGAACAAAAGGTAAGTTGAAATTTTCCGTGCACTTTTGCATGGGTGTTCGCAGAGGGTGAGAGGTTGAGGGGCAGGCGAGGCGTGGCCCCCCTTCGGACTCTAGGAATCTCGTTGGCACTTAAAATTTGGATATTTAGCATAATTTTGTGCGCAATAGTGAGGATTTTTATTAGGATCTGATTCCAGTGTGAACATTTGTTACCAACCACTTTCGAAGTCTTGGGGCAGGTACACGTTCACAAAAAGTTATCTCTTACCGACGAAGGAAAATGTCTGCGGCAGCCAGTTTTTGTTTTGATGTTCTGTAACTAGGTTCAAAACTCTCATACAATTTTGTCTGCCATTTCAAATTACTCATGGACATACCTATGTCGCATATATTTTTTGCGAGGTTGGTTCTTAACAGTGACGGGCGCATTATCTACTCAACATAATGTGAATTACACAACTGTCTACGTATAGACGATGTATTTGTCTATATCTTGATGAGTATTTGATGCAGACGATAGCAGATTACACGCCGTTATTCTTTATGTGACGCTTTTTAAGTAGACTTTTGAGTAATATAAGGGTGAAGATGCCACAAAATTGATAATTCACTTACTTCCAGGCGAAAGAGAAAAAATAGAATTCCCGGGAGTTGCCACTAAACACAGATGTATAACTGTTACCTATATTTTATATTTATTTGTTACTGATTATGCAAAAATGAGGTAAACGCCAAATTCAAATAAAGTAGGATTGAACTTGAAAACTGGTGAAAATATCCAAAACAATTATCTAACATCTATATATTTAGTATTTGTGTTACTTTATCTATACCAGAACGTAATACTTACATGACGTATTTTTGGTACTTCATTTTTATTCAGAAGCTACGTAGCTTTTATATTCAAGAATTGACGTAATTCTTATATCAGCCATTTATTCCATTCTATTTAACTGGCCTATGAAATAACAAAGGATTCATGAAAGAAATAACTACTATTTTCTCTTTTCTAAGGTTTTTTGGAAAAAGACCAGCAAGATATCTGAAACGTTAGTGAACCTTTTTCGTGACAATTCTGTTTTTATTTATTGGCCATTTCAATGAAATATAATTAGCGGACAATCTCAGATTAGGTATTGGCAACTATACATATATTCAAACTGCTTCATAAAATGTATCATGACTGATCCGTCTACTTTTGTACCTTTGGGGTGCGAAGCCTATGTTGCAGTTTCGTAATGCTCCCGAAAACGCTGATTCTATTTTTGAGTATTGAATATCAGGTTTTTTGAATATTCTGACTTTGCGCAGTTGTCATATCTCCCCAAAGAGTCTTCAGCTACAAGGTACTGTGAAAGCTAATCACTTTTAGTAAACTGATTAATACAGCAAGGATATGAAACAAACATGAGAAAATTGCGCGCAATTCAAAACCGTTTCGACTTTGTACTTAGGTATATGTGGCTTATTATGTTCAAAATGGGGTGTACTATCACTCCTCCAGAGATTGGTATTAACCTTCCGAACACCCTGCATATAAAGCTTAAACTATCAAGGAGTTTCTACCAGGAACTGTCGAATTCAGTCATATTTCGGGACTCTCATGAACCTTAGAGCTTTAAGGTGCATGCACATTGAGCAGAGGGGAAGCGACTTGTGTCGCAGAAAACTAGCAATGTTCGACAATGAAGGCAGAAATATACAGCTGTATTTGACAACCATTGCTGAGTGACATTTTCGCTCGACACGTCATGGTCAAGTCAGCGTTGGTTGTCAGAGCGGTCCGTGGGACCTTAGCTCTTGAGTCACAGTGTAAGTTTGTAAGTCTGTCAGGTCTGGTAACTCAGAAACCAGACAATTTTAAGGAAAAAAGGGGAAGGAAAGGAGAGAAGGAAGAACGAGAGCAGAGGGGAAGAAGAGAATCTTTTAGGATAGCGTTTAGGCATTGTTAAAATCACTTCACAGATTTTGGTATGGTCTAAAAATATTTGATTTTTTGATTTTTTCTCGCTCGACACGAATCGTTTCCTTTATCCACAATATCCGTTAACCTTTAAAGTTAACAATTCAATTGTCAAATCGAAAAAGTGATTTTGTCCTATATAGCTACGATTATGCCTTCAGGAAAATGGTAAAGATGATGATGATGTCGCCGATGATGGCATAGTGGTAGAAGAAACGTCTACAAATGGGACGTATACCCCTATTACAGCAGAAACATCTCGAGTGAAATCCTATGTGTACGGTATGGAAGCCGCTTTGCTCACCAAAAAACCTGGTGTCGGTACGGGCAGCCTTGAGTCCAGAGTGAAGCTAGTCAATGGGAATTCTAGTGCGAAAAATGAAGACTGGTATAATAGGAGGAAGTCATACGGATTTGAACAGGTATTGCAAATATATAATGTTACATGTGCAGCCTGTGCACCGACAAAAAGTGCTTAATGACTTTGCAGGCTGTGCAACGACATGTACGAGGGCTGATCCCTATCCCCATGCTCCGTTCCTATACTCTTTGCAGATGCTTATTTGATTGATGCTAACACTAGAACAACTGATTTTATTAGGCTATGTTAACAAAATATTAAGTTTGTCTTTAACTGTTTCTACAATAAAGGGTATGATGCCCACTCAAATTCATCAAAATATTCTGAAGATTTTTGGAGAGTGTGCAGTTTCTTATGGCGTGGGTCCATCTCTAACGGCAACGACTAGACAAAACATTAATAAAGCGTAAAATATGGTGTTAAAATACGGACATGTAGTATACAGGAACCTATTTTGCTATTACAGAGAGACGTTGGAGGCAATTAACAAGTAGCTTAGTTAAGACAATTCCCAGAATTAGAAAAAAACATATACAAGAAAAAATTGCTAGCATTAAGCAGCTGATATCTGTTGTAGATTTACATAGATGAGTGGTTTATAGTAGTTGGGTAAAATTATATCGGAAGGCTTTTGAAATGCTGGAGCACCGAAAAATCAAAATATAAGTCAAATATAGCTTTTTACTTTCCACGCCTACTGAGGAAGAGGTATTGGAATCTCGAAAATACTCGAAAATAAGATATTGTGTTTCTTGGATGTTAGATAACACATACATCACGAGAAACCATGTTACTCATTTCCGTCAGTCTGTCTGTCGGTTGAAAAGTACCGCTCTAGAAATTTTTACACTATGTCTACTCTGGACACAAAGACACAAAAGCATTATAGTTTTTGAAAATTGGTCCAGTGGAGGCGGAGAATAAGGAAAAAAAAATAAAAATCGCTCAAACTTCGTCCGATGGACAAGCGTCGTCGTTCGGTAATCGCTTTCGCATTGCTATGGCCTTTATGCACTGCGAATAGTGAACGCCAATATGGTCATTCACGGGGAAGGTCATTTAATTCTTTGTTATATACTTTAGTAGCTTACCTTTTTGCAGAAGTGCTAAATTGTGCCAAACGTAATCCTTTACGAACTGATGACAGCGTAGCGTGGGAAGTACAGAGTCATTTTACTTGCAGCCATTTTTTGCGAGGGTGTGAGTGGCGCAGTATATTGATCAACCCTCGTACATAAATAAATATTTACTAGCAAACTTATAACGTATAAGCATAAAAAGGTATTCACTATATAGACAACTCATATGATTTATAAAAAGATTACACAGAAATATATTTCTTATTTATAGGTTCAAGCTCATGAAGACTCGTCCAGCTGTATTTTAAAATCCAAGAAACTAGTCGAAAGCTCTACTGATAGTGGGATTTGTAGATCTTCGGAAATAGTGTCTAGAACAAATAATTCACTCAATGAAAACCAACATAATTTAGAAAATGGTCAAGACCACAAAACGAATGGATGGAAAGAGGTCACCACAGGTCAGGTAGGTTGACCAACAACTAATAGTAGAAGATAATATGAGAGTAGTGATGGGATTAATTAATTATCCTTATTAAATTAATAGTGCGCTAAATGAAAACCATCATAATTTAGAAACTTCTCAAGTCCTCAAAATCAGTAGATGAAAAGAAGTCACCACACGTCAGGTGGTTAACCGAGAAGTAGTATTAGAAAATGATGTGGGCCGCTGAGCGCCATCTTGGAAAAAAATTATATGAAAACGGGAGACTTGTGGCACATCATTTTGAAGCTGCTGATGAAAACTTTATAACCCTAGAATATAAAGTCAATACATTTACCTACTACAAAATGGTGGTACATTTAATAATTACTTGAACACAAACACACAATTTTACTCTAAAATATGGCATCAATTTCATTACCTCAAGTTTTAATTTTTTCAATTGATCCGCTCAAAAAATCAAAGCGGAGAAAAGCACTGTATATGTAAATGCGTTGAATGCGGGTACGTGCAATATTTTTCTGTAATTAGAAATGAATATACAATTTTTGAACACAATCAATTGGCCTTATTCAGTTTTAGATTTGCCCTTCCCTAATTTATGAAATGCAAACAAAGAATAAATTGCTCCTAGTGAGTAATGGTATATTGTAACCTGTTTCTAGGCAAATAGTCAAATAAGTAGTAAAACTTAATCTCATGTATAATACGTTCACAATTAATGAAAATAAAAATATCGAATTTCGTTATAGCTATGAAAATCCGGAATTTGATTCAAAAACATCAATATCAAGTTTTCCAAATTTTTTGGTATCTATAATATTTGTCAGAGCACAGTTATAATATACATCGTTCAGTAAAATGCAATTTGTTCTTTTAAATTTCAAATAATATTCAAATAATTATCATTAAAGCTTGGCAAATACTTTTACCTGAACTAATTAAACACATTTAATGAATATAATTTAATTGTTTTACTTGCAGCTGGTTAACTCATTTTCATGGTTCATTGATCTTAAATAAATCGGTGAAGTTAATCTAAACAAACGGTTTAAAAAATTGAATTAGACAATTGCGTTTCGGCTTAATTAACCTAGTTTCATAGATTCAAGTATACTGTTTTAGAAATAGATAAACTAATTAAACTTGTTAGTTGTCACATAGTTAATTGAAATAATTGAATTTTTTATTGGTTTGACTCAATGTTTTGCTTGATGTACCAATAGAACTCAACAGTTATAAAAATAATGGTATTAAGAAAAAAGCAGTATACAGAATATTGTCAGTAAAATTTAAGCGCAGATCCGATACTGTAAAATATGAAAGATTCCATACAAATGGGCCTGAAAAATTTTCTTTATATCTATATACGGATTGTTTCAGCTTTATGTTGAGCAAAAAATTGTATGCGACTAGTTTTTGTACATAGATATGCGACGTTTTGTTAATTCCATATTTATAATTGAAGTTCTCTTGGAACGTTTCGTTAATGTTTATTAAAAACAGTACCAGCTCGATTACTACTACTAATCGCAACTGATCTACTTGCTGATGCAATTAATGATGCTTATTGCAAAAAATTTCAAAATAGCTTCTGAAGTAGAATCGACCACATAGAAACTTGTCACCAGAAGATCACTCATGCCCTTTAGAAGAACAATATCAACAAAAATGTGTGAATAAAATTGAACAAATTTGAATATCTCAATCAGTTTTCGAGAAATGTAAGGTGAACTGTTGTAAACAGACAAGTTTATAGAAATATAGCACTTTTGGTCTGTTTTTTCATATTTTAAAGTGCTGAATCTACCCTTACATTTTCTTTACAACACTCTTTAACACGCTGTATACATAAAATGTTCATAATTTGAAATAGCACTGTTAATTTTCGATAGGGTATAATGTATAGGTATATATTTTTTAAATCTTCTGCAGGTGAAAAAGTTGGCCAGCACTTACGATTCAAGCGTCGTCGGCCAAGGAGCGTCTTGCTGGCCTCTAAAGCATACGGAGCTGAAGTCCACCACAATCACCATTCCGATAGTCAAGAACAACAACGTGGTGGATCTGCCGTGGTACGACGATAGTGGCGGTGGCGAAATCAAAAGACACTCTATCGCCGTTGATGAGTCACAGTACGTAAGGAGGGTACAACCAATCAATGATCCAAAATATAGGAGGACCAGTCTAGTCACCAATGGCTCTAACAATACTGCTGATCTATTTGAGGACGAAACGAATACGACCGCTGGAATTAGGAGGACCAAAAAAGTAGAGTTTTGCAGGACCGAAGTGCACTTCGCTGCTGAATCTGGAAAGGTATTCACTAATATTTATTTAGCTCGCATTGCGTATTTAATACATGTATATTGTACAGTGCTTTTAAGAACCATTCTGTATTTTTAGCTGGCAAGGGAACACGTGTGCATGCATCTTGCACACATTCTGACCCCGATTGGAGGTACCTCCACGTTCGATAGTCTGAGACCGTCTACTACCTACCGTCAATCTCAAAATCCATTGCCAAGAGAACAATTTTCTTGGGTCGGGATTCGAACCCGCACATCTCACGGCGACAGATTAGTAGACGCGTATATCACACCACGGGTGCTGCCTGAAATTCAGTTCTTTGCTCATCACTACTTTTCCATCATCGATACTTTTTGCCTCATTAATATTAATGTCGTTAGCAAAAATGTTGATATTATACTTATCTATAATATTCCGTAAATCATTTATGAACGATAAAGCCTTTCAAAAATACTTCCCTACTTCATAACTACCGGTTTCTAATTTATTTGAAAAAAATGTTTTGTAATTTGAGTATAATTTATCCAGGTTACTTTCATACCAGATGGAAACTGCCACATATTCCATATGACAATAATTTGCTCAACGATTTAGATCTTATTTCTGTTTTAAATGTCATCATGTCATCAATAACAGCATCACTGTCCATGGTTCTTCTCTACTGTTGCATTACACACTGAAGGCTTGTTTCAGTCTATCGTTTTTTGCGAAAACATACCTGACATTAATATATCTCCTGTTGATTTATAAACTTCATAATTACCATCTCTAACAATTTTTCAGTATCTAAAAGCACAGTTATATGTCTAAAGTCTTCCCACTTGTATGTTTTTTTATATTTGGAACCAGTGTAACAACAGAACATTTTAAACATGTCGGTATTGTACTTTATATATACAGGATCGACAGAAAAATATTGAGGTTTCATATTTAATGTAAGGGATGCAATAGAGTGAGATTATAGTTGACGAACTTACTAAACCCCAGAAAGCAATTTCCAGATCATATCATATAGATAAGAACAGTATTCAAATATAATAAACGGAACTGATTTAATAAAAAAATCACTTCTGTTTATTGACGCCAAGTACGAGTAGATTTTTTATCTAAAGGATCAGGCTTTCCAAAATTAGCAATACTGCGTTTGAGCTGGCCTCAAAACTCCTATAGTTTCTACAGCCGGTGGAATCTCCAATTATCGCCCCCACCATAAGCTTAGTTAGCGGAGTACCTACTACCACCAGTAGTTCCATAAAAAAATTTCATTTGGCCTTATTCTTCTGCCTTAGTTACCTACTTTTAAAAAACCAATACTTGATTAATATGTAGCTATTTTACGTAATTTAATTGATTCGGGTCAGTTGTTGCTTAATAACACCCAATTTTCAATGGCGTTCTTCAGGGACCGTCACCCTCGCGTAGATCACCTTACGAATTGTTTAGGAGTTTGTCATCTTATTTTATTATGTTGTATATTATAAAGACAACATATTGGCTACACATTTGTCGGCATCCCCTTTGTTGGTTTTACCTACGCAGCTGTTGTTCCAGCATATACAAAATCAAATGTCTCTATTTGGCAGTGTTTTAGATACTTGTCGTGTATGTTTACAATACGCTGTACTATGTTCTCTTGTAGGTAAACATAGTAGCAACCGACGAAAAACCGCCGCCGACTCAGAATTTCCGTCGTCGACGTAGAAACTCTGGCCCTCTTCCGGCGGACTTTGGCAACAAGAACGGCACGATGCCTGTACTACGTTTCGGAGATTCCAGCGAGGAGCAAACCATGTTTGGAGTAGCTGGAGATGGATCTGGAATAGAGACTGGAGCTCAAATGAGTCCCAGGTTACGGCGCAGTCGCGAAGCCAAGGTCAATCAGTCGGCTTCAGAAGATCGAAAGACTTTCGGGGTGGTCACCGTCAACGCCGGTGACGTCAGCTGTCAAAATAATATGACAACACCTGTTGCCTCTGAACGACTTACTGCTGCAGATGAAGATAAAAAGGATCCTTTGAGCGAGAATGAGATTAAAGGTAAGTTTCCCAGTGAGAGTAAGCTAGATTAACAAGAAACTAAGTGATTGAATTGTTCGAAGAAATTTAGTAAAAATGGATCATGTTGAACAGAGGGTTGTGATAAAATATCTTCAAATAAAGGTATGGCATCCACTCAAATGCCTCATAATACAGTTATGCTACAGTAGAAACACAGATTCGATAACAAAATTAGCTATGCAACTCTCATGATAGGGTCAAAAACGGTCGCTATTACGGCGGAGAAAATCACATGTAAATTCCACTAGCACAACGATAAAAGAGGTTTTAGTGTCCAGCAGCAGCCAGTCTTGCCGCGTACCATTCCAGCGGCTGCAGATATTCTTTGCAATAGTAAGATGATAATATTTCTATTTGAGTGAATTAATAATAAAAAGGGGTATGTTTGTCCAAAAAGAAGCGATAGAGTATTGATGGTTATCTATTCATGAAAACGCTTTAAAACAAATTTGTAATGGTGGAAGTATTTACAATAACAGGTTTTGCGATGTATTCAGCGCTGCTGCGATATCATTAGTCCATTGCGTTTTAGCCTAAACAGTGCTAAAAACACCAGATAAAAACAACCCTCATTCAGTCACAAGATTTTCCGTGTCTTTATCGCGGTAAAAAACAATAGCAAAACACCAGCAAAGTGCCTGACCGCTTACACATTAAACACTCAAACACAGAAGTCATGTTTGATTGCGTTGGTTGTCACTTTCCTGGTGGTTCGCTAGTTTTTTTTTTTTCGTAACAAAGACGCTGAAATTCTTTTGAGTCAGTGAATGTTATGCTTGCCTGGTGTTTTTAACAATGCTTACATTGAAAATGCAGTGGATTGAGAATTTTGCAGGAGCAAAGCATGCATGGCAAACGTGATTATTTTTCTGTTAATTAATAAACTTACACCAATTCAAATTTATTTTAAAGCTTTTTCATAAATAGGTCGTCACTTCTTTTTGGACAAATATATTCCTTTTTATTACTGGTTCACACAAACTACACTAGTTCATATCATAATATTATGATTTTTACGATTGGAAAGAATTTTTGCGACCGCTGGCATTATTTGTGGCAACTCCGGCTTCTTCTTAGCACTAAAACCTCTCCCATTGTTGTACTGGGGGAATTTACAAGCAATTTTCTCTGCCAAAATGGCGACCGCTGTGATTCACCTGTAACGGTAACGACCAAAACCTGTTACAAGACGGAGTGGTATACTGTTTTATTAGGATAATGCTCCCAACCATCCTTCCTGTATTGATATGGTAGTCCTACTCTAAGAAGGCTTTGAATCCGCCAATTACTGAACGCATTTGCAAGGGCTGGCCCCAAAGATTTCAGGACAATTCAAAAATTAAGAAGAACATTCACGAAGAAAAAAATGTCAAGTAATAAACAGGTGGTATATGCCGTGGTAGAGTGGTTTTCAGCAGTCGGAAATTTTTGACCGGGAGCTATTGAAATGCTAAAGCGCTGATGTTATAAGTGTGTAGTTATAAAAAACTAAAAATATAGATCAAATATAGCTTTATTGTACAGAGGTTATGGGCAGAGCAGAGTGTTCAACTCTGGTACAGCAGCACTAAGATCTAAGCAGCACTAAGTTTAGCGTAATGTATCTTTTTCTCCCAGGTATATTGAAAAACAAACCCATAAAACCGAAACCGTACCATCTGGGTGAAGCGCCGTCACCGATACCCATTGTGACATATCCTTCGTCTGACGAAGAAACATCTTCTAAATGGGGTGTCAAATTACGCCATGTCGAAAAATCTTCCACTTACAACGCCAAGAGCAGCAGTAGGGATTCTCCTCCAATTTGGAAATCCACAGTAACAGTGCACAACTTTTATGAAAAGAATAGTCAAGAACAAGTAGAAGATGGCACTGCCGTGACTCCAGAGTTCCAAAAACGCCTTAGGAACTTGAGGCCTACGAGAAAGTCAGAATGCGAGTACGCCAGCGATTCAGATATCAAGCGGAGTACCCTTTGGAATCAAGAGGATAGCCAGGGTATGGAACAAAAAGGCTGCTACTCCACCAAGATACATTTCGGTGAAGGAGAAGCCACTGTCCTCGAAAATGACGATCGGCTAGAGGGCAACACGACTTGGCCGACGCTGTTAAAAAATCTTCCGAACAAAGGTAAGTTGTCGCATGATTTGGACTTTATTACAAGTTACGACTAACAACGTTCCCGTAGTATTCATCGTATTGGACATAATATAGCGCTACTGAAGCGACTACTTACTGCGTTTACACGTTCGCTACGTTAGGAAAAACGCTAGTTGAGTTGATCATTGTGAAAGCAGTTAGATCATTGCGTCGGTAATACTCTGTCGCACAGTGGTCCAGAACACCAAAATCTGACAAAAAATACAAATTCTACTGCACTTATACGATATTCAGAACAACCCGTCTTTCTGGGCCGCTGGTTTCAATTGCGGGGCTCATTTGTCTCTATGAGGGCATTTGTAGGTCGCTTTAAGGTCATATCAAGGCTACCTTAAAAAAAAACCGAGCAGTTGAGCCCAACTACTTGATATTTAGGTTTCCTTGTCACAGAGGCCGAATCAGAGATCAGTTAGTGACTAAATGGCATCTGAAGGTCATTTCAAGGATACTTCAATAGCAAATTCAAAATAAGTCTCGCATTGAAGTATTGATGCATGTTATATAGGTTTTTGCGGGCGTCTAGTCAAATCAAAGATTTGTCCCTAAAAATGCATTTGAAGGTCATTGTAAGTTCACTAAAAGGACGAATTGAAAAAACAGTTGAATGATCTATTCCGACCATCTGCTATGATATGGCAGCATGTAAGATTAAGAGCCCTATCGTCGTTCCTACGCTTGTATGGCCTCCTCGACTTTCATAGTATTTTCTCTCTTTCAAAATGGCTGAGGTACTTCTAGATTTTTACTGTTTTGTGTCAGCGTCAGCGCCCCCCTATTGTGGAATTAAGTTTTCTTTTTGAATCTCAGGAAATTTCAGACTGATAAAACAGATGATATAATTCAAAAGCATCAACAATTTGATGCAAATATATTTGTGACATAACCCCAAGTATAGAGCGCTTACAAGAAACAGTAGAAAACTGTGAAAGTCAAGGAGGCCATAAAGGCGTTCTACAATTGTAGAAACGACTGACGATACGGCTATAAATCTCTTGATAGCTTCCAAAACATCGTTAAATTTCGGCAAATGTTAGAAACCTATTAAACATCTCTCGGAATAATAATAGCATGAAAAGGTGAAGGTAAACCTAGTAATCCATTCAATACAAGCTGTACCTACATGAAAACAACAATGAAGGATTTATATTACATCAAATGGAAGGTCGCACCCCCTTAATTATAAACCGTATTCCGATGTTAAAAATTCAACGCACAACACAACAGATGATACAGAACCTTTCCCATTTTGCCGTAAAGCAAGTATTACCGATGATATACCACAAACTTCAAGTTCAAGTTATGTTTTAATGGCCAACTTAGTATTTAAAGGCTTTTGTCCTTTCACTTCATTGACCAGTTGCATTGTTTTTGATTTTTGGACAGATTTTTGCATACGTGGACCACTGTATGTCGTCGTGACAGGCCCCTATAGTTTGACAAAGTCATCTTGATCTGTGAAGGTCAGATAGCGCCATTTGTCGCTACTGCTGGCTGCCTATACTCATTCAGCTCTGCCTTGTGTGTTTGTTATTCGCTATAAAATCGAAAAAGCATACGTTTTCATTACTATTTTGCATTTTCACTAAAATTTAGCACTAAAAGCCCAACCATCCAGTTTATTATAAAAGACTCCAAACAGATACGGCCAGCAGGCAAAACACTTTCTGACATCATTTACATGTAACGTCAATTGTTACAGTCTACTATGAAATGCTTGAGTAAAATCCTCCCTTGAACGTTCCGTTATTGTTTCTTTAAAATCAAAGAAGATATCACTTCTCAAACGGCACGTTATGCAAGACTCGACCAAGCGACAAAAATATGTTTTCAGGAGGATACACAATCTTTAAGAATTCTTCAAAAATCACTGATACGTTTGTGTTGACTAATTTTTGTTCTGTCAGTAAAAAAAGCTGATGTTGCAAATTTATGTATGTGATCATTTATTTAAAAACCCTCATATACAGTTGAAACTTAACGAGATAGAATGGCGCTTGGTCAAGTGATGCTTTTGAGAAGAAAACTTACTTTTCCTTTTAATCAATGACCACAACAACTAAATGTTGTTTGGTCATGTTATGCAAAACTAGGAATACATTGCCGAACGATTATTCTCTTATATTAAAAAATTAAAATTACACTGGAGTTACAACATTTATAACTCAAAATACATAATAGCTTGAATATTGTGTATTGTATTCTTAATCTCATCTATGAAGTTATTTAAAAATCAAATGAAACGAAACGAAAAATAGCCACACATTTTAGAAGGGAATCAAGAACATGGATTGAACGGTTTATGTTATCCATGCTCAGTTGAAAATCTGGTTCACCATTATATCATCTCAATACTTGCATCGCCGAATACATCCCTATAGAACTTCCTGGCATTCTTGAGTAAAGGACTTAATAATCTTTGAGCACGTCAATGTGTGTAATTTTGAGTCGTCACTCCTCATCATACAATGCTTTTCAGAAAGCCCCTCTACTCATTCCTTGAACGGGTCAAGTTAGCAACCTGATATTCGAGATAGCAAAATTGACGCATGAATACTATATTTGAACGTAGAAAACACACTTGAAAATTTCCCGATGGCCGCTGGGTTCTACTGATTGTTCATTTTTTCGCGCTGCGATAAATCTAAAAACCGGAATCTTACCTCAAAGATCCTCAAGATAGTTCACGAGTAAGTTGCAATACTGAAGCATTTCAAAGAGCGTTCTGTACAGTTTCTATTAAATACACTGTACTTTAAGGAAGCTGTCGCACACCGCTATCAAATGACGTTTGGTTAGGCTATGAATAGCATAAATGGTACCCTCAGATATTAACACCGTTTCTCTCTAATATTCGTCGTTAAACTGCATTATCAACACATTTCACTATTCAAACTGAATTTGTCAAACTGCACACACTCGGTTCTCACATCATTTTTGAGAATCAGCAGCTCTTATGAAAAGAGAAAACTCAAAAAATCCAGATAGTATTATGAACATACCAATGTGATCTTCAAATAAAATCTGCTTGGCTAGCTTCATACAGTATAACTTAATACTGATTTATTACATTTAGGTGCTATGTTCTCATTTAACACAATTGTTATAATAATTTTAACTACCTGCCACATATGTATACGTTGTATAATGAAAATGTGTTCTCAAGTAGTGTATGTGATTGCGTTGCAGTAATCTTGGTATTAGATATGCCGTTGCCTGTATGATAGTACCTTTTTCTTTTATCTGCATGTACAGTAGTAGACAACTCCGGCAAAATCCTGTAGAATTAACCAACATAGAACTGCTTTCCGACCTGCCCTTCCTCTGTTTTATTGTATCAAAACCTGCAAATTGAAATTCCAGACTCCAAGCCACTACTTCAAAAAGGTCAAGTCGTCAGGATAGGAAAAGAAGGTCACCCTTTAAACCACACTGTCCGGTCAAAAATCATTACCAGTGGCTCTGAAAATAGCAACACAACCACAACCAAAATCACAATTGATCTCTCACCATCCCCTCTTCCTGAACACGAATACCTTTCAGCTCATCAAAGATCTCATTTCAAATCTACCTCACTAATACTAAACACTATCAAAGAAAATACAACTATCAAGGAGCAGCAGCAGGGGTTTCTAGAAGGAGCTAAAAGAATTGTTAATGGCTACCAAAATCATCTACGAATACATAGCAAACAATCAAGTCCTGTAAAAATGCTTCTTAACACAACGAGTACCGGTAGAGCTCGAATAAATCAAAGAAATTGTGCGGGTCATAGTATCCACGAAGTTGAGGAAGATTATCTGAAGGTTCCAAATATGGACCATAATCCTCGAAAGATCGAATTAAAAAAACCTATAAAGAGGTTATCTGATAACTATGAAAGCGATGAAAGTTGTACTCAGCAAAACCTTTTGCAGCATCCTAAACCGATTCTTGATCATGTGGATGCTAACTGCTGTTCATCCAGAAGTCATGGAATATCAGAAAATCGAAATGATGAAGGGAATACAAAAATGACTAAGCATATTCAGAAGGGTGATGATCCTAGTAAGCTACCTCACAGTGTTCTTATTAAACGAAAGTCAAATAAATATGTTTACAGAACAGATTCTTCCTCAAATGCTTACTCGGCGACAAACTCACAACGTAGAACAATGCCCATTGCAAGCAATGATTACGAGGTACTGAGATGTCCAAGGACGGACACTAAGAGTACTTTATCTAGTGTTAATGATAAGATAGCATATTCTCGTCAAGTAGTCAAAAACGTTAGTGATAATGCTCAACAAAAATCAGAAGCAACCATCAAAAGTTCACGCGACGGTTTCAATGACAACCATCGGCTTCTTCTCAACAACCCAAGTAAGACTGGAGATATTAGTACTGAGGCAATTTCTGGGGCTGTGGCTCTGAACAACTATGATCTCAAATTGAAGACTGAACAGGATAGTAGGTGGGGTGAGCAGAACTCCTTGGAAGTCTTGAAAAGACTATATGAAGATGCAAATAGCAGCGAGGATTGTAGTGATGCTGACAAAGAGGTGCAGCAGCTGATGACTTCTAGGACAAACGGTGGTGGCGGCTGGCATATAGAAAATGATGGAAGCAGTGAGGTATCGGGTAGCTGGAGTAAGATGAGGGCATACAAAATCATGTGGGGGAATAGGAATAGGACCAACGGAGCAACTTTCATGTCCAGTGCGCAGATCGTGGATAACGAAAAAGGTACTAATCTACTCTCATCGGTAATCTCTACGTGATACTGCAACATTATTTTACAACAAAATTTACTTAAATTCTACTATGTATGTGGCGTCATACCATAAAAACATGGAATCACTTTCTATAAATTTGGTCGAGCACTTTACACACTATACAAGCCTGTAATCCTTGCTCCACAATAATTGTGATCCCAATTATTGGGATCTCTCGGTAACAGATACGAAGTCGGTTAAATAGGGGCAGAGACGCACATTTAGGTAACATAAATTGCACTTTACGTTTGCCACTTTTCCTCCTAATAAGGTACCATAATAATTATAATTTCAATACGACGTCTCGTATCTTGTCCTCAATCATAAACTTTATTTTTTTATGATCGTCATATTGGATTTTTCTAGGTAGATAGATAGGACTTTCAATTCTGATTTGAAAACTTTGATATATCATACATCAATATTGATAAACTGTAATCACTTAAATGAAAGACAAAGTAGGCCTTGAAATTATCAGATAGTCACTTATTTCGTATCAACAAGCATTCCTTCAGTTTTTATAAACAGAACAAGATAAGGCTACTTTTTTCGTATTATTTAAATATGCCATGAAAACATTCCAAACCGCATAGCTTTAGGAAATCATTAAAAACAGTTCAGAGTAAGGAAGAGGCTCGACAATATTGCAGGTTGATAAATACATTCCATATCTGTCACATCTAAGTCGATGCACATATTAGTATTAGGTCCGATCCTACTTTGAGTCTATATCAGGGATTCAAAAAATTTAAATACAAATCATAAATTCATTGTTTCTGTTGTCGATACCACAATACTTTGGCAAAACACAAATCCAATCAAATTGAGATAAAAATTGATATACGAGTACAATGAACCAAAAAATGGTGTTACAACAACTGTCTGACTTTTAATGTTAATAAGACAAAATTTATGACATTCAAAAGCCACCTTGCTTTTATGAATTTAAATAATGAATTGACACACAAAACAGACTCCACTAAATTTTTGAGACTAGCCATTGGTAACAAATTAGATTTTACTAATGATGTAGACAAATTGCACACTTACCACAAACTAGCAAGGATTACCTATTAGAACAGTTAGATACAACGTAGGGAAAATCATAGACCTTAGCATTTACTTTCCGTATTTGAAAGTAGATTGCGATATATAGCATTTATTTTTGGTGTGACTATTCCTAAGACTGTGCTTTTTCGAATAATCAGATATACGACTATAACTAAAAGCAAACCTAGAGCTACATCTAGGCCTTATTTCTAAATCTTAAAATAATGGCTGTTGTATAATTTTTTATTTTAGAAACGACTCTTACTTTCAAAAATAACACTAAATTTGAAACATTAAATATAAGTTACAATATTAGATGAAAACAGGATCTTAAATTACTGGTACCTCGATCAAGACTCGTGAAAGGCTCAATAATTTATAATGATCTGAAAATTTACACTATCAAAAGAATGAATAATTTAAAGATATTCCGCCGTGAGTTTAAAAACTGTCTACTATGTATATCATAATTATTATACCATGTGTGAGTTCTACAATTCATTTATTCAAGATCCACATCTATCTATTAGCTTGCATTTAAGTATGAGAAATCGATCCACCGCTGAGGTATCATGTAGAGAGAATCTGTCGTGCTAAAATAACGCTCGTTATATTAGATACATGGGCAAATCATCTTAGTGTCCTTTAAACACGACTCCCAGAAACTGAAGCAATCTTTAATTGATGATGTAATCGACTTAAAATGTCATAAGCTGTAATTGTCAAGGCCGACTATAAAATCGTTAGTTTTTTTTAAGTAACTAACGCTTGGTGAAATATTAATCTGTTTAAAGATTCAATATGGCGATCATATGAAAAAATCAAGTAGATGATTGAGGATGAAACGTTATATAGAAATTCTAATTAAGGCATCTGTTTTTTCTTACTTCTGGAAATACTCTCAATTGCGAAACCCAATAAGTGACATCTACGCCTACTGGCGGGGTAGTATTGTAATCGCGAATATTTTCGAAAATAAGATATTGTTTGTTGGGTGTTATATGACATATGCACCACAAAAAACCATAACACTCATTTCGTTCGGTCTGTCTGTCGGTCTGTAAGTCTATCAGCTAATCTTATAGCCGCCTATAACTTGAGCAGTAGTGCTTGGATTTTGATGAATTTATTTTTCAACGTTTCAGAGACTCCTGACCATTTTTAAAAGACATTTTAGAGGCACAAAAAAATGAGAGGGCGGTTGTAGTGGGGTGGGGACGGTTTATCTCAATTTTATGATGTTAGTACATTTGTACATTCCTAACCTTGGTAATTCTACGTACCTGTTAGACATGTTTCACACATCATAGATTTTTCAATTAGCCCTTAATGTAAAAAAATATTTTCAGCAGACGGATCGCGTACCTACCGGCCGTGGCTACTGCTCCCGGTGAGTGTTTTGTTTCTCTAGAATGGTATTACACTTATTACCGCCGCGCCACAGCATACTGTTTCCTATGCTCTGACCGCGCTGCCACGTCTGATCGGGTTAAGTATCGGAGAGAAACGACGTTTCCAGTTGCAGTACCTGTAGGGCAGGGAAAGGATGTCTGTGGACTAATTGTATATACCTGTTCGACTGCCTTTTTTTCTCAGAGGTTCTAGTTTATGCTGAACATAGTCCTTTATGAACTGCGAACGGTGCATTGACATAATTTTTTGCCCCTATTTTACCGACTTCGTATCTCTTACCGTTTTCGAGATCCCAATGGTCAAACACTCTCGGTATGGGTATCGAAGAGATAGGGGACCAACGAGCCGTTGCCTGTGTGTTGAAGTCTGAAGTGACATGCAGTTTTTTCTTCGTATGTGACACACAGGCAGTAGAGTAGATTGATTCGATAACTGCGCCTAGACTCGAATGCGACATTCCGGCAACGGCTATTTAGTTCCTGATCCCTTTAATATCTGTATGAAAGTGGACTGCATAATAGACGACAAACTTTCTCTAATTGCAGATTCTGCACCACAACTTACATCGCACACGGTGGCAGACAATCCACCAAAGTCTACCGTGCCAGTGAAAGTGACTCACACTAAAGACGGATCATCCCCAACGCGTGAGCAACCTTCTCCTACTCGAAAAGTTCAACGCAACTCCTGGCCTGCCGTCAGACCTGATATAACACTGGTCGAGAAACTGTCTAGTCCGTCTCTGGTAGGCAAAACAGAAAAAGAGGATGTGGTTGGCAGCCATTTGAATAACGATGCTCTCAAACAGTCCTTGAGGCGCATCGCGGACAACATCGTAATCAGACAACCAAAGAAGTCTGAGATGACATATTTTGGCGTCAAAGTATCTCCAGGTCCTGAAAAGAAGGTATACCGCTTTTCATTATCTTAACAATGACCATAAAGAAATACAAGTAGTCTTGCGGAAACTCAGATGGAAAACAAACGACAATATTGTGGGCATGCATTTACTCATGTGCTTGAAGTATCACGGCAGGTCGATAGCTTTCCTCTGTGACGACGTTGGTTGATTCCTGGTAAACACTAGGTCTTCTGACCGAAGCCACAAATGTGCCTGGTGGCTCTTGTTGGGGGTTCCTAGTTGTATTTCCATTGCCATCCTTGTTTTCTTTCACATTACATTCGTATCCAGAGGTGACGGACACATGTTTTCACTTCGGTGTTTCCGATGTACATCCATTTGGGCCTGTTTAATCCAATAAGCAAGTCGCTCGTGTTACCAATTCTTCTATTTCTGTCCCTGATCCGTTATTGCGGACATGCCCACGATTTTTCTTTATTTTTTATCCAAGTTTCCGCAAGACTACTTGCCTTTCTTTGTACTTATGGGCTTGAAGTTCCACGGCAGAAAGCTATAGCTGGCCTTTGTGGCGACATTGGTTGTTACCTCGGTAAAACGAGGTCTTCTGACCGAAGTCACAAATAGTCTGTTGGCTCTTGTTGGTGGCTCTTATTTCTGATCCAGTTCCTTTATTGCGAATATGCCCACGATTGTCTTTGATAATGACTATCTAATATTTGAGTAGGCGATGGCAGCACCTCCTACCGGATGCCGAACAGAAATATTTGTGCTTAACTTGTGAAGTATAAAAATCAACGGATGTCAATGAAAATAGCAGACATTGAATCGGTATGAGGCTGGAAACAATTTGAACCTTAGACTGACAATTCTCTTTTAGAACTGGAAAATTTTATACTCTGCTCATAAATAATAGCCTAAGACTAATGTTTTATATTTTTGTCTGGATTTGGCCGACCTTTGAAGTTGTGTCATTGAGACATTATTATCAATATTTTATAAATGTTTTACATTTTCTGTAGTATTTGTTAACAGGAACATATTTAAACATTTTATATCAAGAACCAAACGTTATCTTTGTTCCATTTTTTTTCCAAAAAAGTACTTTATACGCAATTTCTGCAACAGGTATCGCAAGCTGTGATAAAGAAAGAACCAAAACTTTCTCAGAAGCCAGGTTTGTTGCATCACCACAAGAAGTCTCCATCTCCAACCAGATGCAAGTTTAATAAGCCTAGGCAAGAATCTCCTGAACCTATCTATGAAAATATCCATATCAATAACAAATATAAAGGTAATGTAACTTTGGAGAGTACTGACGATAATTTTCAACTGTTGACAGATAAGCAATTATAAAATTTCAAGGTTACTGATATCGGCAATTCAGCTAAAATATTTTAAAGATGACAGCACTTTTGGGTATTGCGAAAGCCGATAGCAGCCTATTGATCTTAAAGGAGCATTCTATGTATTGATCAATTTTTTATACTACCCAAGTTTCAAACACATTTCATTCAAATTTCAGTTTTTGACTTTTGAAAAACTATGCGCGAAAAGCCACAAAATGTAGGCCAATCAAATCATGATTCGTCTCTAGAATTTTTGCCTTTCACATAAGAGATAGGGGTCCTATTTCAGTATACCTTATTCCATATTTAGATAACAAATAATACGGTGTGGTCGGAAAAACATGTTCTCGCTTATTATTAAAAATATCTTTCTTTCCTTTTGCAGCGTAAAAGGACACTTATGGTCACTTGACTTAACGGAATGAAGTCACAGCAAAAAAACCGTGTCGCAACTAGTGCTATCAATTAAAAAAAATCAAAAAAGTCTACTTTAAATGCCTAAATTGATCCCGAATACAAAAATAGAATAGTGTAGCATTGGTACAAATCAAGCAAGTATTGACAAAAAAATGATTAAAACTAAGACAAAAATGTTGGAATTTTCAAATCTATTGCATAATACTAGTACATACAAGTTCATACTATTATCGGTAGATAATACCTAGATTATAGTAAATGTGAAGCACGTGATGAACCACCTTAAGGGCTAATGTACGGAGAAATCTATGATGTGTGAAATATATCTAATGCGTGCGTAGAATTACCAAGGTCGGGAGCGTATAAATGTATTAACATCAAAAAATCGAGATAAACTCTCCACACCCTCTACAACTTCCACCCACCAGTTTTTTACCTCTATTTTTTTTAATCATCAGGATCCTCTAAAACGTCAAAAAACTAAGTTTGAGCAATGCTTATTCTTTTTCGTTTTTGGCCTTTTTCTGTGCCGCCAGTGGGCCGATTTTCAAAACAAAGCTTTTGCGCCCTTGGCATAGTAGTAAAATTGTGGAAAAATCAGAGCGGTACTTGTAAAGTTATAGGCGGCTATAATACTAACGGACAGACAGACCGACTGAAATGACTGGACATGGTTTTTCGTGATGTGCAAATATATGCCACATGACATACAAAAAACATAATATCTCGTTTTCGAAAACTTTCGCGATTACAATACTTCCCCGCCAGTACACGTGGGCAGTAAAATGTAGAAAAAACTAATATACAGGTCCTGACTCAGCAGTTTCAGCATAGCTACGTTTACGTGCTTCTACAACTACAATACATTAGATTTAGTTATATGATGCACAAATGATACATGCAATTAATAGTCATTCTTCGTTTTTGTCGATTTTCAACTTGAAGTTGGTCTGGAAACTCAAAGTTGTGGAATTGCGTTTCCTTTTTTAGCAGAATTCATGTTGTACAGTATCAGAATAATTGAAAAATCAACAAAAAAGTAAATATGGTGCAAAACATTGTTTTTCCTTTTTATCATTATCGTATGACTTATTCCTCGGTTCAATAGTGCCTAAAATGTGTGTTTACATATATCACCCTGTATATCCGTTAATACGGAAGACCCTGTACCCTGTACCACTGCCGATGTATACTTTATCTGAAGTCACTTGAAACACTGTGAAATACCGGGTGCGTTTTATATATCTATATTTAACACGCTCTGTTGCTGCAAAAATCGCCAAATTTCGCAGCAAATATCCCCCGTATAAGAGATCAAAGGCAGTTTCACCGGTCCACGTGGAGTAAAGCACGCCTTTGCGTGGACATAGCCAATGAGAAAGCGTGTATTTCAGAGCTCGGAACAAGTGCAGGTGGCTACTGAAAATTGAAACAGTTTAGCCAGTACCGTGTAGCGGTGAATAAACGTGTTTTCTTTAGTCTGTCCGTGTTTTTTCATAGATTTTATTAGTTTGTGTGTTTTTGACTTTTGAATACTCAGTTTACTTGTTGATTTAATTGTTGTGTTGATTGTTCTTGTGTGTCCTAAATATGGCTCTTTGGAGACCTTGGGAAAATGCTCCAAGCCACGACGAGATGGTTGATGAACCTGTGCAGGCAGAATTCTTTCATAAAGATTTAGAGGAACATACCCAAAGAGTAATCCTAAATAAGTATGATTGTCTGAAAAACGAAAATCCAGATTCCTCGCAAAATCAAATTTTAAACAGAATTTGTATCCTGACAAAAATCAGTCGGTCTACCATTTATCGGGTTATAAAAAGGGGAGATGTAGTCAACCATTCCTTCCACAGAAAGCGCATAGGGCAAAAATTAAAAAGAATAGACGTGGGTTTTCAGGAAGATATTCGTCGTATAATATACGGATTTTATAAAGAAAATTTGGTGCCCACGTTGGATATGATACGGGATAAATTAAAAGATTATCCTGAAGATTTTTATAATTACAAATGCTTAGACTCACTGCACTGTATTGTAAAACTGTGTGGTTTTCAATACAAAAAATTAGATAAAAGAATGGTGATTATGGAGTCGTCTCGAATCGTTGAATTGCGCCAAGAATTTTTGCACAAAGTTAAAATCTATAGAGAGCAGAAAAGACATCTGATTTACCTGGATGAAACGTGGTATGATACCCATGATGTTGTGCAGTACGGCTGGGTTGACGACAGCAACAAGTGCATTTTAAAGCACCATGGAACCGTGGAAAACGAATCATTATTCTCCATGCTGGCAGTGAAAATGGATTTATACCTAATGCCTTGCTGTTATCTGCCAAAAATATCAAAGAATCATGTGCCGACTATCATGAGGACATGACCTCCGACTTATTTGAAAAGTGGATAGAGCAGCAGTTAATACCAAACATTTCCCCAAATTCAGTGATTATTATGGACAATGCGCCATACCATTCCCGACAGAAAAACAAAATTCCGAATACAGGCACAAAAAAACAAGACATTATTGATTTTATGAAGGATAAGGGAATGGAAATACCACAAAAATCAACCAAAGCCATATTATTGGATCTTATTAAAAGACAAAAATTTGAAAAAGAGTATGTTGTTGACAATCTGCTTCAGCAAAATGGCCATGAAGTATTACGTCTACCTCCCTATTACTGCATTTTTAACCCGATTGAGTTGGTCTGGGCTGCTTTAAAAAAAAAAGTAAGAAAACATAATCAGACCCCTCAATTAAGTGAATCGCTATTGGCCACAATAAGAGATGCAGTATCTCATATTGCTGCCACAGACCTATGGAAGCAGTGTTCTAGGCATATTATTGAAAAAGAAAATGAATATTGTGTTTTGCCTCCTGTAAATCCCGTTGTAATTCCTCTACAAGATGACTCTAGCGACAGCTCCGAAGGCGAGGATGATATATAAATACCTATAATGTAAGTCTTTATATACCTTTTTATATACCTACCTGCTATGTAAATATTTGCCTATGTCAAACGTTGGAATTCTGTAATTTTTCCATTTCTTAACCTTCAGTCAACATAAATTAAACTCCCAATATAAGTATTTTTTATCCCAAATCAAAAAAATAAGAGATAGTAAAATCCATTTATTGTGATATAAAAACATTATTATTATCGTTCTAAATAAATGCCGCACGCCTATGATACGTCATGAAATTACAAAGGACGCGCCGACCAAAGGTTTTTATGCTATTTCAAGTGACTTCAGATACACCATACTCAATGTCTTAATTTCATTTGTATCTATGTTTTGGTAAAGTATTGTGGTACCGTCAGCAAAAACTATGAATTTACCATTTATGTTTGAATTAATTAAACCGTTCATATACCCAGAGCCATCTTACTCTTAACTTTAACTCTAATGTGCGATAATAAAATAAATCCCAGGCCGGTCAGAAAATTGGAGTTGCACTTCGTTTTCTCACGTGATTGTAATAACGGTAAGTGCGAGCAACGACTGCTTTTGTACCGCTGGTGGTGAGCGCTAGAAACAGCTCTCCTTACAGGTAGTTTTAGGCCGGAGCGTTCATGCTAGTAGTTGGAAATTAGAGACTGGGATGCAATGCTGCTGCCTGTAAATTGACAAATTCATGCTTATCAAAGGTAAAAATCGCAGCACAACCGCATTAGGTGTTCGCACTGTAAAGTACAAATTCTCTGGCATGCACCTAAGCAGCTAACGCAAAATGAAGTCAGGCCAGTAATAACGTGCTTATTTATTTAAGTCAAGCTTCTGAAAATGTTTACTTTCTTTACAGAGAAGAATATTGAATGTCAGTTTAAGCCATTACAATATCAATAAAAAAACGACTTACTGAAGTCCTCCTTCAGGGCGAGACAATCCAAACAAACGAAGGAAAACCGTTAATTAACGTACAACATCAAAAATGCACGTGTCACAAAATGAAATATTGATCAGTAGAAACCCTTAGGGATTGAGTAACTATAAAATTATGTAATTTTCATGGTATTAGTTTGTATGAATTTTACAAATCAACATGGCGGTTGGTAAATGACGGCAAATTCGACGTAGAAACCAAATTTATTTTGAGAAGGAAGGAGTATGAAAATGTAATTGCGCACGAACAATTTAATCTTCTCTCTCAAAATTAACTTGTTGGTTGTCACACCGAATTTGCCGTCATTAAGTAACCGCCGTGCTGTCTTTTTAAAAACCAATGCTAAAGAAATTACATAATTTTATAGTTTTAGTCTATGTTGATCAATATTTTATTTTGTGACACGTACCTTTTTTGGATGTTTGGTTTGCTCCGTTTTTTTTTGATTATCTCGTCCTGAAGGAGGACAGCACACTGTAAGTAGTTTTTTCATTGATATTGTAATTGTTTTAATTAACATTCAATATTCATTGTAGTCTGCTCTGATGGAGAAAATGAGCATTTCCGAAAGCTTAACGTGAAGAGACTCTTTTTCTTCTGGCCGGATTCCATTTTGCGTTGGCTGCGTCCCTGAGGGTTTGTACTTTGCATCTTAGTAAGTCAGTCAAGGCTACCTTTCTCCTTTGAACAAACCATGATTTGTGCAAACAATATGGCATTTCTCAAATGCGACCAACAACATTAAAGATAGTCCTAGAGAAAAAAGGATTACTTAAGCAAATTATATATCGTAGGTAAAGAATTCGATAGCAGCATACTGGACGAATTAACTAAAGCTGCTGATCAAATTCTTCAATCTGTCAATGGTTACACTGACGAAGATAGCCAAAGCAAACAAAGCACTGATGAAGAAAAAAAGAAACTCGAAACTATAGACGAAGCTAGGTCCTTAAAACCGACTACATATTCTACAGAACAAAAAATACCATCAAATCAGAAGTATAAATTGAGGCATACTTCTTCAACTTCATCAGGTACGTCAATTTTTAAACCGATGCAGAGCTACATTTTGCGAAAATCTCGAAATCAAGGCAAAATAACTAGTATCGTCTTCTCTAAGAAGATGTCCAACCCTATACTGTATTTGGACGTTCACGCATAATTTCCTTTCTTACAATCTTGTTGCCAACTAGGATCGCAGAAACATGAGCGTTTACCCGTGAGGTGGCAACGCTGACACCCAAAGACGGTGGTCGATAGTTATATAGTATATGTGTTTATGTTCACGCAGGCACAAGTTTTAATAAGGTTGGGCATATTTTGGTAGAGTATGTTGCTAAATGCTAGTAGTAACAATAGTGTAATTCTTTTGTCCGGCTTTGCTAGAAAGGCGCATTTCCTTCAGTTCAAAATGGATAGTTCACTTGTGTTACTTATTTTAACGCTACATTAACACTTATTTATAGAAGTAACGCTTGTGTTGCAATTTTTTTCCGTTTCTAGTGGAGAGCGTCACTAAGAAAAAAGAAGCCAATGAGAAGATGACAACAACGGCAGAAAGGCAGGCGGCCCTGCAACAGCAAAAGAAAAAACAAGAAAAGAGCGACTCTAGTACATCATCAAAGGCACATTTGAAAGCCAGGCGGTTACAGAGAGCCAGTAGCAGAGAAGCTCTGTTACATTCGCATGGTTCATCTTCCGAAGATCTGCCCAATCGGTAAACAAGCACATATTCACTCAATTGTTTGATTGAGAATACAGACTTACAGTTACTGGCAAAAAATCTTTGCTGTTCAGACTTTTAAAGCGATGCCGACATTTCCTATAAGACGGACCTTGGGATTTGAAGAAGGGTTGCTTCTACCGAAGGGGTTCTGTACTTTTTATTACTTTTCAACAGGGCAGTGCCTTGGCACACATAAGTTAACATTTATAAAACACGTTATCAAAAACCTTGTTTATAAAGACATAGAGTATTTGTGTTTTTACAGGGTGGCTTTATCATTATCACAGTACTTTCTTTAGCAATTTATATCCTGTACATTACTATTTAGCGGCCTCTCGTGCCGCCTTCCTTGTCACTGCCATATCTTAGTAACAAATAAAGGAATCAAAAAATCAAATTATTCAAATAGGCCCTTAAAACTAGTTCCTAGACCTCATTTGGAAACAATGCGACCTGATCACAGATGCGATGAGTAAACCTTAGCAGCGGCCAGAAAGCGACGGGGTCTTTTCTACCTTATAGCAGTGACGCACATACCCTAGAAGGCTGGCAATCGACACTTGTATCGATTCGCATTGCTCTACATAGTGGTCTACCATTTAGATCTCTAGAATCCAACATGCATGGTACGATGTCAGCGCATTATATCTTTATATTCAAATCGCAGAATCTCAACATGCTACAAAATATCTCTATGTTCCAGGATTGAAGTGGCAATAAGAAAGCCTAGGCTGGTAAGGAAAACGAAATCGGTACAACTTTCTATGACTAATGGATTAGAATTGAAGAAACCTAACACTGCTGGGGACAGCCCTGCAATAACCAAACTAAAAGAAGATCGATGCATCAATAAGGCAGATGAAAGGTACACATACTCTTTATTAACCCTCTTGCTTGATTTAAGGTACATATTATGTATTTGCTCATAAGCAGTCAGATTCGTTTGATACTCGCTATGGGTGAAGTTCAATGTATTATGAAGTTAGGCACCCGCAGAGGTTCAAAGAAATATTTATTAGCTATGCACTAAATGTATTTGTAGAGTTTAGTAATGAAACATTGTGAAAATACGTCTTTGAATGTAAATTTTGGAAAATGGTGTTTGATCAGAGAGTCAACTTTTACAATTTGCCAACACTCTGGAGTTGTTTGTTGTAGTTGATGGCGTCATCTGTTTTACATTTACAGAATTTTGAACAGTCTACCCGAGGTACGACATAAGACAGCTGTATCAACGATAAGAAGCACATCAGAAAAAATGTCGAAAGATAAAGCGAAATACAAGCATGAAGATATGAAGAAGAAGACGCCATCTAAAAGAGACACAAATCGAGGTAATTGACTATTTTATAGATAGATGGATGGGTATGGACGGACGGACGAATGGACGAACATATGTATGAATGGATGGAGGGAGTTCAGTACCTATTTTCATAAAGCCAAAATGTCGGATCCATGACATGCCTACAAGGTTGCTGATAACGGACCTGATATCCATTTTTTCGAAATAAACGTGGTGAAAGCTGTAGTCAGCCGCAGCCAAAATTAACATACTTCATACCTGGGTGTCTGATAAACATGCTAGAGTGGATTCTAATGGACGTTTCTCCTAAACTCTTCTTGAATTCACTAATTCACTATAAATTACGGAAAAATTATCAATTACATATTGTCGTGTATTGTGTCATCGGTCGATATGCAATTGATACAATGCCATAATCAAAATTGTACATACCTTCTAACCCGGAATCCATTTTACCGCATCCCAGTACAGCTGGTTGCTTTTAACTATTTTGACACGAGTCGTATGTCGCATCGTCTATGATGCTACATACATTCACCTCACTATGGTTCCGCATGCAGAGCCATCTTAGTGGAACTAATTTTATTAAAAGATAAAGTATGCAACCCTATATGTGACCGTGAACAAAATCTGGAGGCGGGCGTAAAATTTTGTTTTTTACTTTTAGCCAGAGTTTTTTCATTCACTAACCAGAGTAGGACGCTAAAATTGTGTCTGCTACATATTTCAATAGATTGACTTGGCTCCGAATACTGGCGATGTCGTCATGGCATCCCGGTGAGGATGGGCTCTAAAACTGATTTTTTTAATTTCGGACGGTTGTTGTTTTATTCTAATGAATAAAATGTTGAACGCAGGTACGATATCAGCAACACCTACTATGAACTCCACAACCAACAGCAAACCGACTGCCCTGCAATCAGGAGCTGCCCCAACCAGTAGCAAAAGTTTAACGCCAGTGAAAGTGAAGACAGTAGGAGTGACAGCAGCGAAGAGTGATCGTCAACGGTACCATCAATCGCAACAGCAGTCCAATAGTACCACTGCAACTGCAGCATCTGCAGCCATCACTCAACATCGCATCTCCACCGCGTACGTACCACGATCTCCATCCTTGATGCACTTGAGTCCCCCTCGACGACTACGACGACGGTGGAATCTTAAACCACGCCAATCGGCCAACTCTGAATGTCCTTGTGTCTGCTCATGACACACCCACTACCACATTGGAATGCCGCTAAATCCACCTGCGTTAGGTGAACATCACATTAGTATCATATATAGGTGGGTGGTAGTCACCTTCGTATCCTATTCCTATTTACAACATTTGCTTACGTTGCCTTTTATTTGCTGTTTTATATCTCTGATTACAGCTTGATTAACATTCAACTGAAAATCCCTATTGTCAAAGCTGTGCAAGCGCCCACCATTTCGGATGATAATCCATCAAGGACAAGTCACTAGTTGCGAAATCGGCTTTGAACGGGGTCTGTGTGCAATGTTTGATGGGTGTATATGCGTTTACCTGATAAATGAATTATTTCAAAATGATCAACTGTTTGCGAGAGGAAACGTCTCAAAACTATGTTGTGATTCAGCGAGGCACAATTGGCTATTTATCAATCCACGAAGATGCCCCCGAGTATCAAATTTTGATAAAATATATCTCGCAAATGGTTGACTATTTTGGAATTATTCTATCAAAGTCAATTTCCCCAGCTAGTCACTTGCGGAATGTCTAACGACAAATGGAAATCGGCGTAGAATATTCAAAGGCTATAGACATCTGGATGTTATCTTGTATATTTGTTTAGGTGTATTCGGGGGTTAAACATACGTTTGAAGCTCTCAAAGGGTATTTTCTAACCTTGATATTTAAATTGAAAACTGGTGGACTGTCAAAATGCACATCTTTAAATAGATTTTTATAATTTAATAACCATATTATCAAGGTGCTACCTATATTGTCTTTTTGAACCGACATATTCTGACAAGTTTGCTTAAATGTTACGTCTCACAGTAGACCAATATTGATATTGATAATACTACAATTGCTTGACGAGCATTTGCTAAGTCAAGTCAATCAACGAAAACACTCATCATCAAATTCTGTATCTCTTGAATTGTATTCCATTTAGAAAAAATAATGACTGTGATCATCCGCCATCTTAAGATTTTCAACTGCCAATTTTTCTTGAATAAACAAATGGGGATCATTTAGAAAAAGCTCTGTATGGTGTAGCCCCATGAATGTAGATATGCCTCTTTAATATCACCATTATTTATTCATGCTCAACTAACACCATTTGTCACACAACACTAATGTAGCAATACCCACCCATTGCTGCTTCTGTAGATACTATTGTGATGATCATTTAACGTAGGTATGTATAACCTTAATAATCGAGTATTTCGTACATTAATTCAGTAGAGTAGAATAATGCCAAAATGCGCCATACGTACGGTATGTTCATTTCCATCACGGATTTATCGAAAACCACTAATTAAAAGAAAAAATGTCGAGACACGTCAAGATTTGTCAAAGGAGACAACTTTTTAACCAAAAACTACTTTACTCCCTTTCACCCTCTGCCCCCGGGGTCATCCCCTTAAAAATTTTAAATATCAAGGGGTATCGCGTGATAGCTTATTTGGAAGGTCTTTCAGTCCTTTACTTTGACATTTGATTTTTTAAAATCGGTCGATTCGTTTTCAAGAAAATTAGGAAAATCCTTATTTGTCTTTATTTGTTCAGATAGAAAATATTACTTTTTATCTCAATAAGTGTTCCTGGAAAACGAATCGACTGATTTACAAAAGTAAAATGTCAAAGTAAAGGACTTGGAAAGACCTATTACTCGATACCCCTTGTCTTTAAAATTGACCCCCCCCTGGGGGGCCGAGTGTGAAACGGGGTGAAGTTTTGGTTAAAAAGTTGCCCCTCCTGACAAATCTTTTGCCGTGTCTCGGCGTTTTTTCTTTTAATCAGTGGTTTTCGATAATTCCGTGGTGGACAAACAGGCAAACATTATCGGACAGATAGTGGATATAAACGTGGTCTTTATGATGTCCCTTTATACCTACCCTATAGAGTATTACACTGAGGCTGGTCAAAGGCACAAATACTTCGCTGTCATCATTTGTCAGATGTTTCTATCTTCAGATCATCTAAATTAGGTCAATAATATTTGTTTATTTTTATGTTGCACCTATCAAACACAAATATTTGTGTCCGAAATCCCCATTATGATCATACCAAGAGGGAGGTTTTGGAACCTTTGAACTTTTGGAATAACCCATACTTGAAAATTTTAGAGCCACACAGGATTTAATATCTGATTATTTATAGATCATGACTTTGTTATGGAGAGCTTTGAGAATCTTCCCAATAACCAATAATATTGCTGGTAATGGAAATTCAGTTCTAGCCTCTTTTTTGATATGGTGCCTCCACTTGAGCCTGATGTGAAGGGTCGTACCTAAGTGTTCAGTGATTATCTCCAATTATGTGTTCAGATTTGTTCTCCACCTCTGGATCTATTTCACTAAATGATTGGAAACAGAACTTTGTTAACAGAACTTACTAGACCTTTCTCAGTTGCTATCAGTGCTGCGTTATCTGCTGATACTGCAACTGTTACATGGGTCATAGCAGTAATGTGATACCTGCCGAAGATAGACTACTGGATCTAGAACGCTGCCCTGGGGTACTCCAGCACCGAAATCCAGAAGATCAGAATGCCCATCTTCTTGCATAACTCTGAAGGTCTTATTTGATATTTATATGAACTAATTATCTCGACGTAGTGGCTTGGAAGTAGATGGATAATTTTATTAGTCTTTCATGCCAAACTTTGTCGAATGCCTGAACGACATCAAGGAATAGTGCACTGCAAAACTCTTTCTCCTCTCGAGCTAATTCCATGAATGCTTAGGTCTAAGTCCGAACTGATATTCTGGGATACGTTTGTGCCTTTCTAAAACTGGCCTAAGTCGTAGCAGCCTTACTTATAACTTGTTGATCATTGGGATGATATGCTGATGTGATTCTTTTTTTTAGAAATATTAAGAAATGTGTGAACGGTCGACCGACAACGATGGTGACAAATTTGAAGACGTGATGCCACTTGATGCTCAATTGCTCATCCATCATCATCCGTGCTTGTTCTCAAGAGGCGGCGGTGTGTCACACAAGCACTTATTGCGCCGTGATAAAATATTCCGTCCTCAAACTCTATGCTACAATATAGTCGATAGGTTCCTAAGATTTCCTACTTTATAATCCTTATTGTATTTTGTTACTAGACATCAATAACTATCTGTGAAAAATATTTAATGCTTCCGATTTCAGTGTTCAATAGACGTTCCACTTTTCATTATATGTGTTTTAATGATTTATTATATTTATTTTTAAACTCTCAAATAATTGTGATTGTAAACTGCTTTGGTTTTGTGATTTTTTTTTATAATAAACCTATTAATTTTTGAACTGAGTATTTATTACTGTCGACTGCTTTTGGTTTTGTGATTTTTAATTTCGTACCTCTCTGAGCGGTATTTTTTTGATTACCTAAATACGCAACTTTGCCCCCATTCAAGCGAATTCGTATTTCTTACAGTTTACGAGATCCCAATGGTGAAGGTCTAATTTAAAACACCGTGTATGATCATCATTTATCAAGATATAAGAACAGTTTGTCTGTTCACAAGAAGCAATGTTGAAAGGGATACTGGAAACTGAATGAGGCCATTTTATCATGTGTACAAAAATCGTACTTCTACTTCCAAAAATGAAACAATATTGTGCTAACCCGCATTCAACTCAATTACATATATGTATGAATAAATTCGGCAGCAGTTTAAACAAGCTAACATATTTTCAAATACTTTAAAGTCTGCACTACCAGCTGGCTCCACTTTCTATATACAATACAAAAGATATCAAATCAATCCTATTTTAAGCACATAAATATATGGTATAAGCAAGTGCCCTTCATTGTCCTAAATATGGTTGCATAAACTAAATTTCCCAATCGGTCACGCCAGCAGGGGTTCCCCTATACACAGCATACTTGTGAGAAAGAAATATTTTAACCATGGTTATGGGTCACTAAGCACATTATGCTCGAGTGGTAATTTGTTTAATTGAGCCGAATAATTTAGTTACTTAAAACTGAAAAATTATTACCGATAACTGCTTAATTGACTATGTTTTTTCAGTGTAAGTGACAAATTGCTCTATTTTTGTAAAGCTATAAATCTAAATCACTTGTACCATCCGTGGTTTTAAGGTCTTTTCACTATTATCGATCTTCTTCTGATATGTCATTTCTTCGTTCTCGCTTTGCCTCGTGGCCAGTAGTATTCCTTTATTACGATAAATTGCTGTCTCCCTTACTTTCGTGAGTCTACGGATTTTTTGTTATTGTTCTATCAGAAGTCCCAAACTATAAGCGACGATTTGGTATTTGTACTAGACATTCAGATCCTGAGATGGGAGGTGTTGAACATTCGAGATGGTGTGCAAGAAATAAATGAAAACAGAAAACAACTGTAAACAATTGTTTGTAATCGCCGAATGTGAAGTGGAGCTATTATGCTTTCAGATATAACAGAGACGCAACGCGACGTTGCCAGATGAAAGGTACTAAGGATAGGGCAGGGGAGGATGTTATGGACTAACTGTATGGACCCGTTTGACGGACTTGATCCATTTAATTTCTTTGTTACACGTGTTCGTTACTAACTTTTTTCTTAGAGAGTCTAATTTAAACATGATGTTTTCGTACAACCAACCAAAGACAGCAAACCACACACAGCTGTTTCGTGCTTTTCTTGGCAACTCATCAGCATGGTCTAGGCTTGGTCTCTGGTCTATAAGACAACGAACGGCAGCACAGCATCTACCTTCTATCCAGCATATAAGGTCTAAGGAATATTTTGATAGGGTCTAGCTTGAAGTATGACGGCGTTGCGTGAAAAGTGTAAAGTCAACCTGCTTGACACCACTTTTTAAGATGTTCAATATATTTGTATCTTTAATATAATCTAGTTACTCTGCATATGAGCTTAGTTTTTCAAGTCGGACCTGTTGTCAGCACGTAGATCCATATTTCCTACTACTTCCTGCGACTTAAATTAGCTCCAAGACGCCATTTTTCATGTATGGTTTTTGACCCCCATAAAACAAAACAACAACTGCGTACATGCAATGTACAAATCTAATGAGTGACCGAAATATTTGTTCTAGTTGTTTCACCAGATCACTACAATCATCGTGGCGATAGACTAGGTAGCGTGTGACACTGCTCGCCAACAGAAGATCACGGCACACAGAACCTTCTTACCAAACCCCACTGAAGAGAACAGACAGGACGACGTCGAGTCCGAAAACAAATATAACGAAACGGTTCGCAATGCCAAAAGCCAGCACTATATAAATGTTAGGCACAGGGTAATGTCGCAGCGCAATGGCAGTCGGTCTTTTTGGACGCTGGCCAAGCAGATTGAAAAGAACTTCCCACACAGTAGTATTCCACCACTTACGTGTCAGAATGGAACTATTGTATTCGACTCAAAGGCAAAGGCGGAAGTGCTAGGCAAGATCTTTGTTGCCAACTCCACCATGGACGTTCCCCCCAATGCCGAAGTACCGTCAATTCAAAGGGTTCCCTACACTATGCGGGAGGTAACATTCAAGCATAAGACCGTAAGACGAGTGCTCTTGTCGCTCGACAACAACAAAGCTTCTGGTCCGGTCTTGATTCCTGCCATTGTACTGAAGAGGTATGCAGCAGTTCTTTTGCGTATCTTCCAGATATCTTATGAATCCGGCACCTTCCCAGAAAACTGGAAATTTGCTCATGTCAAACCCATCCCAAAAAAAGGATCTAAGGCTACAGGCCTATAGCTCCGCATTCTGTTATAAGTAAGGTGATGGAGAGGTGCATCAATCGCAAGCTTCTGGACTACCTCGAACGTCACAGCTTCATCAGCGACAGGCAGTATGGCTTCCGGCACCAACGATCCACAGGGGACCTTCTAGCTTACGTCATGCAATCGTGGAGTAAACTCATCCAGTCTTATGGTGAGGCTTATGTCGTTGCTCTTGACATCAAGAAAGCGTTCGATCAGCTGTGGCACGCTGCCCTGTTAAGCAAACTTCCATCCTATGGCCTCCCAGAAAAGCTTTGCAGATGGGTGTCTGACTTTATCTCTGGCTGCAAGATATACGTCGTAATTGATGGGTTCTCCTCTTCATCCCACAACATCCACGCGGGTGTTCCCCAGGGATCGGTCCTGACTTCAACACTGTTTTTCTTACATATCAACGACCTCCTTTCCTGCACGATCAACCCAATCCACAGCTTCGCGGATGACAGCACTCTACATGCAGGAGTGACAAGCCGATCTCTGCCGCTGAGCTGCAAAAAAGAGGACTAGCGACAACTTCCTCTCTGACAGGAGACCTGGAGGCTATTACTGCTTAGGGACGCAACAATCTTGTACAGTTCAATGCTTCCAAAACACAATACTCTACTTTGACGAACAAAAAGCGTCCTAGCGCTCATCCAGTTCCGATGGACGGCCGACTTCTGCCAAAGAGCCATTCATTTCGCCTGGTTGGACGGTCCGACTGATCGATGACTCTTCTCTATCAGACAGTCTCGGGACTATTTCGCACCGGCGGACCGTAGCTCTTATTGATGATGAGAGGAGACTCGTCGCTCGACATTAGCACCGAACTTAACCCGACGCGGTCCAACTCGAAACTAAATTTAGGTGTAGACGAGCGCGTGCTTGCATTCATTTGCTCGGCGTTGGATTTTCGGTCTGTACGCGAACTTATTCACATATTGGGCCAACGCAGGCCAACACCAATGTGTGATTGCTAAATCATTGGGCATTGGCTGGGGTTGGCCAGCATTGGCGGTGAATGATCATACCATATTGGCACCAAAGTTAGCTCCATTATGTTAATGCGACATTAGAACTACTATACTTGTACACAGATAACAGTAAAACATCAACAAAACCTATTCAAGTATTTATTTAGTCAATTGAATATAAAATATGTAAAAATGTAAAATGCATGTTTATGAAAAAAATAAAAGTACTAGATAAACACCACAAATGAACATAAATACCTGTCTTTTCACCAATTTTGACACTGCGAAAACATGTATAATTCGTGTTGAATAAGGTTTCATCGTATTAATTAAGCAATTGCGAAGTAAAATGAACATTTAAAAAACAAGCATACAACAAGTAATCAGTACATGACCAGCAACCCAAATTTAAACAACACGAAAACTAATCTTGAACTTAATTAATCAACAGTTGTCACAGTTTGTTAAGTATACAGGGTTAGACTTTCATGCTCTGGAAAGGATACATACATCTTCTGTTAACAGTCAGCTGTGTAGTGTTATGCATGAAATAAGTTCAGTATTAACAATTTTCAAGGGGAGTCCAAATAGTTTAACCCCCGAAAGTCGTAAATTGTATAGTCAGCCTAATACAGAATAATTGATAAAAATATTTCTTATTATTTGATTCGTTTAAGCATTTTAAGAAAACTTTGCACGAAATAGTGATTTTGTAGTGCCCTCATCTTTCACTACTTACTTTCATAATCTACATCTGGTTCTCGTGGGGATCCAGCCCTAATCTTGTTTTACTAATACTAATAAGGCGCGTCCAGACTATTTCTGAAAAGACATTGTACTAACAATTTTGTTACAAAATATTAGGAAAAAAGTATTATGTGCTGCACAATATTTAACTTGTAATATATTGCACATCAATCTGGTATATCAAGTGTGTAAACAAAATACTCGTATTAATACAGAGTCTGAACTTTTTTCTGGGACACTAAAGATAATTTACAACTATACCTAATGATAATGTCATCAAACTAAAAAGAGGTCCTTAGAAAAGCCTACAGAGTTCCCATGGAAAATTGGTTTCAACTAATTATTGCTCAAGCTCTGTATGTTGGTGTTCTCAACAAATGGAACAAAAGTGCCCAGTCTATCAAAATGCTGGACTCAAAAATTAGAATTTCCATGACATACAGTGATTTGCAAAAAGCTGGAAAACTGAAATCAGGGTGTTTAAATTGGTGCACGAAAAGTATATTCCATCGTAAAGGTGGCATCAGTAGTTGGAAATTTCAAGATGGCCTATGAGTAAGTTATACGCCTAGTATTTGAAGTCACTACCTTCAAGACTGACGGACTGGTAGGCTACCAAAAAAGCATTTTTGTAGATTAAACCGCTTACTACTCAAAAACCAGTCTGCAAATCATCAATATATACAGGGTATCCAAGGGTATCAAACGTAAAGGCGTGAGAAGGGAGGTGGTTTCCAATCAGAGAAACCATATAATATGCTTATCCGATTGTGCACGATTTTTGAGCTATCGCAATATTTAGGAATTTTTAGAAAATCGATACTTTTGAGACTGTACTATTTTTATCTGAAATTATCTTTTATTATTTCTCCATCAGCTAGGTACAGAGGAGATATTTTCATATGATGTATCGTTGGAAAAAGCTATCAGTGAAATGTTAAAGTTGGTATAGCAATAAGCTGAGACGTAATTGTATCTATTGCCAAAAGTATTACAGCACATTCAAGTAGGCTTCTAGAAAAAAATGGTGTAACCTTTCCATTTTATGAACTTATCCTATAACTGCGATTGTCAATCACCAAACAACATATCAAAATCTCTTACTTCAGAGCAACACATTAAGCTAAAATCTTCCAGCATGTAATCAAAAGTTATTGGATTTGTTTCCTAGTAAAACAACAGAGCTTGCAAGATTAGACAGTCATTAATAAAGGACACTGGCTGTATCTCGGCATCCAGTCAATCTAGAGCTACCAGGTTAGACATTATATAACACAACTGCCCAGGGCACGTTGCTGGAAATCATATTCAGCTTTCCAAAATTTTTTCAGTTATTCAAATACGCAACCCTGCCTCTATTTAACTGACCTCGTATCTATGTATTACCGATTCCGAGATGCCAATGGAAACTGTCGAATTTGAAACACCTGGTATACTTTTCAGTTCAAACGTTAAAGTTGTACCACGTGGAGGTCATCTCTGCTACTTGAACATGTTTTCTAGCGATTTCCTTTGACTACTTTGTAGCGGTGGGTAGCTCTACGTTCTATTTCTTTGTATGGAAAGCTACGATTATCATTTAAAAAAATGCCGAAAACTACCTTCCATAAGAATTCTGTAGGGTCCTCTATTGCCTTTTAAGGGTTACCAGTACATCACATGTCAGATGGCTACTCTAAGGTTTTCTCAGATAGTTTCGTGTTTCTTTGAGTATAGTTTCTCTCAGAACAGGGTTAGCAGCAATATAAGCTAAGCCCACCACTGATTCTGATACTTTTGCGGATACCAATATGTTCATCACCAAATTTATGAGTTCCTGCTTTTGACGCATCGACAAGTTGCTGAGTTTTTCGCCAAAGTTGGTATTGGACGTTGACGCACGATACAGCACGTTTCCTAGGACAGCACCTATGGCAAAATACATCATCGTTGCAAGTTTATCCAATATGCTTCATCCTATCAAAAATGGTGTCAAATCTCATACTTCGTATACATCCATTCGTAAATGCTGACTACGCATTCAATTGCTTACAAATTGGAAAACTGTACTAGCAAATTTTGGAGCTTTCAATAATTATCAGGAAAAAATAAGGGACATGGATTTCCTTGCCTAGAGCTAACAAAACATAAAAAGGAGTGCAATGTGCTTGACCACATTTTAACTTTTTAATCTGACCGTTTAGAAAAAGAAGTTCTATACAAAAGCTATACAAGTTTTCCGTACAATATTTAATTTGAATATAGAGTTTCTCGGAATAATAATTATACTCCGTACCTTTTTAGTTAGGATTATAGTTGCTGTTTTCCTGAATCCAAATATATGGGGAAGTCAATAGTGCGTGGACGGAAAATTGTGCGTTTATCAACGTTTTTGAATTCTATCACTGAATTTTGCATATCGACCCCCCTGTATATTGTTGCATATTTTTCTTATTCCTTGGTCAACTTTGGTGAAACTTTATGTAAGACGCTTGGTATTTAGAGCTAACCGTTTAGCCACAATCAGCCACCTTTTGGTTAGAAAACAATTGAACTTTGAGGTGTCATTGATCTTAAATGTTACTGGCTTAGACCAGACGGCTAAACTCTAATTCTTACTACATCAGGAGAAGCTGTTACAATAATTTGGAATTTGGAATCAAAAGTAAATTGATTTTTACGAATGCAACTATCTACTTCTTTCATACTACCAGTGGCGGCTCGTGCCAATTCAGTGAGGTAGTGCCAGAATGGAAGCCATAATTTTGAATCGATTCAAAATTGTAAAGAATAACTTATAACTTACCCCTGATAGTTAGTGGTCAAAGTTCTTGAGGTTCAATAAATCTATATGTCCAAAAAAAAATCAAAAATAAAACTATTTACACACGCGCACCAAATTATAAAACAAGTGTGGAGAAGTACCTATAACTTCAAAGTTTTCTATACATGAAGTCCATTCTTCTTTCTTTTTTGGTAGCAAAGTTTTCGATTACCTTATTATTAAAATTTTCAATGCCACTAACAAAATGTTTTTCTGCAGACAGCATTCCTAAAGCACTAAGCCTTTCTTCCTTCATTGTGTTTCTGAGGAAAGTTTTAATCCGTTTCAGCATTGAAAAAGAGCGTTCTGCTTCAGATGTTGACATCGGTATAGTGATTAAAATACTTAAGAGCTTAAGAGTTTCTTGAAACGTACAATTTAATCCTTCCTCGTTCAATAAAATGGATAGTGGAACAGCTCCAGAAGTAGTACTCAATTCTTCTCTCTGATATAATACTTGTAACTCAGTTTTAAGCCTGTTTTTGTCTAAAAATGAAAATTGTGTGCATGTGTCATTTAAATGTGCTTCAGGAAACTGATGTTTATAAACAGAAAACTTTTCAGACACAAATAAATTAGAAGCAACTAAATGCCCAGAAAAGTTAAATCTTGTTCTTATTTGCGATAATACTGCATCGCATATTTCTAACGCTTCCCGTTTTTTGCTGCCTTCTTCAACTTGCCTTTTTTTTCTTGCCGGTTCATCAGTTTCTCTCTGCACTCGTTCAATCTCGTCAATAATGCTATCCATTTGTTCTCGTATAGTTTGAATTGCTGCTTCAAAATTCTCTAAATCATTTTTGACCTTAACAGAATCGGTGCATACTTTTTGTAATTGGTTAAAGACAATTTCAACATGTGGCATTATTTTATGGAATATACTTAGCCAAAATACAAAATTTGTATCTTGCAGCTTTAATTTGTACCCACTGGCTTGATTAATCGACGAAGAATCGCGTGAAGTACTTTCTATATTGTCCATAACTTCAATCAGGTCTTTCCTATTTTCATAAACTGTATGAACACCTCGTGACTGAAAATTCCAACGTGTTTGGGAAGATCTTGGCAATCTGCGATTAACTATTTCATCCAAAATTTTTGTTCTTTGAGGAGACGTCGAAAAAAAAGAGCACAATCCAGATAAATTATGGAAAAATATTCTAGCCTGCTTATTGACAGAGCATGCGCTTGTCATAATTAGATTTAACTGGTGTGCATAGCAATGAACATAATTTGCAAGTGGATAAGTTTCCTTAATAATCTTTTGAACGCCATTCAATTCACCACTCATAACAGACGCACCATCATAGCTTTGAGCTATTAATTTGTTTGGATTTTGATCTATTAATGGATTTACAACATTTAAAACGCATGCAGCGATTGATTTGGCATCGTGTCCGTCGGGGACGTAAAATCTCCAAAATCTCTCAACTGGTTGTCCTTTACACAAATATCTGAAAATAATAACTAACTGAAATTCACAGGCTACGTCAGTCGTTTCATCGGCAATTACTGCAACAAAAGGAGAATTTGCAATCTCCTTCTTAACTTCTTCATGATAAACATCTAGCATGCACTCAAGAAGCTCGTTTTGAGTTGTTTTTGAGGTACCCTTGAAAAGTTTGGCACTTTGAATATGGACTTTCAATTCGTTGTCTAATTCGGCGCTAAAATTCACCAGCTCCTTAAATATGCCTCTGTTTTCCGAATTTTCCTTTTCATCGTGACCCCTTAAGGCTAACTCAAATGCTCCACAAAACCTTATACAATTAATAATTTTATTCAATACATATCGATTCTTATCCACTTGATTATTATGTTTAATTAGATCATTGCGATAAGCCGAATTGAGTTGAGTCCTTATATTTAATTTACCAAGAATAGAAAAGCTAAAAACATTATTCATATGGACTTTAGATTTTTCGTGGGTCTTCATTTTATCCCATATATGTATAAGATCATCTGTACCTTTTTTTGACCAAGTCTCGTCACCTCCAAATAGAACACATACAAAACAAAATAGTTTATTCGTTTCTTCACAACCACATATCCAGCTGTTTTTATCGTACACATTTTTATTAAATTTGCGACAGCGCGATTTTTGTCCGCTACCACTTTGTTTCTCAATTTTTAAATCGGGTATTGGCCGTCCTAATTCTTTAATTTGCAGTTTTTGATCCAGCGAAAAACCACTAAATGAGTTTTTTAATATCCCGATTTTATTCATTTTCACTAGTTTTAATAAAACAGTAAAAAATATGATCACAAAACAGAGCAGTTCATTAACACTAGACGTACTAAAACAAAAACGTTATTTCTCACTTTTCAGGTAAAAAAAGACCGAAATCAGCACTAGACGTAATCATAACGAAACGACCGACCGAACAAAAACACCGCCGATATCATTTGATAACGAATTACGACTGATGATGTGCCTGGCACAAATTATACGTGTCTTTCGCTATTCACCTCATATAAAAATGTGTATTGTAGCGTTATCTCTGTCGCTCGTATGCGATGCTGGTAAAATTTCTCTCTTTTTATTTGGGCCGGCCCGACATTGGCACAAGTTGATGACGTCAAGGTCAAGGCATGCTTTATATCTCGTCGCGTGGTTCGGGTGCTTGCGGTGTTGTCACGTTGTCAGTGTTGTCACTTCATATAATTTATACCAAAAAAAAAAATGAAAAAGCAAAAAATAAAGTAAAACATTGAAGATTGAAAAAAATATTCTTTTTGAAGAAGACAAGGTAGTGCCATGGCACCGTGGCACTACCTCACGAGCCGCCACTGCATACTACCGAGTGTCAAGCTTGGTCACATTTCTTAAGATATCTGCATTTAGTACCCATCTGTGTCAATTTTCTTATAATTATAGTTTTACCGCTGTATTTCTCAGTTTTTGATGCTAGTAGGCTGCAGAAAGTAACTGAATGCGCAAAGGATAAAAGATTATTTATTAAGTAAAAACAAAATAAAACAACAAAAATTAATAACAATTACATTTTCACATTTCCAAAATTTATCATTTATTTGAACAAAGATGTTAAAAATTTGTTTTGAATTTGAACATAGAATGAGTGTGGTCTTTTAGTAGTAGTAGCAGCAGTCGAAATTATACCAATTGACAAATCTATCTCGAAAATATGTACAATTCGCCTGCGAAATCAACCTATTTTCAATACAATTAGGTGTTATTTTTTATATTGTTGTCATCAGCATCTAGCTATTCCACTTTAACTCTACAACTTATGGATTGCCGTATAACTTGAAGCAACTAGCTTTGAAAATAATAATTATATAAATAACAATAATAATAATTATAAAATAGTAATATACATATTACTTAACTTTTACGTAAAATATAACCTTTCATGGATCTAAATGTTTGACCAATAGATACCAAATTACAGTTTTGACATGGAATACTGTGAACAGTATCAGATAAACTAATAATTGGGACTTTGTCCTACATTTTTAAGTTAGCATTATTCACAGTTAATATTGGCGTAAACGCTACCTTACAGTTCACTGCATATAAATGTTGGCAAGCTTGGGAGCTGTGATCGTTAATATATGGCAGTACTACAAAACTTTCCTGACGAACCAATACATGATTAACATCTGAAGGGACGATGTTATTTAAATCTAGGTCACTATTGTTATTACCATTATCAGAATTGTGAGTAATATTAGTGAATTGTGTACTAAACAGGATCTTGTTAACCAAGTTGGTTTGATTCCTGTAAGGAGGAATCAGCTGTAGTTAAAACTATGTTCTCCATCTATTTCACCACGTTTATTTTGATGCTAAGTTGACAGTAAGACTTCGCGATTCAGAAACCAGACAGCCGCAGTGGTTTTTCTGAACCAGTCAACCAAAAGTAGGTTTTTGTTGGCTTGGACAAACCTTGTATCCAAAAAAGTTATTGTTTGGTTTGTATCGTCCTTTTCTATGGTGAACTAAATATGAGGGTCATAGCTATTAAATATCTCCAATATCTCATCAATACCTTCGGCTGCACAAATAATTATATCGTCTACATTATTATTCTTTTATGAATATATATATATATATATATATATATATATATATATATATATATATATATATTCGAAGTTGAGTCATTTATGTTAACAGTGAGTAGATCTGATCAAAAGAAATGTTTTTTCCTTTAATATTTTTCTGGTAAAATTAAAGTAACAAAGTTATAGCCCGTTAGAAGTTTGAGAACCGCCCTGTCTCAATAATAATATTATGTGCTCGTGTTTGGCAACAACGGATATAATCCGCCTTATCGGTTCATCGCATCGGAAACAAAAAAGTGACAGAATTTGAATCGCTTATCACGATGTTTTTACTACAATTTTATTCAGTTGTATTCAGTCAATGTGTCAGTCGGTAACGCGTGAGTGAATAGTGGAAATGTTTACGAAAATGCTGAACTTGTGGACATGATTCTTATTGACGGGGGGGAGTCTTTACAAAATGCTGCCGCGGCATCACGGATTTATGCGGATCGGTTTCCCAATCGAGTGCAACCAACCCCACGTGCCTTTGTTAATGTAGTACAAAGGGCTCGCGAATCAGGTGACTTAAGACCTCACAGGGGAGGGCATGCCGGTGCTCCAAGACCGCACGATCAAATACAGGTCCGCACTGAAATACTTGTCGGGAGGATACTTTATAAAACAAGGTAACATTTTTTTATTAATTTTTTTTTTTATTTTTACACACATATTTTGGTTTATCTTCCTTCTACAATCATTATCTGAAAATTAATGACTCAACTTCAAAGTCACCCTGTATATATATATATACATATATAATTGATTGCTTACCATTCGTAGGTCTTGATGGTATAAGGTCTGATGATTAAGTCACAAAGAAAATTTGAGTTTTTGACCAAAGTAATAAAAACAAATATAGCAAAGCATTTAATTATATAGTCAGCAGTAAAACCACAGAGTGGTCAATTCATAGCGTGACACTACGTACATACATTATGTTTCTTATATTTGTATTAACCCCATTTTGCCTAAAATCTTAAATAAACAAACCTTGCATACATCCTTGTGCTCCTCCCAGCAACTGGCCTAAGGTTGCACCAACTACTCCTGCTATGTTTGGTTCCTGAGCAATGCCATCTTCTTCCAACAACACCCCCAGAATTCTCAATATGTGATTCGACACCTGATTCGACATTTCTTTCAACTGCAGTGCTGACACTACTTTGGTAACGCTATGTCATATACGACAAGAAAACCTAGGTTTCGATTGATTCCAATATGGTGGGCGAATTGTTGTTGTGAGCTCTTCCAAAAAAGTGAACTATATGATTCGCATGCTTGTTTACAGAATACTTCTAGACTCAGCATAATCAGATCCAGCAGACAGTGGCGTACCCAAGAGGCAATGAAGAAATATACAAAGAAACTCATGGATCCAACGCAAGGAGGTGATAAAGCTATTGCATTAGTCCAGTTAATGAGTATTAGTAGGTATAGCGGTAGTAATGTAGGTATAGTGATCGTCTTAAACGTAATTTTGGTTCGTGTCAAAACTATTCCAGCACACTCAAGTAGGCATGTAGAAGAAACTAGTGTTAGGCAAATAAACTGACCATAGTTATGAAAAGCTTCCTGATATAATGGCCATTCAAAATACCTTTTGGATAGTCAAGTATTCTAAATAGTTACTGCGCAAGATAGACAAAATGAGTCTTCAAGGTCTGATTTTACTAGGCTGGGGCGCAAAAAAGCGCGTGAGTCATAAATTCAACCAACGAGAAGGCGTCTTTGAAGTAATGGTTCTAATGAATGTAGTCGATTTCTTGTGAAATATATAAGATAAGATAAGCCCTAATTCCCTTATGGAATAGGTCATAAGTCACTTCGTTTAGCTACAAAGAACCTTTTCTTTTCATTTGCGCCCGGATACTAAATTAGCGGCTATGGTCATGAAATGCACCAATGACACTTGCGCCATACTCGAAGCATGATCACTAATCTGATACAATATCTAGCTTGATAATAAAAATAACTGTCTCACCGTTGCTGTACAAAATTCTGCTTGCTAAATTCACAAAATGCTTATTCTTGGACAAACATCGTGTAAATACTAAATTTTTTAACTAGTGTGTCCTCTACTAGACAGTGGGACGACTACGTGACATCTCCCTGTTTGTAGTAACAGGGTTGGCTTGAGGAACATGCATTTACGCACGGTATCCAAGTAAATTGATTATTTATTCGATGTTTGGTAAAGATTGCAGATTCCGTAATTAGTTTTGTAGGATACGAACGAGATGATAATATTAGAATATAACAATAAACGTGAAAACCACAAACCTATCGAAGTACCACCCTGTACCATTTCATTTTTATTACAAGGGCAGTATAATGTCAGGATAATATTGAAGCCACTTGAATGAATGAATGAATCTTGAATTTTAGAGGCATCCCGGCCACCATAAGGAGCCAGTGCATAGGCCGCTTAAGCGGGCCCTTATGCACCTCTACAATACTTAAATCACAAGCCTCGCTTTTAGCGAAGTTGAGAATCGCCTTGAGTCCAAGCTCCTTTACGTCCTGAGGGTCCAAAGTAATGGACCCCAGTATAGTCTGCCTATAGTAGCTCAGAGCTTCACAGCGACACAAAACGTGCGCCGAGGTCTCTTCCTCTACTCCGCAGCGTTCGCATAAGGGATCCTCAGCCACCCCCATCACGTGCAGGTGCCGCCTTAACGTGTTATGGCCAGACAACAGTCCCACCAGCAACCTTAGGTTGGCTCTACCCAGAGATAGGCAGAAGCGTCCATCCTTAGCACTGGGCCCTTCAATGAGCTCTCGTGCCTGGCGGAGATGTCTAGAGATACTTCTCCATTTCTGAGAGTGTTGTCTTGCAACCCACGTCTCCATTTTCCTCCTAGCTTTATGCGCGGTTACTCCTAGAGCTGGCTCAGGACCAACGAGCTTGCTGGCTGATCCTGTTTTCGCCAGAGTGTCCGCCGTCTCATTGCCCCTTATTCCAGCGTGCCCCGGTACCCATATTAACGATACCGGATGCCTCGCTGCGAGGCAATCCAGAGCCTCCCTGCATTGCAATACAAGACTCGAAGTAATCTTACATGCACTTAGTGCTTTCATTGCAGCCTGGCTGTCGGATAAGATTGTTATTCTTCTCCTAGGCCCACCCTCCTCCAGAATGTGAGATACACAAGCCAGAATCGCAAAGATTTCCGCCTGGAAAATGGTGGTGTACTCACCGAGAGGCAGAGATAGCCTAGTTCTAGGTCCAGAGACCCCAGCACCTGAGCCCTCTTCGGTGACCGAGCCGTCCGTGTACCAGACCTGCCCGCTCACTTCGGAGAGTCCTCGGCTACCGGCGTCCCACTCCTCCCTCGTTGGGTACTCCACAATGAACTTGCGGTTGAAGCGATATTTAGGGGTAATACGATCACCCCTGCTTAGAAGGACGGGGTCCTCCCTATCTAATTCGACTAATATGGCAGTATGCCCCTTGACCGGATTCAAGAAAGCCCAGCTGCCCTGACTCCACAGTCGATGAGCGACTACTCTCGCTTCACCGCGGATCACCAGATCCAACGGTGGGAGATCCAACAGAGCTTCCATTGCACTCAATGGCGTTGTTCGCACTGCGCTTGTAATGCTAATACAGGCCAAACGCTGAATTTTATTGAGTTTGGCCTTAGTTGACTCAGTTCTAATGCAAGGCCACCAGACCAGGGAGCCGTACAAGAGAGATGGACGTACTATCGTCGTGTAGAGCCAGTATACCACTTTGGGTTTAAGCCCCCACCTTACACCGACAACACGTCTACAAGCCCACATCGAATTGCGAGCCTTGCTAACCTTGTGTTCCACATGCTCTCTCCAGTTCAGTTTGCAGTCCAGGATAATTCCCAGATATTTCACTGACTGGGACAAAACTAATCTAGTCCCAAAGAAGGTAGGCATGACCAGTCCGTCAAGCCTTCTTCTCCTAGTGAATAGGATCAGCTCGGTCTTTTCAGCATTAACAGAAAGATCGACTTCCCTACACCACGATTCCACGGAGCGCAGAGCGCCCTGCATAATTTCCGAGACTGTTCTACAGAAACGCCCCCTAACCACTATGCTTACGTCATCAGCATAGGCTTGCACGTAGACACCCATACTGTTGAGCCTAACGAGCAGTTCGTTCACCACGATACACCACAGTAGGGGTGACAGAACTCCACCCTGAGGGCAGCCTCTAGCTACGTTCACGCTGCAGCTTACGTTATTCAGCATAGCTGTTGTTACCCGACCCTCCAGAGTAGAGAGGACCCAATCTATTAGGATTGATCCAACCCCGTGTCTAACCAAGGCCTGTCTGATAGAGTCGGTTGTGGTGCAATTAAATGCACCTTCAATATCTAAGAAGGCCACGAGTGCCACTTCTCGCTGATCTAGAGTCTTCTCCAGCCTCCCAACCAGATTGTGTAAGGCCAGATCAGTCGATTTTCCAGCTTGGTATGCAAACTGATTTGCATGAATGACACACCTTTCCAGTGGGCCATCCCTTAGGTATCTATCAACTATCCTTTCCAGGGTCTTAAGCACAAAAGATGAAAGAGTAATCGGTCGAAAATCCTTCGGGCCAGTATATCTATCTCTGCCCGGTTTAGGAATGAATACCACTTTAGCCTGCCGCCAACTTCTAGGTGTGAAGCCCGTGGCCACACATGCTCGAAACACATTCAACAGGTAAGGAACAACCGAAATTCGTCCCTGCTGTAACATGGCCGGAAATACGCCGTCCAGACCTGGACTTTTGTATGGGGCAAACGAATCTACTGCCCATACCGTCCTTTCGAAGGTGACAATCTCCCTTGCCGTGCGCCAGTCCTCCCTTGAGGGCCTGCGCAACTGCATGCACTCTGTGATTGATCGCGCTACTGTGGAACCGGGAAAGTGCGTATCCATCAGAAGCCTCAGAGTATCTTCCTCGGAAGTAGTGTTCCCTCCCGAGGGATCATGCAGAGATCCCAATCTTGCTTTAGTGTCTTTGCATAGGACTCTGTGTATTCTTGCAGTAGCAGGAATGTCATTTATGGACTGACAGAAGTGCCTCCAGGATTCTCTGGAGGCCCTTCTAATCTCCTTTTTGTACTCCTGCAATGCCTTTTTGTATTCTTCCCATAGAGGAGAACCTCTCCTGTGCTTAACTCTGCTAAGAAGTTTGTGCACCGCTCGTTTTCTATCCTCTAAATCTTTGGTCCAGAAGGTTGCCTTGCCCTTACCTTGTACTTTGCGTAACGGGCAGTTTTCCTCATATGCGGCCGTCAAGTCCCTGCTCAGAGACTCGACAGCTGCTTCTATGTCAGAGCCCCTGCCAAGCCTGTATGGGACCGCTCCAAGCTTACTGTCAATGTCTGCCCTAAAGGATCCCCATCTAGTATGCCTGGGATTCCGAGCATATTTATCCGGAATCTCTCCATCAGTCTTGAACAGTATATACCTGTGATCCGATAGAGAGGGTGTTAGAGACACTTTCCAGTCCCTGATGTCCTGAGCTAAGTTAAGCGTGCTCAGTGTTACGTCGATAACCTCTTCTCTTACACTATTGCTGAAAGTGGGCATGTTACCGACATTCAGAACCTCAAGGTTCGATGCCCCAAGAAACTCCATCAGGTCTTCGCCTCGTCTGTTGGTGTTCGAGCTGCCCCACGCAACGTGATGGGCATTACTGTCGCATCCAATCACAAGGTCGAGTCCAGAATCCCTACAGAATGCGACAAGGTCCCCCATTTCCTTAGACGGAGGAGGGTCTCTTGAATCGTAAGGAAGGTAAGCCGAACAGACAACCAAGTCCCTGTCACTGCCTTCCTTCTTATATCTAATTCTGACTGCAACTAAGTCTCTAAATGTAAATTCTTTAAGTTGCCATGAGTTGACGGAAGTCATTACGCAAGCTCTGGGCTTAGTGTCCGGAGTATCGCTAAAAAGCGTATAGCCCGGTATACTAAGCCCGTTTACTGAACCGTTTCTCAGCCAGGGTTCCTGGATGAGAGCCACGTCATGTCGGCCTCGAGTGATCTCCTGAGTAAGGGCCCTCGAAGCCGCTATGCAGTGTTGTAAGTTAATTTGGATGAAATTAAAACTTACCATGGATGTTGAGAGGCCCTTCCTACACCTTCTCGAATGACGGTATGTAACCCCTATTCGGGCGTACCGCCGTCGCCGCCGCAGTCATCGCTGCCACAGCCGCCTTCATCTCCGCTTCCACGGAGGAGTTCTCGGACTCGGTTCAGGATTCCATCCTCGTCCGAGTCGCTATCGTTTTCCTCTGGGACCAGATCCATCGCAGGGTCCGCCACGATGTTTTCTGCGGATATCCCGCTTGGACCCGCCGCCTCCACGTCCGTAGCCTCCGGTGGCTCCAGCGAGAGCTGACCCGGCCGACCCATCCCCTGTGAAGGAGCCTGGTCTACCGCCACAGCTCCCGTCGGTCTGGGCTGGTCCGACTCCTGGTTTGGAGCCAGGCCAGTTCCAGCAGGTGTCGCTCCACTGCTCTTCTTCTTGCTCAGGAGTGTAAACACCCCCGAACTTCCACCGCAACACAGCCTGTTGCCGTTACCTACAATGACCTTCCAGCTTATGGAATCAACTGAGAGGACAAGTCGGACACCTATCGGCTCTTCCTTCCTCTCAAGTATCCTCCACGCGCTGGGAAAAGTCCCAGGATTATGTCTCCTGAGTCTCCTCGTGATGACCCCGTTGTCCAGGTTGGGACCCGGAAACCAGGCCATCACGCGGTGGTATATGGGAAGGTCTCCAAAGCTCATCGTAATGAGCCTTGCGCCTTCCCACGGCCGCAGATCCCCCACGTGGGCCTCCAACCATGCCCTAGAGGATTCGTCCTCGCAGACAAAGATGGCTGCCCCTCGAGAGAGGTAGCAGTCAATGTACCTGGGAAGGGTCACCTCATCTGGGATCCCATCTATCAGCACACTGACCGCCTCCTGGACCTGCTGCACCTGTACATTAGTAAGTTGAGTCCCAGGATAACCGTCGGACACGACGGCCACCCTGAGACCCGCTTGGGACGCTCGCGCATAACTAATTTGCGCATGCGTCGCAGTGCGAGGCTTCTTCCGCGAGGATGCGCCCTCCGGTGTCCCACCGGCAGACCTCTGCCACTTACTTGGTGATAGAACGGCAACGAGTTATCCTCCTTTGGCAAGCGATAAGGGCGATACGATGGATTGTTGGGTCCAATATCTATTTTTAGAAAAATGACTTGAGTACCTCCCATATTCAACCAACTCATAGCATGCACTACCTTAGGATTACATTAATTATCCGTAGTGGTACCACTCCAACGTTATTTATTATTAATTTATCATATACTGGTCCGCAGATCCTAAGACTGGGGGCACCCCTCTGGGACACACGTAGACCAACGGCCATTGTGTCAATCCCCAAAGGCTCCGACATTACTTCTTAATCAGAGATAGCCGAGCAAGATGACCAACTTTAGAATAACAATCCCCACGCACATTCAGATGCCAGCGATTACCAAGAGAAGATGGTTAAGCGGTCATTCATACCTAGGACGCCACTTCGGCCAAAGGCCACCGTGTCAACATCCCAAGCGCTTCGACGTTTCCCCTCATAGAGGAAACCGAGCAGTAATTAACATAACCACCTAAACCCAGCAATCGGGTACGGAAAGTCTCATAACAACCCCCAGAGACTGGAGGCGTCACTCCTGTATGAGCCACCTAATTTCCCTATGCTTATCCGCAATTATTGAGTCCGTAAGCCATTGATAGATATATGAATATATGACCCAAGCATCTTTATAAATATGGATATATGCTCAAAGCATCTTTATAAATGTGAATATATGATCAGAGCCTCTTTATAATTATGGATATATAATCAAAGCATCTTTGTAAATATGAATATGCTCAAAGCATGTTTATAAATAGAGCTATACGATCCAAGCTTCTTTATAAATATGGCTTACGACATTCATGATCATGAATATAAAAGTGTTATAGTTATCAATCCATGCAGTACATCAGAATTAAGGAAATACTCAGTGATTGCTCACCTTTCAGGTAACCAAAACAATACACTCAATAGCACATCAACACTGAAATTAGGTCCACAAAGCGCACTACTTGGTCTGAGAAGCGATCTTCTCCACGCAATGTTTGAACCGCATTGCCAGCCACGTCCGTGTCTTTAAGAAAGTTTATCTTGGGAACAAGTACCCAGAGAAGGAATGGAATGTATAACATAACCAAGCGTAAGGGCCGCCGCGCTGAGTGACACTAAGCAGACTTGTGAACCTTCTGGAGAGATTTTGTGGGCTACAGGGTTGAACGCGCATGCAAAAATGTGTTTAAGATATTTCGTAAGCTTACAGTTTATGTCTTCAAGGAATTTATTGAGCAGAGGTTTGTACAGCAATAGTGAGACTCTGTTATTTTTAATAAAATTCTCAGCAACGGCGTCATATTAATACGAGTATCTATATTGTATCACGTTCGATGCATGCTTCGACTAAGCCACAAATCCTTCTTTTTGATTTGTCGAATTTACGAATATACACCAACCCTTCTTTGTGATTGATCGAATTTACGTCAAATTTGTGTTCAGACACAAATGACAAATTAATTTTTCTAGCTGAATCCTGTGAAATATTGAGTATTTCTTGATTTAATATGAGAGTTAGGAGTCCATCTTACACAAATCGTATAATGTTTCTCTAATTTGAGAGAAATTTCTCCAGAAATCGAACAAACTCATTAGATTCATTACTTCAGAAATGCCCCCTTATTAGTACAATTTGTGCCAAATGCGCAAATTTTGATTTCCGTTGGTCAATAGTAAAATCGGGCCAAAAACTACTTAACCTTGTAACTGTCACTGCCAGTCTTCTACATTCCGAATAGAGTCAGGAAAAATAAATCCTCAAATTCAAATGAGTGCCAGCGCTAATCAAGGTAAGGTCTGGCAGCCTTGACTTATGAAGTTACAGAAGATGTCTTGTATTACCTAATACGATCACGGCCTTTTGTGACACAAATGAGACAATAAAATAACGTCTGTACTATAAAAGACCTCTGTTGGCCGCGTGGGTCAGAGTGTCGTGCTACTGATCAGCCGGCCGGCCGGGCGCGAGTTCGAATCTCGCCTTCGCCATGGATGTTGTGTGTTTGTTTTAGGCAGCAGCGGTGGCCGCAGTAGTAGACTCTGCGGTCTCCTGATCAGTCGCCGTGCGCTGTGCGGGTTCGAGTCCCGTCCCAGGAGAAATTTTTCTCTTGGCTATGGATGTTGTGATTGTCCGTAGGTGGTAGATGGTCTCTGACTGTCGAACGCGGAGGTACCACCCGGCGGTTCTCGTAGGCAGAGCCAGAATGTGTGCATGTTGCATGCACACGTGTTCCCTCGCCAGAGTCCGTGTGGCGTCCCCCCTTTTCCCATGTATCCCCCTATAGCCCCACGGTACCCAATGGGTGCTTAGGCCTTAGGCCTTCGTGGTAGTTGGAGTATAAACAAAAAAACTGCAGAGACATTGCCGTACTCATTCCGCTTTCGTGATCCTATTATTGTGATTTTGATACAAGATGCTGCTCTGGTCACAAAAAGACGCAGTAAATGCACGTCTCTTATGGACTATGCAATGGAAATGCTCAATTAGTTGCTGAAGAGTATCGAAACCCATGTTCCAGTAGAGGAACTTTTCCAAACTACTGTTTAGGAGAAATATTTTTTCAAATGAATTATTTTGTGATCTCTTGAAGCTATTGAAATGCGCGGTTATCAACTTTTCAGAGCATGCTTTGTACGTTTTAGACTAACTTACTTGACCACTCTGGAAACGCGAGCTGATTAGGAACCTGCTGTCAACAATGGTAGTTGCTATTTGAAAATTGGAACATAAGGAATCATCGTTCAAAATGAACAGCACTTAGAGTGTGTTCTAACACCGCCCATGAATTAAATCTACTCTGTCGTATAATAATTTATATTTATTAGGAAAAAATAATAAAATAAGTTTGCTATTTAAATGGTCCATTCTAGCCCGATGTAGATGATCTTGAGCTGCTTCCCTTGCTGCCCATACCGGAACCAATGCTTTCCATACCGGAACCCATGCCTGCCATGCTTCCCATACCGGAACCCATGCCTGTCATGCTTCCCATACCGGAACCCATGCCTCCCATACTGGGACCCATGCCTCCCATACTGGAACCCATGCCTCCCATACTGGGACCCATGCCTCCCATACTGGAACCCATGCCTCCCATACTGGGACCCATGCCGCCGGTACTTGAACCCATACCTCCCATATTGGAACCCATGCCTCCCATACTGGGACCCATACCTCCCATATTGGAGCCCATGCCTTCCATACTTGCCATGTCTCCTCCTTGACCTTGTGGAGGAGGAGGTGGTCCCTGCCCTTGAACTAATAAGGCACTATTACCTAGCACCTGGAATCAAGAACACAAGAAATAGTAATAAGTAGATTGACTTAGCACTTCCCAGTCACCTTTATACGTCTACTTTCAAATGATGGAGGCTGATTTGAGTGGTTTTTGCTTCGAGTTATTATAGGTGGAAGACGCATATTAATTCCTGTATTCAGCATAATAAGACAAGTTTACCTTAAATGGAACATTCCCAACTTGCCAATCCCCCTCAACTCTGAATTCGTAAGAGTTCCATGGGAAAAAACTGATACCGTTATATCTTTTCGATATTTTTCCCCATTGCTTCCTCACAAAAATTGCAACATGTGAGTCCGGCGCCGCGGACAAAATGTAGTTGAAGGCTACAGGAATTCTTTTGATGCCCAAAAAGTGAACCTCAAAAATGAACAGCAATCAAAACAGCAGAGACTGATGTTTCTAAACAATTTTGTACTAAATTCAGGAATGTTTTAGGATGTATCCATGCTACACTCGAAGATAAAAATGTGCACTGAAATAATATTAAAATAATTACTTACCAAAACAATGGAATAGGCACAAAATATTACGACTACAGTTTTCATCTTGAGTTCCTGGGAATTGAATAGTTATCTAACTTGCTACCGTTTGGCTTCCAATCCACTTATATATTGAGCTTGCTTATAATATTTTTTTAATCTCCAATCAAAATCAAATTTAGAACTATTATGATAAATAATGTTAAAACCTTGAAAGTTGTTATTGTACCAGTTTAACAGTATTCGATTCAACGGTCTACCGTAAAATAGTCACCAGTTCTGCAGAAACAACATTAACATGCTTAATTAAGCGAAATACACAGATTCAAATAGGTGGAATTGAAAACTTGGATCATGTGCAGAGACCAATCGAATTCTGTTTCCCAAATAGCGCAATTATATCATAAAAACGTTTCGAAAACAACTTCTGGAGATATTAGAGACGGCGTAAGGCTGTCCTGTAAATGCTGTGCAACATCGTAAAGACATTGTAAAGACGATGTGTGTCTTAAATACGGCTTTATAATACGTTCACAAGTCCTTAGTGTGGCATTAAAACGACATAATAAAAATAAAAGTATTATCTACGTATTTACCGACAAGGATGATTTGCAAACAAGTTTCTTGAACTGTCAAACTTTCTTGTGTGGCTGTGCAGCGATCCGAAGCTCGCCTTAGCCAAGTTACAATTGCTAACTCCACCTCGTGGTAGCTTTGATATTTACCAGCCCTACCAGCGGACACTGAGATAAATAAGTAGGTACAGGTTGTTCCATTAACTTTTTTAATTTTGTAATCTAAAATTTGTTTGTAACGTTGTTTTTATACAAGTTAGTATGTTGTCTCATTAAAAAAAAGACAATAATTGAGAGATAAGAATAAGTCTTAGCTGTTGTTGCACGGTTCCACTTAAAGTTGCACTCTATAATGGCACAAATTAATCAAAAATCCTCCAAACCAAGCTGTAAACAATATCTTGCTTGCCGCTGTGGTCGAAACCACCAGACTGGTGAATTGTAAGCATTCGCGAGAGCAGTTGCAGTTGTTCAAGTTCTACGAGTACATTCTTGAAAGTCACCGTTGGAATTTTGTTCAAATTAGTTAACATTCAAAGACTACATCTACCCTTAAAGACAGAAGACAATCGGAATTTACGGTAACACGGGTAACAAGTGAAAAATCATAATGGAAAACAGAAAGCGGCCAAGAAAGTTTGCTAGATTGACGGATGATAGAGCTAGGGACGTTGCAGAAGTAAGTATAGGGATGTGTTCTCTTTAAACGACGCATCGTCTTATGCTGGCCAATTAATGAATTAAAATAGAATGTTCGCGATTAATCTTAACGTTTAAATGATTCCAGAATTCTAGAAAAAGACAATGCTGCTTAAAAAATACAGATATCTGTGAACACTTCAACGACTTGTTCTTTTGACACTGTTGAAAATAATGAAATTGCAGTAAAAAGTACATTTACGAATCTTAAAAAAGTGTTAAAAACATACTTGTGGTTTGATAAACAAGAAATATCTTTTACTTTAATGCTTAATTGGGTGATTAGCAATTGGATTGCCGTATGTTTACTGATATTCCTAACTTTTTAAAAAACCTGAACTCCGAAAATCGCATCTCTTTAAGAAGACTCGAGAAAACATCTTAATTAGTGTAGCTAATAATCTGTGGTCTTAACGATGTTTGTTTTATGTCGCGTCGGGGTGCACGTAAAATGTCGCACTAAAATTGTCTCAAAAGCATATTTTTGATGTCCTGGGAATTCAGATATTATGTTCCGTCCTTGTCGAAGTAAAAAACCCCACGATTTCAAAGCGCGCACGCAGCGAAAGAAAGCGGCATGGCGCCCGTTCCCCCTACCTTCCTCCCCTCTAGCCGCCTATAAACATTAATTCCTTGTTCTCGCGCCAAACCGTTAAGACGTCAATCGGCGCGCATCTTTTCTACCTTTTCAGCAGTGTCGAGGAACCGCTGAACATTTAGAATAAGAGAACAGGACAGAAGGTTGGCCGATAGATGTGCATTGTCGAACAAGATACCGACCGACAGTCGCCTCAAGGTTCTTTCGTCGAGGAGCAAAATTAGAAAGTGGCGTGCAGGCCTCTCTTTCTGAAGGGGCGTCACCATCAGGTAACTGTCAACTCACCGATCTGTTTTAGGTGCAAGTTAAATGAATATTAGTATGGATGCCTCACCGACGCTACAGACTGTGCCTAACATGACGTTTGGGATAACGTTCTGACACTGTTGCTTGGGATAGCAACCTGGAGCTAGCTTGTGATAGCCAACTCCATACCTAGGACGAACAAAGACGTTTGGGATAACGTGGAAGCATTAGACTAGGTTGCTTGGGATAGCAACGTGGACATGGCTTGGGATAGATCACACCAAGGACGAATGAAGATGTTTGGAAAAATGACTCAGTACTGAACTTCGTTGTACAAATAACAACCCTGAGAGCGTTTGGGACAATGTAGCAGCAAGGTATGGTCAACAATATTTTCTCTTTTGCTCGTGATAGCAAATTTCATCTGGTTTGTGATAACCATGGAGCAGGACTGTAAGTTTGAACATGGCAGGATAGGAAGTTGTTAAGATATATTTTTTCCTTATTGCCAGATAGAGATTAGGTAAGTTATGTGAGGTTAGCGTTATATTTTGCTTGTGATGGCAAATTCGATCTGGTTTGTGAATACCCTGGAACAGCATAATAAGAATACACAAGACTGTTGAGGAAACTGCCGAAGTACCATTTTTCATAAATAACAAATGGAAATTAGGTTCATATATGCGAGACTATCGTTATATTTTGTTTGGGATAACAAATTCTATCTGGTTTGTGATAGCAATGTAGCAATATAACATCCTCCATTTATAACAGATAAAAATTGGGTATATCTATGTGAGACTAGCAGCACATTTTGCTTGCGATAGCAAATCCCATCTGGTTTGTGATAACTATGGAACAATATTCTAAGGATGCACATGAGAAGGAAGAGGCCAAAGTACCATTCTTCATTAATGAATGACAGAGATTAGGTAACATATATGCGAGACTAGCGTACTAGGTATGTAACTATGAACATGTCAGGTTAGAAAACCGCCAATGTATGTCTTTTTCTTATCGCCAGATACAGAATAGGCACCTCATGCGAGGTTAGCGTTACATTTTGCCTGTGATAGCAAGTTTCATCTGGTTTGTGGTAACCTTGGAACATCTTTGTTAGAAAGCACATGACAGTTTAGGAAACAGTTGAAGTACTATTTTTCATTAACGACATAGAAGTTAGGTACATCTATGGTAGACTAGCGTTAAATTTCGCTTGTGATAGCAAATTCCACCTGGCTGGTGATAACTATGGAACAGGACTGTACGTATGAACATGACCGGTTAGGAAACCACCAAAGTTCTAATGTTCAGTAATAACGGAGGTTATGTATCATTATGCCCGATTAACTTTACATTTTGCATAGGTGGCACTCGAATAGCAGGGCACTCTGGATTGCGTTGTCTTGAAGGCCATGTAGTCTGTTTCATTAGACGACTCATCACCATGATGATGCGACGACGTTAGTACGATTAATGTTCGCGCGTTGTTCCAAGGCTGACCTGTGGAGGGCAGGTCTTGTTGATGACGATAGATGAATAAATTCTGTTCTATTCTAGCCACCTAAGGTGAACCAGGTGAGGTAGGGAAAGTCATAATAGAAATTATCGCACACAGGGATGCGTGCTTGGTCTGTGCACAGCAACATGTGAGCTGTTTATTAACTGCAAGTGGCAATACTCTATCCTCTAGGCTCATAGAAGAAGAAGATTGCACGCTGGCAGATGTTCACATTAAAGCAAACAAGTCAGGAGTACTCTGACAGAGTCATCCATTGACATCGTGTTCTTCGGTGTAGGTCTGGCCAACTAAGTCAATTCGAAATAGAAATCGACAAACATGAGCAGCAACTGAAGGCTAAAAGGTCAGACAACATCAGATATCACCCATTATTGATGTAGATGAGGTACGTAGATCAGTAGGGACATTGACGCGTATTCATCATCAATGGCAGAGCTGTAGGAGTGGCGCTAAAGTCCTGAGTTGGACTCAAGTGGGCACTTGCCGTTCAAATGGCGACTGGTTCAGCACTTTGCCATAGCTGAATCTCATTAGTCCATCTATGAACTACCCACTTTCGACAGTCTCTCAATTGCTTAGCTGTGGTGCTATCGGTAAAAAAGTTGAGCTAACTAAAAATCAGGACCTATCCAGCTGTTTCTTGCCCCCAAGTCTGATGGGTCAACACGTTTGATTACTTACCTCAAGACACTTTGTCTGTTTACAGGGATAGAACACTGAAGTCTAGGCTATTGAACTGGGGTCAGACTTCTCCGTAGAGATACTTTCTTACCGAGTCTGGATTTGGAATATGCAGATTTTGCTATCCGTCAGGGAGAGCCATAGAATATATTTCAGATTCATGTTCAAGTAACAGCTCTTCCAATACAATGATGTACGTTTAGGGTAAATTGTGCCCCTCTAGTATTCACAAAGTTAATAAAGTAGTAAGGACAATAATGGACAGCGACCAAGACAGAGTCCGAAACTGCGGTGAACATCGAGATCTTGATGTCAGCTTGTCTTTCATTTAAGCCGACTATACACTAACGAGTGAAATTTCTTGCCTTGTAAATTTCTCAAGGGAATTTTAACGCTACTATGCCACTGAGATAATATAACTTAAGGCCTACCCTGGCTGGGGCTCAAGGAAACTGCCAGATGTGGTTAGATGTATTGATTATACAATTTTTGGTTGTGTAATTTCTCGGACTGGGACATTCGTTGGCCAGGGAAAAGTCTCTTAGTTTTTGGTCACCCAAGCAGAAGATCTTCCAAGCTAATCATCAAGAACCACTGGTAGTTTTCTTCTGTGGTGAATGCTTTGCTACCGAATTGATGGGCTGTCGCATATTATACCCCATCCTACATCAATAGAATGTAGAGATTCTAGTTTCCACGTCTGGACCAGGTTGCGGTGGGAGCTACACCTGTCACGTCTTGATTTTGGTTCAAGTATTTGGTGATTCTGAAATTTCGCTTCTAGAAGTAAAGCAAGGATCTGATGGAGGACCCAGGACGCCACTCCCACTAATTCTGAAGCTTACCCTCGTTACCGTATCTAGAAAGCGGTCATTCCAATCAGCATCGATAATCCATCACGTATTGTGGGCTTAGACTACGGTAGGACTTTTGTCGGGAAGAAATACTGGTCTGGTTTTCTACCTTGAAATTTCTTACCTTACAGTGTGATAAGAGATCAATGTATAATTGTATGAGCTATCAGTCTTTTACCCAAAATTTTACTAACGATGCAGACATAAAATGGTTTTTGAAGAGCATTTACAGACTAAGGCCATCTCAACTGAAATATAGACACTGTGGTCGTTCTCAACCAACCAAAGGGGTTGCTGGTAAGCTCTGTAGATATTTGGATGAGGAAATCAGCAGCACTGCTAGCTCAGGTCATAGTGTGCAAACTAATTGAAACAGAAAACATCCGGATTGGGTTGAATAATATTGAGATTGGGATTTCTCAGTTTTTGAAAGTCTCGGGGTCACTCATGATCCAACCACTTTTAGTTTTACCGTATTTTATGCCCAAATATCTGTGCTGTCAAAGTATTTATTTGTCGCTGTATAGTAACTTTATCTTGGTGCCTCTGCTCCCAGATGGATGAGGCCGGTGTTAGCAGAGAGTGTCACAATTGACAGCCCACAGTACATGAAATGCGTCTACCTCTCTGCCTGCTACATTATAGTAGTCTCAGGCTCGGGGCAGGCTGGAGTGTGTTTTCTGGGATACGTCTCCAATCTCTTATGCCAAACAATAGCTTTGCTCAAGCGGCATTTGGAGTGAACCAGGTCTCCACACCTTAAGCATAACTACGTTATTACGTTATTTGCTCATTAGAATGAAATAGATGGTAAGTTTTGAACCAGGTAGGTCATACTACCTGTTGCTAAAAGCCTTAACTTGAATTATTACAATGGAAATGTACATTTAGTAGTTACATAGATATACATATACACACGTATATACACACACACACACGTATACACCTATACACATATACAGATATACACATATATCCGAGTACATATATATATATATACATATATATATTCAATATATATATATACAAATAAACACATAAATAGATGCACACATACACACATATACGAGTATATGACCGTTGGAGGGTTTTTACTATTACATTAATTTTAAATTTCTTTCATACGTATCATGTTTGCAATTTGATGTCGATTTTTTTCAATTATAAATTTTTTGGTTTCAATTTTATATTTTGTTTTATTTGAAATATTTCTTATATAACTTGGTAATATGTTATATAATCTACTGGAAAGGTAAGTATGACATCTTTGGCCTATACTTTTTGAGGTGAAAGGTGTTCGCTTAATGTTGTTGATTTTGTTTCTAGTTTGATATAAGTGATCTAACGGAATAAGGTTATTTCTATCGTAAAATTGATATTTTATAATTTTATAAAAAAATTATTGAATGTTTATAGGCCGCCAGAGGGGAGGAAGTTAGGGGGAACGGGCGCGGTGCCGCTTTCTTTCGCTGCGTGCGCGCTTTGAGATCGTGGGGTTTGGTACAACTAACGAGGGTACTACGATATGTATTCTAAATATTTACTCCGACGAGGACTTCACATAACTAAGATCGAACATCACTTATAGGTAAGTTCGTTTGATCATGTAATTATTAGTGCACACAATAGACGTGGATAACGCAGTAGGAAAGTATTTCACTTACGCTGCTCCGCACACATACGGTTTTCGAAGGGTCCTTGGTCTGACTAGACGTGGCCTGAATATCAAAATCACAGGCAGTTTTTCCGTTCGTGTTTATTTTATACTGCTGCAGTAACGTAGGTAGAAACCTGAATACCAGGGCACCGCGACTGCTATCGTTAGTTCTGTTTTTGCACCGACTGCGGATAGCAGAATTGGGAGAAGCACACCCTCATGCAGACATTTCCATAATCTCGATACCATAGAAAAAACTGCTAGTTGTAGATGTGCGAAGTTTGACAGAGTTAAGATTCAGAAGCCTGATGGGTCCGTCTGACTGGGGTTAGGGTGTCATGCATTATTGGGGAAAAAATGTCCAACTCGATTTTGTCATAACTACGTTTGTTGGATGCCCCTTAACATCAAACATGAGGTTGCTGAACGGTAAGTTGGTGCTTTGCTCAAGCAGTTTAAAAAATATACAAAAAATGCCTCTCCACACAAAGTTTTTTAGGCCTTATGAACTATTTTGGACAAACAGAGTCTGTAGCAAGGTTTCTCTAAATTAAACTGTCTAAACTAAACAATCTATAAGCTAGTTACAGTCCAAAAACCATTAAGATGCTTCAAACTCTGTTAAAAAACTTAATCTTGAGGCTTCTAAGTAACTAAATTAAATTTCAGACCTTTCCTGGCAAGTCCCCAAAGACCATCTTAGACTCGGCTTAGTTTAACGCATTGTTATTTAATTGTTAACGGCGCGCTATGGGGTACGCGCATGTATCATCAGGCTATACTCGTACATACGTAATATTTTGTATGCTAGAGGATGTGTGGCAAAAAATGTGCAATACTTTCCAGTTTTCGGTTATATGTATTTTGCCAAACAGAAAAGTAGTTTTCGAATTTATTACTATAGAATACATTTGTTGAAACATCAGGTAAGAGTCGTTTTGTGGTTTTACTTGGTGGCTTCCACTTCTTCAACTTCGCTATTAGACATTCCGCCTGGATTGACGGCTGATCCTAGAAAGAAGCAAGTATGATTTTTATCCAATTATGTTTTTCACCGTTTATTCATTTGTACAGGCTGTGCGTGATGTGTAGATACTCATATTTTACTGGCTAACATGGGGCATTATTATTGTCCAGAAAACTAGAAATAGCATTATTCAAAGTTGGGCGGCGTTCAAGTTTTGATGAATTTCCCTTTTAATTCCTATAGTGTACTTGGAAGTAGTAGAAATCAATTACCGCATTCTACTATATACTATGGCGCATTAAAAGGGATCTGAAAGATCCTAGCACCATGTATGAGATAGTAGCAGAACAGAAAATAACGTCAAGTGGGTTGGCTCTGTACTTTTCAAGTAATTGTGGACAAATGCAATTATAACTGCAACATGTATAGTATCCGAATCAACATTTGTTGGCCCTGGTATCTTTAACAATTTCCGGCTACTTAGCTAAAAATTCATCGGGTGGGTCACGACAGCGAGCGGCACCTGGTTCCCTTTTTACAAAATACGTATTTATCATTGCAAATGCACGCGGTAGGAAGTACACAGGGTGCGGCAGCATAGCTTTCTTCCTTAAATTGCGACTCACTATGTCGATTGATGTCATAGCGGAGCGCTAGTTTGAGAGTTGGGACATGAAGTTTTCCGACACAGTTCAGTCGTCATCATGCGTTGAAATACTGGAGAGCGAGCGATGGCAGATCTACTTTTCGAGCGAATGCTCTGTGATCGCAACCCAGCGCACCTTCCGGAATCGCTTGAATTTTTCCCCGTGTCAAATCAACTTTTACGTGGGTAAAGGTGTTCAAACAAACTGAAAGTGCCACAGGATCATTATATCACCTGAAAAAACTGAGGCAGTGAGAGCTGCATTGTTGTGATAAGCACGGCGTTCTGCGCACAGACATGTGTCTGCCCTTGGACTTTCCGATCGTTCTGTGAGGGTAATTATTCAGAATGATCTTCATTTACATCTTTCCAAGAAAGCAGTTGTCCAGGAACCTGGTAAACGCGTGTGAGCGTCTTCTCGAGATCGTTTCTGAGGATACTATTGTTTTTCTTGTTTTCAGTGATGAAGCTCATTTTCACTTGTGTGGACCCGTCAGCAAACAAGACATGGACTGCTGGGCAAAAATCCTCAAGAATTACATCTTAGATCTTTGCATTCACCCAAAGCTAAAGTGAGGAGTGCAATTTTCTCGGCTGGAAAAATTGGTCCCTGGTTCTTTGAGGAAAATTGAGTCGCAGAGACAGTGAATTCGGATCGGTATGTAAGCATGTTACAGAAATTCTTTTCTACGGCTATATGAGGTGAACTTGAGGGACATTTGGTTCCAACACGATGGTGCAACGGCGCACACTTCAAGCGCGTCAATAGCTGTTTTGAGGGAACGCTTCCCAGAGCGCCTCATCTCAATTAGGGACGATTTGGAGTGGCCAACCCGCACTCCCGATTGGGCCCTTTATGATTTTTTTCTATGGGTTTTTTCAAGTCTCGTGCTTATGCGAACCGTCTAAGGACCCTACAAGATTTGAAGACCAACATTCAGGAAGACATTGCTAACATATCACCTGCCATTCTAGCAAGAGTCATGTTAAACGCCAGACATCGGTTGACTCAGTGTATGGAGAATGGCGTACGTGACCTATCTGATTTGGTCTTTAGAATTGTGGAAAACAAAATTTTAGGCATGCGTCTATATCACAAAAGACAAAATTGTATTGATTCATACAACACGTTTTTTACGTTTTGAGAAAAGGAAGCTATGCTGACGCACCCTATAGAATTACTAGTTAAGAGTTTATTAATATACTGCTGCCAAAATATTGCGATACACCCCCATCTACTTTCAACCTCCCACTCCCCATTTTTACACCTAATTTTTTTCTCAAAAATGATCAGGATGCTAAAAAAAGCAAAAAGCATAGTTAGCGCTATTTCTGTTTATTTCGTTTTTGGATTTTTTCTCCACCGCCACTGGACCAATTTTCAGAAACTACAAAGCTTCTTCGTCATTGGCACAGTAGCACCTTGTGTGGACACTTCATTAAAATGCGACAGGTATTTTTCAAGGATTAACGAACAGACCGACAGACGGACAGACCGACAGATAGAGCAACAGACAGACAGATACTCTTTTTTTTTATTATCTACTTGTCTTCTTTGCATCACAATTTTTATTGGTAATGATCTGAACCTCCGCTTAGCATTTTTATTGCAAGACAACAAAAAATGGTACCAAGAAGGTTGACTCTAAGCTTCCTAGGCAATGCTGTGTCAGTTCATGTTCTCACCGAGATAGTCCCTTCAAGCTCACTACAGACATGTATAATGGGTCAAGTCGGCCAACCAGTGCATATACAATAATTAGTCTCCCCAACTATTCAATAATGCTAACACTAGCTTTTTCCCTGTACTGAGTATCGACCATCTGACAACGCTGCTGAACCACACCAGTCAAAGGAGTCATAAGCGCTAAGCACAATACTAAATCTCGAGATGGAGGCTTTGGCGGTCATGCCTGCCGGCAATGCAGTTAGACATGGACGAAGTTCCACGTATGAGTCGCAGTCACGTCGTCCCGACAGAACGTGTTGGATCTGTAAATATTTCTGTTTTAAGAGTAAATGTGCGAGGAAGCCTTTGATGTGTGAAATATGTACTGATAGGTGCGTAGAATCAGTGGGGTTGGAAGCATATAAATTTACTGCATCCAAAAAACGAGATATACCCTCGTCACCCCTACAGCCCCCAACCCTTGAATTACAACCCCTACAAATTTTTTTCAGGAAATGGCATGAAGCATCTAAAACGTCAAAAGACGTTTATTGTTTTCGTGTTTTTGCCTCTAGTTCCGCCGCCACTGGACAGATTTTAAAAAACTACAAAGTTTGTTCGTCCTTTGCATAGTAGTAACCTTGTGTCAAGATTTCATCGAAATCTGAACGGTATTTTCCAAGCCCAAGGTCCAAGGGTTAGCGGACGGACAGGCCGACGGGAACGGACATGACTTTTCGTGATGTGAAACCATAATATGTAATTATAGGTTTTCCGGATAATCCAATAAAATTATTAAGATATACATTGGAGAAGTAATTTACTATTTGGTCTCCTTTCTTAAATCTGGCGGTCTTATGATCACCATTGGGGTCACGTGTTATTTATTCAAGTACTTCAGTTTACATTGAATTAACTTCCTGAATGAAATTGAGTGCATAAGTCACCATACTGTCGTAGTGCCTTGTCTTATAACCAGCGTTACTATCTTTTAAAGATTTGGAATGCTCAGTTCGATTTTGGGGTAATACTAACAAAAACTACCTCAAGGATCAATTAATGCAAAACTGTTTTTTGGATTAGGTTTTAATTTAAATTCGTCATTTTAAATGTAGTGTTATTTAAGTGCCCTCTAAAAATGGATTATTATAATATATATTTGATATTGAAAAGTGGGTAAAACCAGACTAAAGAAATTAAAATCGATTCAGTGGTTTTGAAGATATGTTGATAAACTGTTGTACAATTTGACGGCCATCTTTAAGTATGGCGCGGTGGCCAAACGATCACTATGTATATAGCGTGATTTAGTTTTTATATATTCCTTTATGTGCTTAAGAATGCATCATATTAAAACTAAGGGTACAAATAAGTTCACACGTGACCTTAGTGGATGATCCTAGACTTTGAGAAATTTGAAAAGTTAGTTCAATTTTGTGCTACGATTAGCAAGGACTGCCTTGAGTTTTTCTCACTAAAATGGACCGTTATCTCAATTGAAGTAGTATTATTTAAATAACATCACAGTCGGTGAATATCAACCTTGGTACATCTGAATAACTAATGTATTATTCAGGAAATGTGTGATGATAAGAAATGTTCACTCTTAATACATAGCATCAAGTAGGCTGACCCCGCACTTCTTACGTAACGCTAATCATCAATTCATTCGGCACAAGCTAGTCTGTCTTGTCTGTCTGTCATTGGCTACGAGCTTACATAACAAGTTGAATGGATCATACAATCAGTCCATAGTGCAACAATGCGATCTAGCAGAACCGACTATCCAGCAACGTCGCAATCCAGCACATGGTTACATTATACACCAAAACATCTATGATGGCTCAGTCATCCCTAGCCATCCAAATCAGAGAGACACACGCTTGGTGAGTTGCCCGGTACGTGTACATCGGTAATATATGCTTATAATTCAACTTCTACGGGAAAACGTACAAGGAAATCTTTGATTTATGAAATATGGCTGATAGGGGTGTATGATTACCTGGGCTTGAAACGTATAAATTGCTATCAGCAAATAATTGTCATATACCCCCCTACAACCGCCAACATGAAATTCTGAATCACTGCAAGCAGCGGTTGCGTAGTGGAAGACTGGTAGAAGTTATGTCGCCGTGCGCTGCGCGGGTTGGAATCCCGCCCTAAGAGGATTTCTCTCCTGGACATGGATGTTGTGATTGTCCGTGTAACGTCTCTCCCTTTCTCCGGTATCCCCTTATAGCTCGCCGATACCCATGGCTATTTAGGCCTTCGTGGTGGTTCACCTATAATAAAGGTGCATGCATAATATGTGTGAATGTTATATTCAACAGGCGCGTAATATAAGGGTCAGACACTTCTTAATAATGAAACGTCTCTCACTGATACCATAAATGCAGCATTTACAACCCCCCTACCTCCTACAACTCCCAACCCCAATTTTTAAAACCTACATTTTTTTTAAAAACGACAAGGAGTCTCTGAAATATCGAAAAAGGAAGTTTGAAAGATTCTTATCTTCTTCAACACATTCGTCCTTGACCTAGTAAACTTGTTTCAATGATTAGCAAACAGACCGACAAACCGGCTGAAATTAATGACACATTTTCTCGTGCTGTACATGTAAGATCCAAAAAAACACAATATCTCATTTTCGATATCCATTGCGATTATAATACCAGTGGTTTAGGAAGTAAAGGGATCTACTCTTCACGACACACTCTGGCGGAAGGTATTTGTGTATGGATTATCATGAAGGTAGATGTAAATCATTAACTAAACATGTTACCAAACATGCTGGCAGCCTGTCCAGCAATTCCAACAGCTACATCCCCTATAGCTTTCATGGCTCCCATCGCAGATCCTATGAGTGACATGGGTATCATGGCCATTGAAGACGTAGCTTGCCCAATCCCTTGGGTTATCTGTTCCATGCCCTGGGCGTCTACGGCGATTGCCTAAAATATTAATTGTATATGTGGAGCTTTACAAAGTTAAGTGATTAATAAGGCTCTATAAATCTATAACCAAACAAGGTTGCGAATTCGGATGTTGTTTTTTTTTAACTTTCCAAAGACAAATTAATCTAAACATGCACAAGTTATTATGCCGGGGCTACATAAAAGCAACAAAACAAAAACAAGGAACAAAACTGAAACGCAACAAAATAAAATGAAGACAAGAGACATAAAAGTTTTCAGTTGTTTTGTTTCGCGCAGTTCACACCAAAAATTTTCAGAGTGAAAGTATGTGGCGTTTTTACTCTGAAAGGCAGAAGCGCAAATATTTTATCATAATGTCTGCTGGCCATGTGTTTCACCAGAGTTGTGATCGGGAAAATGAAAAACGTTTTCCTTACGTGAAAGAGATGATCGTGGTATTGAAAAATTATTGTCCGATTTGCGTAAAGATGATATTGGATTGCGAGGAGAAATGCTTTCTAGTTTCGAGAGCTTTTTAAGAATGTCCAGTGACAACTTTGAAGAACTAATACAGCTGATCGGTACTGAAATTAATAAAAAATACCAATTTCAGAAATGCCATTAACGTAGTTGAACGTTTGGCCGTAACACTAAATTTTTTTGCATCATGGCTTGATGTATCTGTCAAAAATATCAAAACAAGCAATACTGATAATACCGGAAACTTGTGATGCCCTAACTGAAGGCCTCAAAGAATATGTTAAGGTAAGTTTCTTTTGCAACAAGTACACATCGCACCGGCAATGTTGCCTGAAATGAAAACAAAACAGAAACCTTTTGATCTTTACCGACTCGCGACGGGAACGCCAAAAGTTGACAGAAACAGAAACAAAACACGAATTGTTAACGAAATGTTGCCGATTTGTCGCTTAATTGTTGCTGTTTTGTTTATGTTTTGTTGGTTTTGTGTGGACCCGGCATTATAATTCTCGAATAAAAATACTTTTTTGAGTTAGAACCAATCTCAGCAGCGACCATGACAAAAACATATAAGAATATGTGGTTGAGTAAACATTTTAAAGGTATTCTAGGTATACGCGTATTCTATAGCGTGATAATATTGCAGGATATGAACACATCTTCACAGTGTCTTATTCTCTTACTATATCATTGAATTGAATTATTTTCTATTTGAGTATACTTTGTGCGCATGCAAAATGATTTTAATACGAACGAATTTGAGTTTTGTCGTTTTGATAAGAACCAGTAGGTACATCTGAGGAAATATATTCTTTGAAAATACCTGTAACCTACCAATTTTTTGTAACAAACATTGTGACACATATTTGCAGATGCATAACTATGACGTAATATAATAAATTTTTACACTTATTATATGCAAAAAACAAAAATCATATCTAAAGTGCTTCCTAAAATGATTTTTGTATCATCACACCATTAAGCAACACGCTATATAGCTATTATGACTTCAACACTTTCGCTAGTATAATTAAACCGTAAAATTTCAGTTTATAAATAATAAAGATCTGCTGCAGTTTATATAAGTTTCCATAAAGCGCCTTACGGCTGAAAGAAAAACAAACTCGACAAAATTTGGAATTCGTAAGGTGCGCGCTTTAAGACCGTATTAAAGAAAACCGATAGAAATCGATAGAGTCAAACTGAAGTTGTGAGCTACTTTTATATTAGTTTTTTTTCTGAAAAGGTGCTTACAAGTACCACGATGAACAGGAGCACAGCTGTCACACCCATACCTCAAGCATGAGAAAAAACATTTGACATTTGTGAAATCCCATGCGATCATTAAGTTGTATACGAACAACTGCGTCAAATCGTTAGCGGAAATGTTCAAATGCATAGCGAATTGATTATTTCTTTTTTCAGTTGTTTTAATATCGACATTATTGTTGTCTGTGATCATTATCGAGCCATCACGGATATTGATTCTTTTAAATAGCATTAAACCAATGGGTAAGTCACCAGCTGGTAATTTTTTTTTATACTGATACAGCAGCGCAAACAGGAACCGAGATACTCATCCACCGTGACTGCTTAAAGACACCTTTAATTGGATTCTGTAGCTTAGAACTGCCTTATATTGGTAGAATTGTAAAAAAAAACTTTGTCAGACAGGTTAATTCACCACCTCGATACTCTAGGAACACTGGATCGGTTGTACCACCCAGTTCTGGATGTGCGAAGTTCGACAGAGTGAGGATGGGAGATACAAGTGTGGTGGGTCAGGTAGGTTGAACGCGTGGCACAATTGGAAGGGCTTTAAGAAGCAAAGTTTGTTGGCATAGCGGTAGAAGAGAGCCAGAGCTAGGGGCTCGAGATCATTCGCTAGAAGTGTCGTCAAACAGTCGGACAATCTTCGTATGGAGAGCAGCGGGTACGGGTATGGAAATTACAATCTGGGCCTTGTAGAGAGTTGAAAGATTTTGAGAATAAAAGTACTAAACAAGCTCCAACCCCCTTCCTCCCAGTAGCTGTCGCGATTGTTAAGACCAAATCGAGTTCTCGGTCATGTGGACTGATACGAATGGCTCCTTGGCAGATCTCAGCTATCCATCGAATCCTGGTGTACGCTAGGATGCTTCATGTTATTCAAGGTATACAGTACTTTGTTTTGGGAGCATCTAGCTGTACCAGATTTTTGCATCTTCAGGCAGTGATGTCTCCCTGATCTCTAGTGAGAGCGGGAGACGCTACTAGTATTCCGTGGATCTTATCGATCATACAGGAAAGGAGATCGCTGATATGTAACATAAGCAGTATTGGAGCCAAGACCGATTCATGCCATGTTGAAGAGTCATATAACATAAGATGTAGTGCCATTCCCTATTCGTTCAGGAAAAAGGGACAAACGGCCATGATCACACCACTCAAGCTCCATTGGGCCAAACTATGAGAAAAGTTGGCGATGCGGCGTTTTCGCTTACGCTACCTATAGAAGGTCAACGTACATCCAGAATGAATTCTAGGACTGATAGGACAGCTGAGCAGCCCCAAAGCAAGTGCTTGACTGTCTCGTCTTCCTGTTCACCTCCTCTACATAAGGATGTCTCACTAAGTCTCATGTTATAGATGTGTTTCCTAAGCTAACAGTCTCCAGTTGCTATGACAGTTGCAAGCCGAAGTTGATGTCTGGACATGACAGTTAGTTTTTTGTTGCTTCATCACTAGGATATCCGAGGATTCCTTTAGCGAATAAGCAGCCTGATGTACATCCCACATGCTCTTGAAGATTGCCTGGGTATGCTCTCCCCGTCAGCACGAAATATTCATTAAATATTTATTCAGTATTTAATTATTTGTTTATCTTACTTAAATATTTGTTATCTTAAACAAATATTTATTAAATATTTGGAATATAATATTTTTATTAAATATTTATTCAATGTCTTTTAAATATTTATAATACAATATTTATTTCATAATATTCATTAAATATTTAGAAAATTCATTAAAGACTTTGGGTTACGTGTATGTGCGTGTGACCACAAGCGACCAATGGCATAATGGCAAGCCGACCTGAGCCGACCTGTTCGCCAGCATCCATTTTGCCTGTGAGTTTCACTATGATTGCGTAATTCCGGTGTACCTCCAAGTGGCACATTATGCGTGTTTTTTGTGGACAGGGTAAGTGTTGCAATAATTACATAGCTTAGTACTAACATTATTGTGCCAGTTGAGTATAAAGTTATTTACAAGACCATAGATAACTAGCCTTGAAGTGTAACAGTTATTTGCGATTTGGGATTGGTGGATTTAATAATTATATTCATTATCCCAATGAAAAGTCATATAATCAAAACTTGAGCGAGATACATCAGAAATGCTTTTTTGAAATACCTCAATTATTATTATTATTTTTGTCGTAGTAGGGGCAGATCAGTTATACTCATAACTATTTTAGTCGTTCCAAGATTATAACAGTTGAAAATACTATATTTTTGTCCCTTGAATTATAATCTAAAATCACATAATAGTTATGGCTAAATTAGTCCCCTTACTACTGCAAAAAAGACACATTCTAACAAAATCAATAAGTGGTCTATTTTAAAGAACCTTTTCTTTGAAAGTTACTCGAAGGGTCAAGTTGTGCCCTTGGTCATTTTTCATCAAGATATCTAAAATAACATACCAAATTTTCTTAAATATTGACCAAATCTCGAACTCTCATAGGAAGACAATGTGGGGTTCTGTTAGGTGCATTATAAAGCTGTTTTTCAGTCACCTAGTTGAGCTACTCGGAGTGACTGAGCGGTGATCAGCACCACTGCATTTTATATTCCCATTAATAAAATTAATAGAGCAGTTCGGGAAAATATCTCTCAAACAAAAGACCACTGTAAAAAAGCTTATGTATTCAATAATACTTAATTAGTAAGTTTTTTTTTTCAGAGAAATGGATTTGCAAGATGCAGAAGAGGCTTAAAATGTTTTTTCATGGTATCCTTCTAGCAAATTGAACCATTATATCTAGAACTCTTCGAACCACCGCGTGGATGTTCCGTTCCGAAGCGAGAAGAAAAGTGTGCTGGGGTACTTCTTCCTCTCGGAACAGTCGAACGATCTTACGATAGTCTTCCTCAGATTTAGGAATAATCCTTATTCCCGCATCGACAGCAACCGCGCTATCTATTTCAATTCCTAGGGAAATTAGTTTGTAGTTTAACGTACGCCACCTCGCCCCATCACGCAGAACAATAGGCGTTACGCGCCTTTGGCGTGAAGGTTAGCTTGATACCACGTCAGCTGAGCGAGATGGCTGAGAAGTGACATTGGCCGACGGGGTGACCTTAGAGGTAGATAATGTAGTCCCTCCGCCAACCGATGACAAAGGTTTGGTAATAGACATAGTGTGGCTGGTATTTTGCTTTGATGAAGTGGGGGAGATGCGTAAGAGAGTTCTGTATTTGGAAGAGGTGGAAACACCTCGGCTCTTCGGTCAGTCTTGTTGCTTCTCCTCCTTCTAGATTTTGCGTTTATAAATCCGTCGGTGTGTGTGTCATCGTCTGTGGATGTATATTGATCGTCGGTGATGGTCAGTAGCGGTCTCTTTAGGCTGTTGGTCTGTTCTTTGGGGGATTCTTTTGAAGTTATTAATAGAGTTACCTGGGCGGTCAGGCTGTCAATTTTAGCTGTATGGTCCTTGATTGCCTGCATGAGTTCTCGGATTTGCCTCGCCTGGTCGCCTATAATCATCCTCAGTTTCTCGTTGGTTTTCTGCTCCGATGACATCTGCGTCAATGGGCCCATGTTTTCAGTGTTTGAACGTGATTTGCCGAAGCTCAGCTCCTTCTCCATTATAAGTGGTACTGCTTCCTCTTTGAACCCTCCTGGGTCAACCTCCATATTAAAGTAGCTTTTCTTTCCAACAAACCCGTAAAAACCTTTAAGCTCGCAAGTGTGACAATGTTGTAAAAACCCTTCTTACAGGGTCATGTTATTCGCATATCACTAGTAATGTCAAGGTATGCAGCTCGCTGTATCTCTTAGCTATAGTTTTACTCGAATGGTTACCTGTCGAGGTTTAGTGACCTAAGCTACAGCTCCGTAGGTCACCACTGGTCTGATTATCCCTCTCTGTTCGTCATTGTCTGTCAGAGCGGTCCGTAGGACCTTTGCTCTTGGTTAAAGCCTTGTAAGTCACTAGGTCTGTCAGGTCTGGTTAGCCAGATACCAAACAAAGTCAGGGAGAAAGAAGGAAAGAAGAAAGGAAGGAGGGAGAGCAAAGAAAAAATAATTGCGTCATTTGAGGGGTGCATTAGCATTGTTAATTAGTATTCGGCAATTTCAAATCGATCCAAAAATCAATTTTGAGATTGGTTGCTGAAGAAAAATTATAATTTTGGTTGGACCTAAAGTCGCACGATTTAATTTTGTTCACAGTGCGAGCCGCGGTCTTGTGTGCTTGCGAACTTGCTCGACTGTGTAGTCTACTGACTTGCACTACAAAGGGTTGCTATGCGATTCCGCTTGACTATAACGTAACTGCGCTTGTTGTTTGATGTAATCCTTTAGGCAAGGGATACCAAGGTCTCTGTGAAGGGTCTTGTTGGAAACATACCATGGGGAGTTAGTGATTGTACGCAAGCTGCTATTCTGCAAGACCTGCATGCTACACAAATGCGTTTTGGCGAGAAAACACCAAGCCGCACTTGCGTAAGTGATCGCTGGTCTAACAGCCATCTTTTATAGCTGAACTTTTTTGATCATACTTAATTCTGATGTTCTACACAGCATAGGGCAGAGTTGCCGAAACGAGATTTGGAATTTAGTTTTTAACCCCTCAGTGTGCAGCTGCCAGTTCATCCTCTTGTCAAGACTGACACCGAAATTCTTAGCAGAGCTATCCCATGGTACCCAAGCTCCATTCACTGAAACCTCATACGGGGCGCCGCTACCGTTTTTAGTACAATAGATTGCTTGCGTTTTCGAATGATTCATTTTGATCAGCGACCGATTCGTCCATTCCAATACCTCGTCCACTGCACTTTGCAGCCTGTCGTGAACTAGACCCCGAGAACATGACTGAGTCACCAGGGAAGTGTCGTCAGCATAGAGATAGATCTCACAGTTGCTGGGGCAAAGGACGTCGTGGATAAAAAGTGAATAAAGGATTGGTCCAAGAAACAAACCCTGAGGGACACCAGCTTTGATGGGCCGTGTTGTCGACAGAACGTTATTAATTTTGATCCGAAATTTCCTACCCTCGAGGAAGGATTTCAAAAGCTTTAAGAGCCAAAAGGGGAAGCTTTTATGGACCAATTTGTAGAGAAGGCCCTTGCGCCACACCTTGTCAAATGCCTTTGAGACATCCAGAAGCAAGATGCCAAAACTTTCGTTACGGGTGAACCCCTAGTTACTCGTTCAACAAGCCTAATGGCCTGTAGCTCCGTACTATGCTCCAAAAGCCAAATTGCACGTCAGGAATCACATTGTGGTCTGACGAGAAATTTTCAAGGTGACGTAGAATCACCCTTTCAGCGAGCTTAGAACGAGCTGACAGTAGACTAATGGGGCCGTAATCCTGGGGAATATCGAACCCACCTTCTATGGAATCATTATGACATCAGCGGTCTTCCACGCCGCTGGGAAGTGCTTTACGCACCTTGATGTCTTTAATATGACCTTGAAGCTCTGCTGGTGTGCAATTCGGAGTCTCACGAGATTCCGGTAATGTGCGATGCAGCTCTTCAGTTGAGGAATCTTCTGAAGATTCATCTGATGAAAAATCACTAAGGGAGGCACTACTGCCACTGACGCTGTTGGACCTAAAATATCTCCTGACGGATCTCACAATATGTCGCTCCTCGTCCAGGTTTGAAGGTAATAGTTGGGAGAGAACTGACTTTACCATTGCATCAGTGAAAACCTCGACCCATTCCTCTGTCCTACTGACTATGTCTCCAGGACCGTGGATGTGCAAAAGTTGTTCTCGCTTTCCGTTTCTCAGCGACTTTGCAACTTTCCAGAGATAAATATTTGAGTCAAGCATCCCCGACAGAAAGTCACTCCATAGCTCATTACGGGATTCATGAAGAGTATTTTTCACTTCATGAACAAGATTCGTTGCTCTGCGAATGTTATCTGGGTGACAACACCTCTTCGCTTGCTTAATTCCAGCTCTTTTGTCAGAAATTTTTTGACGAATGTCTGCAGGGAGAAAAGGTCTGCAGTGTCGTTGTACTGGTAGTACAGCTGCACGCTGCAGGACTTGCTTAACGGAACTTGTCCACTCCGCTTGAGCAGAATCTATACCGTTCTCATCATCCATGATAGGGATATTAGGGAACTCTCTAAGGAGCGACTTGTATTGCTCCCAATCAACCCTTTTCCTTGGAAGAGTTTCCCCTTCCAAGGTTTGCTCATTACCCACTTTCAGTACGATAGGAAGATCGCTTGAAATGTCATACGAGATTCGAGAAGTGACACTGTATCTACAGTTTCTAGATATTGCGAAGTCAATGACATCTGGTGCCTGAAGGTGATCAAATGAGCGGTCGTAAAGTCAAATCCCACCGGTGGAATTTAACCTAGAATGCCATGCTCGATGTTTACAGTTGAAGTCCCCTGCTACAATAAGCGTACCCGAGCAGTCAAACAGGACTTCCAGATCCGTCTCTTGTCTAATAGTCAATGCCACCTTTTAATAGCACTGCTAAACCGCCACCCCGTCTAGTTAATCTATCTGCGCGGATAACATCATAATTCGGGAAAGCTAGGCAATCTCCCGGATTAAGCAATGTTTCCTGCAGCAGAGCCACATCAACGCATTTATCCAAAAGAGCTTGACGAAATTCCCCTTTTTGGGGAGATCCCTAAGACCCACAAAATTCCAGAATAGAATTTTGATGAATGCAGGCTGTCTGCTATTGTACGTAGCTATTTAGCGGGGATATCGCCTGCAATGCCTGAGTGGTGCTTACCAGAGAACTAATAATCTGCTGCGCGCTGTTGCTAGGTCCACATTTTGAGTAGTGGTAGATGAGCTCGAAACAGCAGGGGCAGTTGAGGTGTCATCTCTTGTCATCCGCGTATGACTTTGCTCGCCTTTGTGCAATGACTTGTAGATTTCTATTAGGAGTAAATTTATAGGTAGGAATATTTGCCGGATGCCCCCCCCACAGTTCGCACATCTGCGCACCTCTTGTCCTGTTTGAGGGCACATATGTGTTATGTGATCTTGGGCACATTTTAGATACTTTGGCGGCGCAGTGCAATAGCACTGTGCGCGTCCATACTTATGGCAGCGGAGACACTGCCCAATAAGTCGAGAGTTCTTCTGATAGAGAGCTCCAGCAATTCGTGCTCATTGAACACTTGCTGTGATTTCTCCGTCTTAGGCAGTGTAACAGGATCTTCGTCCGAGACTCTCGGACCTCTTAATGTCGTGCCTTGAATATATAATTCAGATCTCCAGTCCAATACTTCAATTTCTGGACTGATCGAGACCCCTCGAATTTCCAATTCTGTTACCTTTTACTTGTCTTCCTGTAGGAGGTAGACTCGCATAGAACCTGACATAAAGTAATATAATCTTGACTCAATGAAACACTCAGTTTATGCAGAATGTTGCTTCTTCTGTTCTCCAAGTAATCAGAGAACGTGGTAAGCGCCCGAATGAATATTTTCGGAACCGACTAACTCAGTTAGCTTAATGAATTCAATAACATTCAAGTTAGAGGATACTAATTTTAATTAATAATTGAATTACACACTCAAAATATCTATACACTTGTGAAAATTGAAGTACCAATGACAAAGAACAGTTAACTTCGTAAAACTAATCGGATGGGGAAAGGATCACTGAAGCAGTGAACTACGACTAAGTTAGAAGGAACGATGATAAAAAATTTACAATAGATTTATGTTTGAAACTAACATCAAAATTAAACTCAAGAATCTCAACTTTACAATGCTAATTAATCAAGCTAATGCATATAGAATCCTTAGTTGACTCGGTGTTATTTTAGCTTTAGCCAGAAGGGCTAATAAAGGAGGAAAAAGCCCCCTTTTAAGTAACTGAAGGTGCTTACTGATGAGAACACAACTTAACACAAATTCACCAACGCAACACTTATTTACAGCCACTAACTGAGGGAAAATCGAAGCAACTTTTTTAACCGTACTGATCGAAGATGAGAGAGGAACTGAAGTTTTTAGTTTCAAAATTATCGGAGGTCAGTTGCGGATTTTCCCCTCCATCAGAGGGCTGGTCATTTTTACTTAGTGAGTTCAACCCTTGTCTCCTCATTGGTCGATTAGTTTACAACACTTGCAATTCTCTGAAGATGGAAACTAACTTGGCCAAAGATTGTAACACTTAATTTTTGAACTCAAAGTGGCCTTCAACTCTATTGGTTAATTACGTTCTTGTCCAATCTCAAGGAGTGCTGTCAGTGTACAGTCTTCCTTTAAGCTTACGCGACGCGCCCCTTCAGTAGCATCTCGTGGCTCTATTTGCTTTGGGGCAGACCCTGCAGCTTTCAATAATTTCAATGGACTGGGAATTCCTGTAACGCTGACGCCACAGTTCGTGATGTCCTCTTAAATAATTATAAAATTTTACATAGCATCTAGGTAAAACTGACGGTGACTTTCTTCTGAAATTTTAATGTAGTTTAGCAAAATTAGCTTCGTTGGACATACGCAGTCTTCCGTTAGTTTCACCTGTCCCTCTCTAATGATAATTTCTAAACTGCATCTTTCAACGCGTACGTTGACAGAAGGTAGAATCGTATCCAGCCTGGCGCACCTACTCCTATCAGCTAAGGGAAAATTCTACTGAAAACCTAGGTGTTTGTGACCTCTTTTTCATATTTTCCCAAAAGTGTGACAAATATTAGTAATATGCTAGCCTTCGGAAGTCTTAGGTATCCCACGATACGCCTCTGACGCTTAACGTCAGCGCCCGGGGTAGCTTCTAGCATCTGCTAACTAAATGGTTGAGTTTCAAGTTTCCTAGTACTCCTTTGATTGTAAACTTTACAGTTATAGCAACCAAATGTTATTACAGAATAGATCTCCAAACCATGTTTTTGTCCCGGCCTATTTGGAAGGTCCAACTTTATAGCATCCGGTTCTATTACGAGTATCTATTTTCTTCGGAGTATGAATTTGGTTTCCCTTGACGTTCGCTGGGTGGTTTGCAGATGCAAGTGTTTGGTTTTTATATTTATTTCTATTTTATGGATGCAACGAATTTTTACAAGGGTAGGCGGCATGACGAATTATTTCAACGAATTTAGAAATTGATTACTTGGTCGGCTACAGCAGGATCACCACCACCAAGGGCATGGGCACGCCGCCGTTGCGCTTTAAGCGAATGATGTGAAAGGGAGCGTAACCCTTCTGTTCTAGCTCATCTTTGATCTCCTGTTCGGTGGTTGACGCTGGGATCCCTCTGATAACCACATGGATGTTGCGTTCAGTGGGCAAAGGGAAAGTGTGATAAGGAATGTTTTCCTCTTTGAAAGGACGGATTATCCTTCCATAATCGCTTCGGTTTTGCGGATGGTACGTATCCCAGCGTCAACGGCGACTGCTCGTTCAACACGAATACCAAGACTTATGAAGGAATGGTTTAAAGTGCGCCATTTTGTCACATCTCTCAACACGATTGGAGTAATAAGCCTTTGGCGAGGCGACTGGACCTGTGTGTTTAGAGATCCGATGGATGAGTTGCAGCCAGCCAATGGATCAGACTGCACTTGGGGTTTAACAGGAGGAGCACTATGTGTAGATGCTGATAAAGGTATTTCCCTTGGCTGACTAGTAGAAGCAGTAGAGGGTACAGACACAGACGGGTACAGGTTGCCTGAATGTTTGTTATTTGGGGATTTCGTCAGTAGCGGCGGAAATTCTGTTTTGCGCAGTCTCACTTTGCGATGTCGCACAGGTGTGAAAAAATCACCCTGTGTGTTCTCATCCGTCTCAGTATGTAGGTTACTCGAATGACTGTTATGTCATTATTGACGTCATCTCGTTTTGGTTTTCCAAAGTAGCGCTGCACTCCGCGCCAACTCCACTCAAAGCAGTACAGGTCGCCTGGGGACTCCTCGGGTTCAGTTTCCATAATATTATTGCCTTCTTTATTGCCAAAATATGAAAATTTCTCCGGATGCAAAAAATTTGACATTTATTAGCTTCCCTGTTTACAGAGCGATTTATGATTATTCCAGTGTACCTTCACATATCAATTTTGAATTTTAAACGCCACGTTTTGCCGATGATCGTTCGGCATTGCTCGTAGGTTGTCTGTGATTTCTTTAATATTCTTTCTAGATGAAGACGTGACTTTCGCATCTCAAGTAATCCCGAGATACTCAGTGTCAGAGGCGAAACACAAACTAATATATTTTGGCGGACTAATGTAAGGTAGAATGTCAAGAACACGGTTACAAAGAAATGGTAAAAAAAACTTGTCAACATACCATTGTTACCAAGCTTCTTGTGGTAACATCTCCTGCACTGACTGGTGATAATCCTTGAGATAAGCTGTTATGTATCCACCCGCTAACAGAAGAGGAATCTCTCTTACCTATGGATAATTTTCTAGAAGATGGTTTTATAAAGTATATTTATGAAAATTCTAGGTCAATTCTTTAGAGTCCAGTAATCTCTCAACCCTCTTCATTACTGTATGCAAGGCAGTAGTGATTTTGATTGCAATGCATAGGATTACTCACTAATATAGTATATCTTGGGTGTCTAGCTACTTTTCCATCGTACTATTTTAAGTGATGCCAGGCTGATAAGATGAAATGTATTCGGGTGCAATCCATGCTGCCAATCTTTGGGATGAACTTTACTTTGGCTAGTCTCCATACCTTCTGGAGATTTGCATGGCTTGTTTCCGAAGTGTTCGTTAGCCGAATGGAAATTTGAAAAGGCTTTAGACGTATTAGAGTTGACGATAACTGGGATAGAAGAAGCTCAATGCACTTGACAATGGTTAAGGCACTAGCACAGGACGAAATTCCACATAAGATCGCTGGCTAAGGAAATACCCGCAGGGTTATTATCTAAAAGTGCGCAAATAGTCCATTTCGTATTTACTCGCTGTGAGCGTCACCTATAGCGTCACCTATGAAGGAATGACTGTACAAAGCAGTGTTCCAGCATGCCTTGACGGTTGCAGAATGCCGAGATAGTCTGGAATAGAAAATTCAAAATTGATTTCCTTATTATACAAGAGTTGTAATCCTGTAAGAGGGCAGTGGCGTTAAATCATGAAAATAAATCTTCGCTCCCCATTTTAACAAATAATTCACATACCTTCAAAGCCACATCACAGAAAAAATAGGAATGGCGCATCACACACAAAATAGTTGATTTGTATTTCCTACTTAACCTCGCTAAATAAATTTCTATAAAATGACTGAAAATAAAAACCTTTTCACGTTTCATAAATGTTATTGTCTGTAGCCTATCAGGTGAACGACAGCTAACCCCAAGATGACCTTCTTATAGGGAATCCTACATATTGTCACAAACACCCTAAATAATGCCAAAAACGCGATATGTCACTTTTCAGGATTCGTAATACCCCTGCCGAGGTGCTGCATACACTAATATTAGTTACTGGTAGGGAGGAAAATCCTGCCAACTAGGCACCTTCTTTTCCCTTTTTGTTAACCCGCAGGAGTATAACGTATCTTGGAAAGTGACAATTGTAGGACGTCTTTATAGCTTCCTTGATTTTCATAGTTTTCCACTGTTTCGTGTCAGCGCTCTATTTTGAGGTTATGTTACGAATAGCCATTTGCATCAAATGGCTCATGGTTTTATACTATCATCCGTTTGAAATTTTTTACAATTCAAAAAGAAAACATAGCCTCACAATAGGAGAGCGCTGACGCTGACACGGAACAGTAGAAATCTAAAAATACCGCAGCCTTTCTAATGGAGAGAAAATACTATGGTGATCAAGGAGGACATTAAATTGTAGGAATGACTGACGATACGGCCCTTAACTACATACAATGCGGGCGCGGTGGTGACTTCTCGTAATCCTTCTCTAAGTTTTTGGAAAGGCAAATAAACCGGGGAAAACTGTAATTTATAGCTTTGAACATAACCTCTCTTTTTAGAAAGGACAACACAAATAACCCGTCTAGTATAGCTAATTTACTACAAGGGTAGCATATTCACTAATAATTATAATAAATAAAATATCATTTATTTTATACACATGCAGATGGATATACCCAATCACCACATACATACTCTGCAGATTATCTTGGAATTCCGCAACCAACAAAGCACGCTGATATGTCGTTCAGTCAAATCTTGATGTCGCTACGATCAAGCTCACAGTGAGCAATGGCGGAATGAACTATTTGTATACTAGGTAGTTACCTAGTTAGAATGTTGACATTTTGTCGGTTTTTTGATATTATATATGATTTTCAAGTAATAAACCTGTCGTAGTGTGAAAACCTTCTACTACACTGTACATAGGTATGCCACGTTACACTGTAACTTCCAATGCGGGAATATAGATATGCGAGTGATTAAAAAGTCAAGCGTTATACTTTCATCCACTTATTTATTTACTGATAATAATCAAGCTGATGCCGCTGTTGTGGTAGTTGTGGTACTTGCAGTGGTTGCAGGCTGCTGAGGAGGTGGTGACGGTGAACCTGCAATGGAAACATATAACACATTTGATGAGTGGTAAACAAGGGTGTCCCATAATAAGGAACGATTTCTCAAATGCATATAGAACACAAATAATAATCGCTCAAGTGCCTATCAAAAAAGTGCTAGGCGGCTCATCTAGACAGACTGTCATAAACTCTCATAAGAATTACTATATTTACAATATGGATAACTCAATAAATTCAATCAAATTGTCATAACTGATGCATCTGTACTAAAAGAATATTGTTTTTTTTCAAAAACGTCCCATTCGATTGAGGACTTACAAGGATATTTTAGCTGAAGGATCGGTTTCTCCATTTTTGGGCCATTTGAGAATTACAAAGAATTGGGTCTAGTTCGTACTCCATCTCTGGTTATCAAAGTTCATTTATTTCACACCATCATCGTTATACGAGTCCCCAAATGGTTACTATGTTGTTGAAATTTCGTAGAATCGTTCAGAAGTCATTTAAAATCCCGTTTCCAGTAACTTTTTTCAGGGGCCTATATCTCCAAGGGGAAATCCGGTAAGAATTTTTGTATTTCATACAACTATGTGCCACCTATCTACAAACATAAATGAGCTAAATAAATGTCCTCATTAGAGTTCGAGCACTTTGACGAAAGCCATTTTCTTAACAAGATGCTGTTTGAAAAAGCTTAGGTCAAGATTTTCAAATGGGGCCATGCGGACTTTTGAGTTACAAGTTTTATACTATGTACACAATCTTTAAGGTGTCAGCAATTTCTATGATTGTCCACATTCCTTTGTAGACAATGCGTAGACAACATAGACAATGTAGACAATGTATATATACAATGTAGAATAGACAATGCGTAAACAATATCGACAACGGTGTACACGGTAGGAAAATAATAACATAAAAGGGAATAGGTTTATTCAAAAATGTCGAAACATTAGTTTGAAATTGCACAGGTAAGTTAGCTCTTATTCCATTATAACCTGTGGCTATCGACGCGCTATCCTGCCAATTTAAACTTTAAACTTACCTATTACAACTCGAATAAGAAAAGTATATTGAAAATGCTGCATTATTTGCCATTGCCTACATTCTATGCATAGACAAAGGGAATTTCCTATATGTAGACTGACAATGACGTGTTCTTCATGATGTAGATATCACTGAATATCGATAAGATTTTTGCAATATGGTTGTGTTTCCACTGTGAAGGATGTGGTGTAAAGGGAATAGAAACAAGATACTCTGGTATTTGGAGGAAAGGAGGCAAGTCTCAAATACAGATGCACAGATTAGTAGCAGACTACACACACGGTCCGTGAACCAAAGAGGGCATTGGCTTTGTTCACACTACAATATTCTAGACGATATTATAAGCAATCATGTTCTTTCTTGTGTAACCAAATTTCAGGAGTGGTGTGGCTCTGGGAGAAAAATGATAAGTAAGTATCCGGAATTGACGTAGACTACTACTTACTATATATATATATGTATATGAAATACACCTGGCTTGTCACCCTGTGAGGTCTCCGAGTATATCTATGGAAGTGCACAGTCTCATATATGAACCATAAAAATATGATAATAAATGCCTCCAAAAGTTTTTTTGTTAGGAAGACCTCCTTTGAAAATTGTGTTTGGTTTCAAAGAGTCCCGAGCCGAACAAGGTTGAAAAATGCTGAAACGCTGGAATTACGGGATTAGGAGACAGAGTTAGGCTACTTGCACACACACCGATTTTGGACTGCCGGTCAAATATCGGTCGAACACATTTTAATAGTAAACCATTGAAGGGCATTTAAGCTTGCACACTGGCCGACCACCGACCGGCACCGGAAAAATGCCGGTTAGCAGCCGCACTTTGTCACTGTGATGCGCCGGTACCGGGAATATAGGTGTAGAGGCATACGTGTTTGAATAGGAGCTTGCACACTCACCTATTATTTAATGGCCGTCATTACGACTGCATATACGTTTACAATGGATAAAGAGATGAACATCGATAATGACATACTTATTGCCCTAGTGGAAGCAAGACCAGTTTTATGGAATAAAACTTCGGACATTTTTAAAGGCAGATGCGCTACTAGAGAAGCACGGAGTCAAGTTTGCTGCGAACTGAATGAGGATTTTAAAAAAATGGAGTCCAAAGAGGAAAATGAATCCAGAACTCTCACTTAATTCTCCGACGCTTTATACGTTGGTACAGTAACCACATTGCAACAACTCGTTGGGGATTCATTAAACATAATATTGGAAATCACCACTGTACCGGTAAAAAACCGGCGCGTGTGTAAGCAGAGCTTACCGAAAAAACATCGGTCGGTATTTTACCGGACGTCTAAAATCGATTAGTGTGCAAGTAGACTTAAGGGGACAACAAAGGAACGGATTTTGCCCCATCACTCACTGAAATGAAGAAGAATCTCTGGACCTTGACACCACGCGTTGGAGCTCACCTTAGGGTCTTGTGCCAAGTGTGTATATTTTAGCATGTCTTTAGATGGGACCACGTTCTGATTTCGATACAATTAGATGTCATCTTGATAATAAGTTAAGGACCCACAGTTTGGCTATAGATGCTGGCGTCGTTACCGTGGCGTCCCGGTAAAGGAGCGCTCTAAACGGAAGGCTTAGCCTAAAATGTTACGTTATTATCTGCGTATTTAAGTGATATACTCACTAATAATAATTTATAATTTTAAGAGTGATCTAGTTCTGTATAATAAAAAATTCATACCTCCGAATCCAAAGCATTGCGGATTATATGAATGCTTCCTTTCACTCATCGATCTTCCAGCATTTAATGGAGAGGCCATACAGAACATCTAAAACAAAGCTCAGGTTAATTATACATTGTAAACCCAAAAGTACGTCTCATCCACACGATTATACTTCTCCTTCGCTACTAAATCTAACCGCATCTCCAGTGACCCCAAAGGAATATTGTGGGCTCAAAATTTGATAGAAATTCACAAGAACACTAATATGTTGGTCCAAACTCGCTGTTTACCATTCATAAAAATACTTATATTTCCTCAGGAAAAATTTCCGATTGTTACAAGCTCAACTTACCAGCAATGATGATGCAAGGAGCACAAAAATCAAAGTAAATAGCTTCATTTCTAATTTACTAAGATCAGCTAGGTTGAAATTAACTAAATGCTGCACAACACAGATTATTTATATGTCTAACTGCAGACGTTTTGAAAATGAACCATTAGAATTTTGAATGAATAAAGCTAATTTGATAACTTCCGCTAAAAGGTTAACATTCAGGTAGAATCTCGGCAAGGAAAAATGGTAACATCCTGCTCAAATCAAGGGCAAATTATGTTCAACATACTGAAACATTAATTTATACACCATTCCACTGCTAAACGATGGGTTCGAGAGTGCTTGTCTTTGTCCGGATAATGTCACCTACAAGTCTGTCAATACTTATTACTTCCTACGCCTTTGGGCGAGGAAGTATTGTAATAGTGAAATATTCAGAAAATGAGATATTATGTTTTCTGGATGTTATATGACATGCAAGTCACGAAAAACCATGTAGCTGATTTCCGTCTGTGTATCGGTTTGTCGATCTGTCGGTCTGTCGGCCAGTCTGTCTGTCGGTGTGTAGGTCGGTTTGTCTGTCCGTTAATCGTTTGTCAATCTATAACTTGCGAAGTAAAATCGATCCACTGGCGGCGTAGAAATATGCCAAAGGCGAAACATAAAAATCGCTCAACAAATTTCAGACTGTCCTGATCCCATAAAAAAAAAGGTTGTAGGTTCAGCAATTTTTAGATCTTAGTATATTAATAGGCTTCTAGCCCTCGTAGTTCTTCTCGCACCTACGCACGAAGTGAAAATGCTTACGGAACATGTTTACTTCTGGGTTTCGGAGTTGTTGTTTTGGGAGATTCTCGACACATTGTTATTGCGCGGCTATCCAGTATGCGAGGGAATTTGCATTGGTACATATACCGAGGGTAATTCAGTAGTAATTGCTTCCAGTGTATGGTGCTGATTAGAGCTCTTCCGTTTTACTGGATGCGTACTGAAATTTTGTAAGAAGTACACTTCCAACTCTCTGTATCTGCCCTAACTTCCACAGTTCAGTCATTTATATCCCGGCGCTTCCGCATTTGTCTGGCAACAAGCTCATAAAGCTTCGAAATTTACTTCGTTTTTCCACAGCTTGACTCCCGCAGTTTTGGTTGTTTGATTTATTGATGTTGTATTAATTGTGCCTCCACGAATTCCCTCCTGCAGTTTTTCCAAAATCGGATTATCCATACCCCAGCTCCCAGCGTTGCACTTCTCATGACGTCAGAGACTAAAACACCCCTAGCATCTAGATCTAACAGATCAGTCGGATCGCCCAGGTCCCCGCTTCCGGAGGAGCAACTTCCACCTTTTCCTCGAGGTGATCCCGCAACTCCGTAATGAGTGATCGTAAGGTACCCCCGGTAGCTTGGTGTTCAGCGCGTCGAGCTAGTAACCCAGAGCTCGTGGGTTCGAATCTTCGCCTCAGAAGTTAAGATAAAATCTTCACAAAAGATATTCCCAGCCATATCCTCAACAGGTTTTGAGAAATTTAACAGTTCAGATGAAATGATTTTTGAAGAGAAAAACTTTACGTTTTTTCGACACCGTGATGGTTGTTCAAGTATAAGGAGCGAACGTTAACCCTTAGCTACAGAGGTCACGTTTGTAGGACTTGACCACAGACTACCGGTCATTTTGACCGGTTGTCTTTTTTTGAGTATACATGAATAACAAAATCTTTATTTTTTTTTGCAGCATGCGGATTAACTCTTAGATCTTTCTAATCAGCACTTGATCTATTTTTAACTATATTTGAATGAAATAAGAGTAGAGTATGGAAAAAAATATTTTATTGCTATATTTGTCTTCAAGTGTAACAGAGTCATAAATAAAAATAAAATAAAGACGTATATAACACTTTTTCGCACATAAATAATTGAAATTAACTATTCTAAATATAATAACATCAAAGCATAACTAAAAACATTCTATATAAAAATATCTGCAAAGGGCAAACTATTAGCATATTGGATGGAACATTCTTTGCAAATTCTCCTAGCACATTCCATGCATGTTGAAGGTTTACACATTATACAAACATGGAATGTTTTTCTCTCCTTCTTCGAGAGACAACGTCTACAACTCATTCTTGTGTTAAGTTTATCACCTTCCATAGGATGTTCTTCTTGTTCCAATTGTAGTATGCGTCTTATAAAATGGCGGTTTATTTCTGGATTATCTCGGTATGACTGATGCAGAATATATGAATTTACAGACGCTATGTCTACCAATCTGAAAAAAATGGCCATGGGCCATCGGCGAGTGCTACGACTTGAAGAATAAGGACTGCACTTTTGGTCCAGGATATCCACTCCAGTAGTGTTGTAAAAACTGATAATTTCTGGCTTACCGGTCTCAACATTGGTATTTTTATTGTGGTGCATGAAAGAGATCATTATTACTACTCTATTTTTTTAGGTACAAAAGGTAACATGGTTGTATCAGTGGTAAATCCATAGATGCTGGGAACAAATCTCTCTTTTTATATTTGGCAAAAATGTAGGAGGAATCTCACCTTTATTTTTTTTAAGTGTTCCGACAAAAGTTAGATTTTGCGTTTTCAGAAAATTTACCAGCTCTGTTGAGGAAAACCAGTTATCGGCTGTAATATTTCTGTTTGTGTTATAAATAGGTTTGGCAAGTCTGAGTACCGCCTGAGTGGGTTTCGAGAATTTTCGTTCCTCATCTGTTAACAGAATTCTTCCCAGAATACATATGAGCATTCAAGAGGTATCCAGTTCTGGCATCCGTTAGACACATAACTTTTAGACCATACTTGCAGGGCTTGGCTGGCATGAACATTTTAAACTTGCATCCACCGCGAAATGCAACGAGCATTTCGTCGATACAAGCACATGTAGTGTAAACCTTTTGGCAATTTGTTATAAAATTATTAAATATTTCGGAAATAGCTGCTATCGGATCTTGATTTCTACGCTCTTCCGAAGTTTCGGCATCATCGAATCTCAAACAAGAAAGAATTATGGCAAATCGGTTCACATTCATCACGCATCGGAAAATTTCTCGTCGTGAGCCATCTGTGGCGAAATGCGATCTTATGTCCTCATGGTTGGATTTAAAAATTGACGTAAAAATTAGCAATCCTAGAAAAGCTTTAAGTTCCATAAGATCCAAATCACGAATATCGAAGTTTTTTGCTGCATTTTTGTATTTTTGATGTATTTTCATCAATCTTGCATTGGTGGATTGAAAAATGACACTCAGAATTTGCTCATTGAATAAAAGACTCCATACTTGCTCAGCATCAGCGCTGTAGATGTTAGTTCTTTTAAGTCCCGGGCATTTAACAACAATGTTGTTTTGTAACGTGCGTGTATTCTTGGGAACTGGAGAATCCTTGCACCATTTAAAGCGATTCTTACCATAAACGTAGTTGCCACTGGGAACATTTTCTGGATGTTCAATTTTACCTAGATTTTCGTTGTCTTCTTCGTCGAATTCAACCTCCAACTCAGTGTCATGATCCGATGGTATATAGTCGCCATCTGATTCGATATCGCTTTCACCAGAATCAACTTCCTCTGCCCATTGCAGTAAAGTAGCTTCAAAATCAGCATCTCCATATTTTACTCTCTTTGAAGGCCCAGGATTAAAATCCATACTCAATTTATAAGGCTAAAAACATCAGAAAAATAATAATTCAACATATCCAAATTATTACGTTTATACAGACCTCCGGTATTATTTAGCGGTTGCGAACTTTGAACTACCATATTTCGCTTGCTTCTAGTAATACAGCCTCCATCCATCGGCTAATAGCATCAAACTAATTGTTACGAAGGTATGTAGAAGCTCATAAGCGATAGTGGTGGGGATACGATAAATTTCAGCAGTTGAAATTTGCAGCCGGTCATTTTGACCGGATGTCTGTGGTTAAGGGTTAAGAATACTGATGTATCATCTAAAAATTGTGGTTTTCATGTTGATAATCTTCAAGGCTAAACAATTGTGTCGTAGGTATATTATTTTCTCACAGAACTAACAAAATGGATCCATTTAAACGTCATGCTATTTTGAACGTTCTACAGTTCTGGATGGGTTTTCGCATTTTTTGGAGGGACTTTGGCCCCTTCGGAACGATGGAAGAAGGTGAATTACCATCAGCAAAAATCAATCTGGTAATTTGAGATAATAACAGAAAAAATCGCCCGGTAGCCAGGAAAAATAAAAGTTGTCAGATTTTTGCTTATTCAAAATAGTGGATATAAGTTGGAACGTAAGCCTGATGGATGATCAGGTGACCCCTCCATCGCTGCAGAAGGAAATAGCGAAGGATCTGAGCCTAATGAGATAGCTGCAGAAATTGGAGAAGACACCGAAAAAGAGAGGCTGCACCTTCGCTGACCAGGCAGATCAAATTTGACTGACGGACTGCGTGGTTAATCTCAAAGCCCAGGTTTTCATCCTTACTACTTCTTTAAATAGATTGATGTGTTGTGATGACAGCTCTATTAAGACTTCCAAGAGAAATCATAACAGCCCTAGTGACTTACTGAGACACAAGACGATGTACAGGGTAATAGTTTTACCCCTATCAAGAGACGTAAAAAACGACAGATTCGTAAAATTAACAAATATCCTTCCCTTCCGTCTAAAAAATCCCCAATCAATACCAGTTCAATAGACATGACACCGCCTGTGTTTTTTTTCTTTTACTGATTCTGCAAGCCAGCTAAAACACTGTCAAATGCAAGCATCTAGCTTGAACGAAGGTGGCAACACCATGTCACGCTCACATTCTGCTTCCTTGGCTGGAAGCAACACTACTCCGTCATCTAACGCTACCCTCGGCACGCAGGCACATATCTCGTCAGGGGCGTGTTACACTTGTGCTGCGGGATGCTGAAAAGTGGCGCACCTACAGTTTTATGCGCCTTGGAATTAATTGATCGTGCGGTAGCAGTTGATGCTGAGATACGTATCGTACCTAAAGGCGAAGACGACTATCGGAAGATAGTTCGTCTTTTCAAAGAGGAAAATGTTCCTTACCACACATTTCCCCTATCCTCTGAGCATAACATCCACAATCTAGAGGGATCCCTTCCAAGCAGGAAATCAAAGAGGAGCTCGAACAGAAGGGATATAGTCCCCACCACATAATTCGCTTGAAGTGCAACGGCGGCATGCCCATGCCTTTGGTGTCTGGAGAAGGTACAGTAAGTGTTCAATGAACACTCCTAGAGCTATCTATTAGAGTTGAGGTTGAAAAGAACTCTCCACTCATTGTGCAGTGTCACCGCTGTCAGGAGCATGGACACGCGCAATCGTATTACATTGCACCTCCAAAGTGTCTCAAATGTGCTTAAGACCACATGACACATCTGTGCCATCAACAAGGGCAACAGGTGCGCCAACGAACGAATTGTGGATGAGACCATCAAGCTAAGAATAATGACTTGTTGACAGTACGGTCCCGTAGCCCTTGCCGTAGCGACTGTGAATTCTATCTATATCGTGATGACACAAGTTTATTATTCTGAAACAGAGACTACATATTGAACTAAAAAACACAGCGGTGCCTCGCCTGAGGTTTCAGTGGAGCTTGACAAGGGCATGACCTGGCAGAAGCACACTGAAGCGTTAAAAACTAAATTCCAAATTAAGTTTCGGCAACTCTAACCTATGCTATATAGAATCTAAAAATTAGGTTTGGTCAACAAAGTTCGGCTATACAATATGTAGTCTGTCGGTTTTCACAGTGACCTCGACATCCTTTACCTAAGGGACTACATCAAACAACAGGCGCAGGTACGCAGTTAGACAAGCAGAATAGCACAGCAACTCTTTGTTGCGAGAGTCAGTAGACTACACAACCGAGCATGTTTGCAAACTCACAAGACCGCGGCTTGCAATGTCAGCAAAATCAAATCGTGCGATTCTAGGTCGAACCGATATTTTCCATTCGTAGAAATTCCTAAGTTAAACACCCCTTTAGCTGAAGCACATTCTCCTCTTTGCTCTTCTCCCATCTTTCCTTTCTTTTGCCTCCTTTTCTCTCCCTGACTTAGTTTGGTATCTGGGTAACCAAACCTGACAGACCTACCGACCTACGATACTTTAACAAAGAGCAAAGGTCCCACGGACCGCTTCGACGGACCATGACAAATAGTAGATAATTATAATCAAAATCCCATCTCTATATAGAAATGACCATGGTAACACTGCTGTTCAATGTTGTTAGTGTAAAAGGTAATAGAAATCTTGACATAAGCCCTATTTGTGAGTTCGCTATTTGGAACCATCGAAAGAAAGTATCATAAACTGCACGCCACTGGAGGCAATAACGTTCAATGAGTGTTTCAATCGTTTCTTGGGCACAATAAATTTCACTTTATGCAACAGTATGAGAAACAATACCCTTTCTCAAGAGAAACCTCAAAAAAGTCGCTTTTTAGTGATATATGTAACACTTCTTTATAATTTGATAATTTCATTTGTAGCAAGCACTCGATAAATTTGAGAAACAGGATAGTCCAACGATCAAAAAGGTGCATAGAAAAATCTACAAGATCAAAAATTGAGAATCTGACTTTGCTAAGAAAACCGTCTTCCCTTGCTCACCCTGTAGAAGTGAATAAATGGAAGGAATATACCGATCAAACCCTGTACGTGTTTTCACAGAGTCTGTCAAGGGTCTCATAAGTACCGCAACTCGATATCTCTTTGCGTTCCGAAAATATCGAGATTTGAATCTGGGTAAAATTCTCCATGATGTAAAGCAACAGTCCACCAGTTTATTTTCGACAGTGAAATGAAAGTTAGGCGGTCCATCCACATACTAACTTAATTTTTCCATAACTAAGATTATGAGTTAATTCTAAATTACTAGTTGGAACTTCCTATGGATATTAATTTCTGTGTAATTCGTGTTGCAGTTAAATTTGAGGTAATCATGAAAACATGAGTTAAATCTAAAGTTAATTATATGTGTTAACGTTATATCTTTTCACTAACTGCATCCAAATGATATAGTTATGCAATTTTAATAACGAATTTGTTTATGTCTGGGTGTTTGTGATATGTGTATATAATGATTTGAACATTTAAAGTCGTTTATTTTGTTATACTGGCTCACTAATATCGATTACGATGAAACCTGTACTTATGGTGACATGTGCCTTATTCGTAGTTTTGGTGAGTAATTATAGGAAATGTATAATAAACAATTTCTATATACGAAAATATTAATATTTAAGTTTTTTGATATTACAACGAAGTTGAAACAGCTAGTTCTGTGATCAGACATTTAAAGATATTGAAAATCGCGTTCGCAAACTTGGTTCTTCCTATTTCACTCTCAGATTTTATTGATTTTTCCGGAAGCTGATAAGTTAGCACGGTTTAACTTGTACGGGGTAAATCAAAATGTGTCATTACTCCATTTTTGAGTAACTTTGTGGTCTGAATTCCGTTGTCAATCAGAACGCAATATTTGCCATTATCAGGAATCTCGTTTTGTCTGATTTTGTCTAATCTGGTTTTTTACTCACGTCAATATATGCAGTGGTTGAAGTTTGAGAGGTAAGTAGGCAGTTTACCACCAATTTTTCTTTCTCCTTCCATAGCTTTTTTCATTCCCGTACGAATTCAAAAGGTTTTCACCAAATTGAACATAAATCTGTTGCCTTTCTCCGTGAGATTCATACTTTTTTAAACCGTCATTGGTACCGTTTACCTATAGTGGCAAAGAAAATAAAAACCTTAATTTAAGAACACGCTGTGTAATATTTCCACACTGTACCCTTTTGAAATACACTGTCAACGCAATAATCATATCTTCCATATTCTCCGAATTCTAGTGAGGATTGTTTTTTTGGAACAAAATGAATGTAACACAACAATTTACAAATTTTAATCAGTATCACACTTTAGATAGGCATGTTCTGGTCGTTCTCGAGAGAAACATTGCTCCTAGACTATATTTCCTCCATTATATGTGAGGGAGCATGATTTAGGCATATTTATATAAACGTTATGTTACAAGTTTATTATACATCACTTTTACTATGCAATTTGGAAATGAACCACACTGTATAATGTAAAATATGCTTCCACACATGCAATAAAGGAAACATTATCTGGTAGCAATATGCGACCCGAGAATGACTAGAATGCGTCTATTTGAAGAGTGTAATATTGATTAAAATCTGTGAATTATTGTGTAACATTCATTCTGCTCCAAAAGAACAATCCCTGCTAGAATTTTCAGATACACGAAATTGGGGGACAACGAAGATATGTTTATTGCCCTGACACTGTATCTTCAAAGGTTAGACTTATACAGCGTGTGAACTAGTATAGAAAGGCAATACATTTCTGTACAAATTGACGAGAAACCTTTTCACTGCGGAAATTAAAAAAGTTGTGAGAGGAGGAAGCAAAATTGGTGGCAAAATCTTCATTTCTCTCTAAGACTTCAGCATCAGTATATATATTGACGTGAATTAGAAACAGATTATAGAGAAAATGTGGTTCTTGATATTAGGAAGCAATGCGGTCTAATTTACACAGTTGGAGTCACACCGCAGACTCAAATTTGGGGTAACGGAACATCATTATGATTCACCCTACCGCGACTACAATCAAAAACTCATATTTATAGAATAATGCCAGTGGGTGTACCTACCGCCTGTCGAAGTAGTCGATGAAATCGTGTGGTTAATAAAAAAGTTATGATGTTACGAATTTGACCAAAATCTTGCTTGTTCGTTTATTTTGAACTGAGTGTATATACATATGTTCCTTCAAAATGACCAGAATTGATCAGAATAGATTCCTCCAGTTTCCTTCGCGGTAGTCGTTAGCACGAGTCATTCAAAGCCGATCCAGATCTACTCCCGTCGGTGAGTTCGAAATTGAAAGATTTGTTTCTTGCTAACAGGCACTTGCTGGAGTGGTTAATGCTCAAGGTGAGACGTCCCATCAAAGAGGCGGCGAAGATCATGGCGAAGGTCATGGCGGAGGAAATGGTCACGTTGGTGGACACGCAGGTGGGCAAACGGGCTTTGGAGTGGGGGCATCAATGAACGGAGGATTTGGAGGAGAAATGGGCGGAGGAACGGGAGGAGGCACCGGAATGGGTGGAAGGAGATAAAGTGATTTACCACCTTGCAAGTCATTCCAATAAACATACGAACATTTAAATAACTTGTTTTTTTCCACTACTAACTTGCTAATCGCATTTCTGTCAGAAGAAGTGACATTTCCTCCCTAAGGTAAATAATGGTGGAGAATAAAAACGTATAGGACTTTGAACAGTTTTTGGAGGGTCACAGTGGAACTACGGGAACTACGTATATCTCCCTCACAGATACGTATACATATAAATGGTCTCTATGTGCGAACGTTTGTTTGTGTAAGCTCACAGATATACGTTTTTTAGTTTTGTCTCATCTCACCGCCTTGAAAATGTGCTCGTCAGCGTATGAGTCTTCCACATTTATGTTAGCTGCTGTAAGTAGGACAATTTGTTTTCCAGGGACGTGCGATTTGGAATTCGCTTTTTTGGTATTCGATATAAAATTATAGCAATGCCTGCAGATACAACTACAATGTTAACTGTGCTGGATTTATTGGAAGTAGGCATTTTCAGAAAGTGAATGGAAGCAATGGCCCCAAAAGTCGCCCTGTATATGGCACGGATAGCGGCTGTCCCGTAATTTTGATCCGGAAAATTTTTGAGACGAAAAGCGAGATAACCGAGGTATTTACTATGGAAACTGACCCAGGGGGGTCAGGAAATGGCGCTTCCATCATGCCAATGGAGATGGAGTCGAAGGAGCAGACCGTAGATGAGTTGAGAGCCGAATTGGAGATGGTTCGACAGGAGCTGTCAACAAAGGACGATGATAAGAAGACCAATGAAACATTGATGATGATCATCGAAGCCCAGCAGCGGACAATTATCGACCTAACAGTTGAATTAGACCTCCTACTGAAAACCCAGGTACCTTCCCATCTAAACATTACACATTCTTCCCAAACACTCCAACAAAATCCCAGTAAAGACAAAGCTGTCAATCTTAAAAGACCGTTAAATAATTCAAGCGATCTTTCCACTGACGACCATACACTCCCTGACGGTTTTATCAAGGTTAAGCCCCGTAAAACGCGACGAAACAAGACCGATACGACAGGCTTTCCTCCTCTCCCTCCACCAAAATCGCAGTCTGGAACGCCTCGTTCAACTGCAAGCGACTCGAATAAACAGCCTGTGCCTAATCTATCGGTTACTTCTTCGCCTTCGACATCTCAGGTATCAGAAGACACGACTGCACAGCCCCCACGTAAGGTACGTGTTACTCCCATCGTTGTTCGCGATGCTTCGAGATGGCGAGGCGTAAATCACAGGTTTATGTCTTTGGGCATCAAATTCGAACGCGCGGTTGTCGTCGATGCAGGAATCAGGATAATTCCCAAGTCCGAGGATGATTACCGCAGGATTATTCGTCTCTTCAGGGAGGAAGAGGTGCCCCATCACACTTTCCCTCTACCCTCGGAGAGGAACATTCATGCTGTAATCAGAGGAGTACATGCGACACTTTCGGAAATTGAGATCAAGGAAGAGTTGCAACAGAGGGGATATTCCCCCTTGTACATAATTCGCCTGAAACGCGGTAGCGGTGTGCCCATGCCTTTGGTGGTAGTCATACTGCCCAAGATAGAAAAATCTCAGCAGCTGTTCAACGAACATGAGCTGCTAGGTTTGGCTATCCGAGTTGAAGTTCAAAAGAACTCAAGACTCATCGGGCAGTGCCACCGCTGAAAAAAATATGGACATGCGCAATCTTACTGCACTGCACCACCTAAGTGTCTAAAATGTGCTTCTGACCACATGACCCACTTATGCCCTCAAACAGAACAAGAGTAACGAAAGTGCGCGAACTGTGGAGGGGGGCATCTAGCGAATAGCCGAACTTGCAGATTTGCCCCTAAGAAAAATCTGCAAGTGATAGCGCAAAGGCGCAATGTAAGTTACGCGAATGCAACTAGGGATGCAACCCGGGCTGCCCCCTCTGTGGGATCTTCTGCGAACACACAAAATGTGGACCTGGCAACCGCGCTAAGGCCCTTACAGCACATCATAGGTCCTCCGATTAGTGCAACACAGGCTTTGCAGGCGATCTTTCCTGCAAATGGCTAGGTACAATCGACGACAGCCTGCATTTATCAAAATTCTTTTTTGGAATTGTTTGGGTCTAAGAGACATTCCCAAAAAACGGGAATTTCATCAAGCTCTTGTGGACGAAAGTATAGATGTGGCTTTGATGCAGGAAACATTACTTAATCCGGGAGGTCGTCTAGCTTTCCCGAATAACGATGTTATCCTGGCTGATAGATTGACTGGACTGGGTGGCAGCTTGGCAGTGCTAGTGAGACGCGGTATTGACTACCACAGAAGCACAAATGCTGAGATGCAGAGCATCGAAGTGGCTTCCGTTGTGGTCAATATGACGGGAGGTGTGCCGTTAAAAACCATATCGGTGTATGTCAGGTGTGGTATCAGGCTGCAAGAGGCGGATCTGGAAGTCCTTTTAGACTGCTCGGGTCCACTTATTGTGGCAGAGGACTTCAACTGCAAACATCGAGCATGGCATTCTAGATTGAATTCCATCAGTGGGATCCGACTGTACAACCATGTGATACGAAATTGCTACCCCATACATAGTACTGACGAGCCGACTCACCACCCATTTAATCACTTTCAGGCACCTGATGTTCTTGATTTTGCATTATCCAAAAACTGTAGATACAGTATCACTTCTCGAATCATGACATCATGACATCCCAAGCGATCATCTTCCGGTCGTTTTGGAAGTGGGTAATGAGCAGATCTTGGGGGATGAAACCCCCCCAAGGAAACGCATTGATTGGGAGCTATGCAAGTCGCTCCTCAGAGAGTTCCCCAATATTCCAAATCATAGATGATGAGAACGGTATAGATGCAGCTCAAGCAGAGTGGACAAGCTTTGTTCAGCAAGCTCTGCAGCGTGCAGCTGTACTTCCCGTGCAGCGACACGGCAGACTTGTTCTGCCAGCAGACATTCGTCAGAAAGCTTCTGATAAAAGGGCTGCAATTAAGCAAGCGAAAAGGTCTTGTCATCTTAATGACATTCACAGAGCGACGGATCTTGTTCATGAAGTAAGAAATGCTCTTCATGAATTCCGCAATGAGCAATGGAACGACTTTCTGGTGGGATGCTTGACTCAAGCATTCCTCTCTGGAAGGTGGCGAAGTCGCTCAAAAACGGAAAGCGTGAAGAAATCTCAAACATTTACGGTCCCGGAGGCATTGTCTTCAGGACAGAGGAGAAGGTTGAGGTTTTCGCCGATGCCATGGAAAGACAGTTCTCTCCCAACTATGATCTTGATAATGACCTCGACCGACGAGGAGCAACACATCGTAAGATCTGTCAGGAGATATTTTAGGGCCAACGGCGTCAGTGACAGTTGCGCTATCATTGGTGACTTTTCTTCATCAGAAGATTCTTCTTCAGAAGCTTCTTCAACCGAAGATCTGTTTAGCACATCAGCGGCATCTCCTGAGACCCCGCGTTGCACACCAGCAGAGATTCAAGGTCATATTAAATACCTTAATGTGCGTAAAGCACCTGGGGCGGATCAAATCACTAATAAGGCTCTGAAGCTACTTTCGCGTAAGTTCTTAACTTATCTCGTGGCAATAGTCAATGCTATGCTAAGGACCCAGTACGTCCCATCCGCGTGGAAGACCGCTGAAGTTATAATGATTTCAAAGAAGGTGGGTTCGATATTTCCCCAGGATTATCGTCCCATTATCATGCTGTCAGCTCCGTCTAAGCTCGCTGAAAAGGTGATTCTACGTCACCTTGAGAATTTCTCGTCAGATCACCATGTGATTCCTGACGTGCAATTGGGTTTTCGGTCTGAACATAGTACAGAGATACAGGCGGTTAGGCTGGTGGAACGTGTAACCAGAGGATTCACCCTTAACAAAAGTACTGGCATCTTGCTTTTGGATGTCTCAAAAGCATTTGAGAAGGTGTGGCACGCGGGCCTCTTGTATAAACTAATCCAAAAGGGCTTCCCTTTTTGGCTTCTAAAACTACTGAAATTGTTCCTTGAAGGTAGGAAATTTCGGATCAAAATTGACAATGTCCTGTCGACAACACGGCTGATTACAGCCGGCGTCCCTCCCTTTACTCACTGTACCATGACGTCCCTAGTCCCAGCAACTGTGAAGTCTATCTATATGCTGACGATACTGCATTGGTGGCTCAGTCGTGGTCTGGTGACCTAGTCCATGACAGGCGCTGCAAAGTGCGGTGGCGGAGGTATTAGATTGGGCGGATCGGTGGCTAATTAAAATAAATCATTCGAAAACGCAGGCAATCTACTGTACAAAAAGACGTCGCGGCGTTCCGTCTGAAGTTAATGAATGGACTTCGTATACCATGGGAATCCTCCGCTAAGTATCTCGGTGTCATTCTGGACAAAGGAATGACTTGGCGGAACCATATAGAAGCGCTAAAAACTAAATTCCAAATTACGTTTCGAGAGATTTACCCATTATTATGTAAACGTTCAAAATTAAGTTTGATTAACAAGATTCGACTCTATAAGGTGGTCATAAGACCAGCAATGACTTACTCAGGTCCAGCTTGGTGTTTTATTGCAAAAACACACATGTGAAATCTGCAGGTTCTGCAAAGCAGGACGTTGCGTACTATTGCTAATGTCCCATGGTATGTTTCTAACGAAACTCTACATAGAGACCTCGATGTCCCTTACCTAAAGCAAGTTCGCAAGCACAAAAGGGCGCGGCTCGCACTGTAATCAAAATTAACTCGTGAACTTGGAACAACCAAAATTGGAGCATATTGACAAAATCTTTAGAAAAAATCGAATAGCCCTGCACACGGTACAGTTCCTTTACTTAATTCGTATTGCATCATGTGTGTCGGTTTCAGTGGCATAAGTTTCATGCGATATTTGCTGCGCTTTGTGTAAAGCCACTTGAAATGGCAGCTACATAAAACGGAGGTGTCTAATCTTATCTGTCAAAAATTGTTTATCAGCTTTAGGTCAATAATTATAGTTAGTCATTTCTACCTCGAAGGACGCCTTTTACCACGCTATAACCTCCTTACACATGATATTTATAT